GAGGCTTTTTGAAGGACCCTGCCTTTTAATGAAACATCCTGGGTTCAAGTCCAGCTCTTTCCATGTGAGGCACAAAAAAAACCTTCCTTAAAGATGGTTTGAAAAGTGCTTTTTAAGAAGCACAATCAAATGGTTAAATGTAAGATAAAAGTTTCAGGCAGTCATGTGGTGAATTGGTTAAGATTGTTAACTGTCACTGAAATGGTTGAGAGCATGGACAGATGAAAGATGAGGAAGGAAAAAATTGAGAAAGGGAGATTAAAAGATGAAAGCAGGAAGATATTTTTCACTCAAAGCCTCTTGTTTTCTCAATAGCAGCATTGTTAACATTATGCTTAAAACAGTGACAGCATGATGACAGATTAATTTGACCTTGTTCCTTCAATGTTTCAAACATTGAAAGCAACAAATATTAACAGTCTCCGTTCTTGAGTCTGTCTGTGTCGGTTTAGATCACGGTTCACCTGGTTTCACCTGAGGGCGTGCCCTCCTGGGCCTTTTCAGGTTTGCCATGCTTGCTTGTGTTGAAGCTTGTGATCCAGCATTCATGTTGGATACTCAAATCAGAAGCCAAGCCATGGTGATTGCTGATAGAGTCAAACAGCTGCTCTACTAAGTGGAGTCAATAGAAACACTGTGTGGGTGTCAGGACCTTTAAGGTCAGCCTCTCCCTCAAGAAGTGCATGAGAAACAAACACAAACTCATGTTGTCACTGATGCTTTCTATCTACTAGAGTAATCCAACAATCATTTTGGATGTATGTGCTTTAACAAAGAATAATTGTGCCATAATGTTTACTTAATTTTCTAATTGCTCCCAATTGTCATGTGCACATCAAGCTTTACTAGAAGTGACATAAAGGAAATAATAACAGGCATAGTTAAACCAGAAGTCCTGGTAATAGCTCAGATAGTCGTACCGCAGCATATCTGACAAGGCAGAGTATCAGTGTGGGTGTGCAAGACTAAAAACAAACAAAAATGACATTGTTTGTTTGCTGTCCTCTTTAGGCTTAACTCAACGTTAACTGTTTCTCAACAACTCTGCTCGATTTTGTTACATACAATAAAATTCATATTCTGAAAATCTAAAATGACAATAAGTTAACGAAGCTACCAAAATAAGAGATTGGGGCCTCATTTCTTAAAGTTGAATTCATTGAAAAGTTTTACAGTTTCTCTTAACTCCCTTTGCCAAAATTAGTTCTTAATGCGGATACAACTTCAAATGTTATGTAATCCTGACAAAAAGGAAGAATCTTTTTTCTACAGTGTCTCTTTGTGGGGGAAGATTTTTCCTTCTTCTTCCTGTCATGATTATTTTTGTACATCACACAGTTTGTAAGAAATTCCCAGCACTAGGTTGCACCAGTTTCACATGAGTTCATACTTAACCCAGTGTAATTAAAATTCAGATTTGAGTATTTTACGATCTAAAAAGTTTCAAAGCATGTTGAAATCAAACTTAAATCCTGCTTCTAGCTCTGAGCAGGTGTTTTGTCCTCTGAACACGTTGTTTGTTATGACACATCATTTTAAAAGATGGACTAACTTGTGTAACATTTTCTCTGGGATAGTTTTCATCAATTTCATGGATCTGTATTCCTACTGTTGTTTTCTATGGGCTGAGATTTGCAGAAAGTACCTTTATAAATTTGTTTGGTACAGCCCAGCAAAAGTAGAACTTAAGTCCTGATGCAATTATTTTCAATTGTGGTCTTCACCCCTCAGCTAAGGAAACAACCTACCCATAGATGGTGTAACCAGTCCCAGAAGATAATGTTTCTTGGCATTGTTAACGAAACGCCCAACTAGTGTACTCAGTTCAGAAAACAACAGAGATGTAGACAATGTCATACAATACTCTCAACCACTACAAACACCACAAAACCCCACCTCTTACAGAAAAAGGCCTGAAAATTTAGCCTGTCCAGAAAGAATGACTATTTTTAGTGTTTTCCCTTTACATCACACAAGTTACAAGTCTACAACAACAGCAATGACTTCACACTGATTTACAGCCTATATAGTCAGGCTCCAATTGACAAGAGACAAGATAATCTCATTATAGCGTCCAACCATACACAAAAATGGATGTACTTAACAAAGATACAAACTGCTGGTAAATTTGTATCAGCTCACATCAGAGTTAATGTAACATGACTTAAATGTTTATAAATGTGCTGATTGATTTTAGCTGACAAAAGCTCAAACTTGTTGAGTAAGACGTTAGCCTGGTTCTTTCAGTATTGCACTGAACCTGTAACCTGTATTCATGTTGATTCTTTTTCAAGTTCAGTGATGATATTTGAGGAAAATTACCCCACAGTACATATATCACCATCTTAAATATAATAGATTCAACATTTTAAATATCATCTATCACTTGTAAATCACTTCTTTATGATTATAATAGTGCGTGATCAGTAAAAATAGAAGCTATGCCACATTTCTATATTATAACTTTGTACTCATTTTAGAAAAAACAATCAATTTCATCAATTCTTTGGGCACCTGAGTGTTGTTTTACCCAAAGACCTTAAAATCCATTTATAGTTGCTCATTTCATATTCAAAACCTTTCTCAAGAGTAAGTGTAGATTATTTTTTAGATAAATTTAGTCAATTTTTCATAACAGTAATTTCACTGTATATTTAACAATGGCATATGCAGAACTAAGTCACTAATATGTTAACTTCTACAAATAAAGCATGATCCCAGATAATCAGCATCAATCTCAGTTAAATAGAGTTACCTTAGTAAAATCTATGAGCAGAAACTCAACTTATTTTTAAGTCCTTAAAAGTTTACTTTAAATGCTCCAGATTTTCAGTCACTGCAAATGGATTTACTAACTAATGGTTTATCCACATGCACATTGCATACATTTTTACCAGAGGTGAGAAAAAGAAGCTGAAAACAAAGACAATTAAGCTTAATGTAATGATCATGGCTTTCAGTGTTTAAAATAGCTGCCTCAATAAGCCTGAGCTGTTAGAAACACCTCTGTATATATCCAAGATTTTAAAATAGATGCCCTTCCTTCCAAATTATATGACTACAAAGGTTCCTCCTCATGTTAATTATTTTGTCATGTCTTGTGAATTGTGATTGCTCTTTAACTCATCGGTATACTACACAGGGAGTGCCTCAAGGTTCAGTTTTGGAGCCTGTGTCATTCTCCTTTTATATAATAAACAAGACCACCTCTGTATATAACTAGTTTTCATCTTGAGAAACAACACCTTAGAAAGAACAATTTCATAAATATCTTAGCATCTCAATATACAGTGGCAAGTTTAGGGTTAAATTCAGATTTAAGCATCATACCATCTTGAATGTTTCAAAGCAAGTTTAAGTCAAACTTAAATCTTCCTTCAAGAGCTAAGCACATGTTTTTTTTTCCTCTGAACACGACACTTGTCATGACATCGTTTTAAAATATGTGTCATGACATCATGTGTCAGTGTATAACAGTGGTAGGTTTTTTTATCATGATCAGCGACAGCAGCTGGGATGTGTACGGAGCCCCTAAAGGGACATGGATGGACTTTTTTTTTTTGCGAGATCTCGCAAAAGTATTGCGAGAGCTCGCAATAAGTATTGCGAGATCTCGCAAAAGTATTGCGAGCGCTCGCAATAAGTATTGCGAGATCTCGCAAAGTTCTGTCCTACTTCGGTGAACCGGAAGTAAAACAGACACACATGATGGAGGAGCGTACACATCATAGACATAATAAAAGGGTAGACCCCGCTGGGGGTGCTGCGCAGCGAGAAATGCGGCCGCCATCTTGGTCAGGTCAAGCTTCCCATACGCTCCGGTCAATCATATTCATTCATTCATTCATTCAGCGATGCCGGAGCATTGTGCGGCGTATTCCTGTGCCAACAGGCGGACAGCAGAGAACAGGGCTCAAGGAATAACTTTTCACAGCTATGATTACACGTTTTTTCAACATTACACTTGACTGTAGAGTCATTTGTAGGCCAAAGAGGAAGACAGTGGTGCAGAGTGAGGCGGATGAGCGGACCAAGATGGCGGCCACATTTCTCGACAGCGCCCATTCGTGGTAGCGGCCGATGCGGGGTCTATCTTTTATTATGTCTATGGTACACATCATCCGTGCTCTGTTGCTCCTTCTTCTTATTATTATTATTATTTTAGGCTTATTTTAGGCTATTTTTGTAACAGGTATTGACTGGACCCAATTGCAGCACAAACAAGCAGGTTCACTTTAACAACAGTCTTTATTGAACACCAAATCCAATGAAGCAGCAGAGTATAGCAGGTGGGTATGGCAGGATTCGAACTCGGGTCTTCCGGGTGATAGGCGAGCAGATTAGCAGTGGACCACAGGTCAGGCAAGAGTTTTGAACTCGTGAGCAGGGAATTGTCCACAGTCTTAATTTGCTCTACGAGTGTAGTGAAGGGGAAAACGCTCAACTCACAGCTGGGGGAAGATTTCTTGGAGAGTGGTTCAGGTGAGGACTGGGTGAGGATCCAGAGCTTGCAGAGGAGCTGGCAGAACCAACGTCGGCAGAGGTGAGTTGGCGAGGTGAAGCTGACGAGAAGGGGGATCTCAACAGAGCAGGAACAGGCTGAGTGACATTCAGCTGCAGGCAGACGAATAGCAGGAACCAGGCAGGCAAAGCTCGTAGTCAAGGACAGAAGGTAGGTAGGTTTACCGGGGCTGAGGCGAGAAGCAAAGGTCAGGGGCAGATCAGGTCGATACCAGGTAAGCAGTCCGAGGATAAACGCTGGAGAGTCAGGCATGAGAGCGAAGACAATCTGGCAAAGAGTGAGGGGAAAGAAGCTGCATATATACTGGCCTGATTGGAGATGATGAGCAGGTGAGAGCAGCAGGTGGAAGCAGTTAGCTGATGAGGGGTGTGGCTGAGCAGCAGAGCAGGAGAGGGGCAGAGCAGACTGTTACAGAACCCCCCCCTCAAGGGATGGCTCCCGACATCCCAGAGGTTAAACTGGGGGTGGGGGGGTGGGCCTAAAACTCCTGGGAGCAAGACCTTGTCATCTCTTCAGCAGGGTGGGTGGAGGGGGTCTGGAGGAGTGTTTCTCGACGGGCTGACTCATTGGCTGGCTGGTCAGGATGTTGCCGATGAAAGTTGGCCACGAGGTTGGGGTCCAAAATGTGGCGAGCAGGAACCCAAGATCTCTCCTCAGGACCGTAACCCTCCCAGTCCACAAGGTACTGGAGACCCCTACCCCGCTGCCGAGAACGAATTAAGCGGCGCACTACATACACCGGACCGCCGTCGACCATTCGTGGAGGGGGAGGTAGTGGTGCCGCAGGGACCAAGGGGCTGTTGTGGACTGGCTTAACCTTGGAGACATGGAAGGTAGGGTGTACTCTCATGGACCGTGGGAGTTTCAAACTGACTGTCACAGGGTTGATGACCCTCTGAATGGTGAAAGGCCCAATGAACCTCGGAGCCATCTTCTTGGATTCCACCCGGAGAGGTAAGTCCTTGGTGGACAGCCACACCTGCTGACCCGCTTGATAGGTAGGTGCAGCAGTACGGCGGCAATTGGCATTGGCAGTGTAACGACCCACGGAACGGAGGAGGGTGGAGCAAGCCTGGAGCCATGTTCTGCGGCAGCGACGGATGAAGGCTTGGACTGACGGACAGGAGAGCTCCTTCTCCTGGGCTGGAAAAAGTGGTGGTTGATAGCCGTAAGCACACTGGAATGGAGAGAGGCCAATAGCAGAGCAGACGAGGGAGTTGTGGGCATATTCCACCCACAAAAGTTGTGACGCCCAAGAAGAGGGGTTCTGCGAGGCCACGCACCGCAGGGCTGTTTCCAGTTCTTGATTCATACGCTCAGTCTGTCCATTGGTCTGAGGATGGAATCCAGAGGACAGACTGGCGGTAGCACCCAGTAGACTGCAGAACTCCCTCCAAAACACGGAAGAAAACTGGGGACCACGGTCCGACACCACATCAACAGGGAGACCATGAAGACGGAAAACATGGAGAAGAACCAACTGGGCAGTCTGTTTAGCAGTGGGAAGCTTGGGCAGAGGCACGAAGTGGACCATCTTGCTGAAGCGGTCCACGATTGTCAGGATGACAGTGTGACCATCAGAGGTGGGAAGACCAGTTACAAAGTCCAAAGATATGCGAGACCATGGGCGGTGAGGAACAGGAAGAGGTTGTAGTAGCCCAGCAGGGGGCCGACGGGAGGTCTTATGTTGGCTGCAGGTTGGACAGGCCTTGACGAATTCCCGGACGTCCTCTTGCACAGTGGGCCACCAGAAACGTCGGAGGAGGGCATGCTGTGTCCGTTGAATCCCAGGGTGGCAGGAGAGCTTGGAGGAGTGGGCCCATTGTAACACCTCTGACCTCAAGGCTGGTGGCACAAAGAGGCAATTAGACGGGCAGGAGCTGGGGCCCGGCTGTCCTTCTGTGGCTGCCGTCACCTTCTCCTCAATGTCCCAGGTCAACAAGGCTACAAGGCAGGAAGTAGGTAGGATGGTCTCAGCTCCAACAACAGAATCCTCTGTCCTCTGGAACTGTCGGGACAGGGCATCAGGCTTGACATTGCGGGAACCAGGACGGTAAGAGAGGGTGAAGTTAAAACGGGCGAAAAACAGGGACCAGCGGGCCTGGCGAGAGTTCAGTCTCTTTGCAGAGCGTATGTACTCCAGATTCTTGTGGTCAGTCCATACAAGAAAAGGTTCCTTCGTGCCCTCCAACCAATGGCGCCACTCTTCTAAGGCCATCTTTACTGCCAAGAGTTCCCTGTTACCAATGTCGTAGTTCCTTTCTGCAGAGGACAGGCGTCGGGAGAAGAAGGCACAGGGATGGAACTTCTGGTCAGTGCATGAGCGTTGAGACAAGACGGCCCCCACCCCAACATCAGAGGCATCTACCTCGACCACAAACTGGCGTTCAGAGTCAGGCATCAGGAGGATGGGCGATGAGGTGAACCGATCTTTGAGGAACTGGAAGGCCGCTGCAGCTGCAGAAGACCACTGGAAGGGCACTTTGGGGGAGGTCAGAATGGTGAGAGGGGCTGCTACTGAGCTGTAGTTGCGGATGAAGCGACGGTAGAAGTTGGCAAACCCAAGGAAGCGCTGAAGCTGCTTGCGGTTCTCTGGAACAGGCCAGGAGGTAACAGCTGAGACCTTGGCTGGGTCCATCTGGATGCTGCCTTGTGCCACAATGTATCCGAGAAAAGATGCTGAAGGAACATGGAACTCACACTTTTCTGCTTTAACATACAGGGAGTTCTCCAAGAGGCGCTGAAGGACGGACTGGACATGATGAATGTGTTGCTCTTTGGACCGGGAGAAGATGAGTATATCATCAAGGTACACAAAGACATACTGGTTGATCATGTCTCGGAGAACATCATTAATCAGAGCCTGGAAGACGGCAGGGGCATTGGTGAGGCCAAACGGTATTACGAGGTACTCGTAGTGTCCAGTAGGGGTGTTGAATGCCGTCTTCCATTCATCTCCTTCTCTGATGCGGACGAGGTGGTAGGCGTTGCGTAGATCGAGTTTGGAGAAAATGGTGGCCCCCTGGAGCAGTTCAAAAGCAGTGGAGATGAGTGGCAGTGGGTAACGGTTCTTAACCGTGATCTCATTCAGTCCTCTATAATCTATGCAAGGTCTCAATGTCTTGTCCTTCTTCTCAACAAAGAAAAACCCCGCTCCAGCAGGGGATGAAGAGGGACGAATGATGCCTGCGGCCAAGGAGTCATTTATGTATGTCTCCATGGCCCTTCTTTTGGGTTCAGACAGGGAGTACAGGCGACCCTTGGGAGGTGATGAACCAGGCAGGAGATCAATGGCGCAGTCATAGGGTTGGTGTGGAGGCAGAGAGGTGGCTCTGGCTTTACTGAAGACCTGGCGGAAGTCATGGTACTCGGGTGGCACCCCACTGAGGTCAGGTGACGAACTGGAGCTACGCTCGGAGGGATGAAGCGGAACCGAGGCTTGCTGCAGGCACCTCTGATGACAGGAGGAACTCCACTCCCGGATGGTCCCAGTTGCCCAGTCGATGTGCGGATTGTGAAGACGGAGCCATGGATATCCCAGGATAAGTGGCAGGCAGGAAGAGCTCAGTATGTGAAACTGGACGGTTTCATGATGATTACCAGACAGTAGCAGGTGAACAGGAGAGGTCTGATGCGTGACGGTGCCCAGGACATGTCCATCTAAGGCTCGAGCAGGAACCGGGTGAGGCAAAGGAACCCGCTCAAGCCCCAGCTGAAGGACCACCTCCTCGTTAATGATGCTGGCATCAGCCCCAGAGTCAATAAAGATAGCCAAGGTGTGGGGGCCGTCTGGAAGGAGGAGGCGGCCTTGGAGCAGGGGTCGCTGGCTTTGGGGAGGTGACAGGGTAGTGTAGCTCACCAGGGTCTCCCCAACTACTGATGAGCTCTGGCTTTTGCTGGACAGCCGGAGATGTAGTGTCCCGCTGCCCCACAATAGAGGCAGAGATTGGACTTGCGTCTACGCTCTCTCTCTTCCAGGGAGAGAGAGGTGCGGCCCAACTGCATGGGCTCTGGATCCTCAAACTGCTGACCCAATGGGGTGGAGTTGGCTGCAGCAGCACCCCCACGGGAGCGAGGTGGACGAGTATGTTGGATTCCCCCTTGACGCTTCTCTCGTCGACGAGTCTGAACACGAAGATTGATGCGGACGGCCAAGTCAATCACCCCGTCCAAGGTGAGGGAGGTGTCATGTGAAACCAGTTCATCTTTAATGTAATCTGCCAACCCATGGAGAAAGGCATCACGGAGAGCTGCACTGTTCCAACCACTATGGCTGGCTCTGGTGCGGAAATCAATGGAATAGTCAGCCACTGTTCGTTCGCCTTGCTTCAGTCCCATCAGTCCCCTAGCCGAATCAGAACCAGAATTCTCAAACCCAAAAACCTTCCGAAGCTCAGCAGCAAACAGGTCAAATGAAGCACAGGCTCGAGACCGCCTCTCCCACTCAGCTGTTCCCCATAGTCTAGCTCTGCCCGTCAGGTGGTTAATGACAAACACTACCTTTGCCGGTTCTGTGGCGAAGGTGCGGGGCTGTAGGGCAAACAGGAGAGAACAGTTGGTGAGGAAGGGGCTGCAAGTCTCTCTATCTCCGTCATAACGCTCTGGGGTTCCCACCCGTGGCTCAGGGGCATCGCTGGGTAGAGAAGAGGCGGTTACAGGTGCAGGAGCAGAAGGTGAAGCTTCCGAAGAAGAGGCAATTCCAGCAGATGAGGGGAGCTGGGCTAGCTGAGCTGCTAGCTGTTGCAGCTGTGCCGCTAAAGCTGCTAGTGATTGTCCCTGAGTCTCAGCAGCTCCTCTGGCTTCAGCGGCAGCCGCAGTCATCATGGCCTCATGTTGCTGCAGAACGCCTTCAATTCTCTGAAGGCGATCCAGTGGTGAGGGATTGTGTGCTGGGTCCATAGTTTGGCCAGATTGTACTGTAACAGGTATTGACTGGACCCAATTGCAGCACAAACAAGCAGGTTCACTTTAACAACAGTCTTTATTGAACACCAAATCCAATGAAGCAGCAGAGTATAGCAGGTGGGTATGGCAGGATTCGAACTCGGGTCTTCCGGGTGATAGGCGAGCAGATTAGCAGTGGACCACAGGTCAGGCAAGAGTTTTGAACTCGTGAGCAGGGAATTGTCCACAGTCTTAATTTGCTCTACGAGTGTAGTGAAGGGGAAAACGCTCAACTCACAGCTGGGGGAAGATTTCTTGGAGAGTGGTTCAGGTGAGGACTGGGTGAGGATCCAGAGCTTGCAGAGGAGCTGGCAGAACCAACGTCGGCAGAGGAGGTGAGTTGGCGAGGTGAAGCTGACGAGAAGGGGGATCTCAACAGAGCAGGAACAGGCTGAGTGACATTCAGCTGCAGGCAGACGAATAGCAGGAACCAGGCAGGCAAAGCTCGTAGTCAAGGACAGAAGGCAGGTAGGTTTACCGGGGCTGAGGCGAGAAGCAAAGGTCAGGGGCAGATCAGGTCGATACCAGGTAAGCAGTCCGAGGATAAACGCTGGAGAGTCAGGCATGAGAGCGAAGACAATCTGGCAAAGAGTGAGGGGAAAGAAGCTGCATATATACTGGCCTGATTGGAGATGATGAGCAGGTGAGAGCAGCAGGTGGAAGCAGTTAGCTGATGAGGGGTGTGGCTGAGCAGCAGAGCAGGAGAGGGGCAGAGCAGACTGTTACAATTTTAGGCGTGTTTTACTTCCGGTTCACTGAATGGAGAAAAAACTTTTGCGAGATCTCGCAAAAAGTATTGCGAGATCTCGCAATACTTTTGCGAGATCTCGCAAAAAAAAAAAGTCCATCCATGTCCCTTTAGGGGCTCCGTAGATTTGTTAATTCTTGCAATTTGTTCAAATAAAAAAAAACAAGCTGACTGCTTTGATACCGCTGACATAATTCCTGTACTTAATGTCTGATTTTGTTGCTCATGTTTTTGCTTTTAACATTTAGATTGTTGTAACTTCTTGTTAATTTCTGTTGTTTCATCTCCTTACATTGTGAATATCCTGTTTGATTCATGCTCTCCTCCTTCCATGCTGATTTTATTTGAATCTGCTCAGTCGTTCACTGCACCTTAAATAAGGGCTCTCTCTCATATTTCACTTGATGTGACTAAAAACAAGGTCTTTCTTTAAACCTTATACTTTACTTTTCTGGTAGATAAGTGTGCCATTAATCATTTAACCTGTGAGCTACTGTGTATACTTTAAAGTGCAGGCCAATCATTACCTCCCGGAAAGAGGTCGCTCTGTTTGTACTTTAAAGTCAAGGATATTTCCTCATGACTTCATATCTTTCCACCTTTCAACCGATCCAAAGAGGGGCTTTTCAGAAATAACATTTTTCCTTCTTTGAATGGTTCAAAGTTACGGTTCTCACAAGGTCAAAGTAGCTCTTTTCAGTAGTAACACATTGAGCTGTCCTACGTCTAACCTTGTAGGGGCAGATATTCACTTTGTCTTCCTTGTGTGACGTCTTGATTGTTTCTTTTTGTTCATCACTTTTGTTCAACAGTTTGTTAGAAAATTCCAGCAGATAAAGTTGCTTTGCCTTGTTCATGGACCATCCGCCAAGTGTACACAGTTCAGTAAACAAAAGAGAAGTAGACTATGTCACACAATCCTCAGCAGCAAAACACTACAAAACCCCACCTCTTCGAGGAAAAACAGCCTGAAAGTTAACCCTATTTACAAGAAAAAGTCTTACAGTGTTTCCCCCTTTACATTATCATTCAAGTTGCAAATTTCCAACAACACTTTGAAACAGGACTCTTGCTGTAGAGCCTCTTTAAGGATCACAAAATGTCTAATTCAAGCACAGCAACCAAATTTGAAAAATGAAGTTTTATTACAAAATTGAAAGCTACACTTGTGTCAGCTCACATAAGCGGTCATAAAGCAGAATTTACTTTGAAAATTTACCAATATTGTGTGAATGGGACATCTTATTTTGATAGCAGTGTGTCTGTTTCTTGGTCCTCCATTTGCTTTTAAGACAAAAGACCACCAAAAGATGACAATAAACAAGTATTACCATCTTAACAAGTAAAATGAAGATTGCAGGCATGGTGCACATTGTGTTTTTTATTTTCTTATCATTGAAATGTTGGCATTGTGTGTATAATAAGTGCACAAGCAACTATAAATACATTACATGTCAAGGTAAAAAAAAAAAAAACAGATACAAACCCCTTTTTTGTAGGAAGATGCTTTAAGGAGTGATTTAAAATCAGAAATGTATTTAGCAGGCCTAGTTTCAGCAGTTTTATTGTTCCAGAGTTTGGGAGCACAGATTGCAAAAGCTGGCTTACCTAAGTTAACTTTTGAGATGTCAAGCAGTTCATACCATAAAATGCAGGTGACAAGCTGTTTAGGTTGAATGTAAAAGGAGTATAGCTGGGAGTTTTTGATATTAAAGAATTATTGTGCATTATGTCGATCAATGATTTACCCCTCAGAAGTATATAGATTTAAAAAAAACAATGGACCCAAGATTGACCCTTGAGGGACGCCATAACTGGTTTTTGAAACAGATGGAGATGATTTTCAACAAGAGCAGAGTATATTTTATTTGACAGGTAGAGGCAAAGTAACTTGAGCTTGGTCCCGACGAGATAAATCTATGATCCCAGATTCAAAAGAAGAGTGGTGAGATAAATACTGTAAATAGTGTAAGTCCAGTGGGACTGGCATTGAGCTCTCTGATGTTTTGGGTGCAAGAACTGAGCTGTTTGTCTCCTTTGCTCAAGCTGTCTCAGCACTGCCAATAAAGTAGAAGTGTTTACAAAGTTTGAGGAAAAAATACCTTGTGAGAGGTTTGATTTAAGTTTTGAAACAGCAGTGGTGTGTAATTTGGTCTGTTTTCCAGGAGTAAGCAGTTCTTTGCTGTGTACAGAATTACATAGCATTATCAAGTCATGAGTCATTAAAAGTTGTCGTTTTTCCTTATATGTTTGTTTGTTCGTTCATTTTTTTTTTCAATGTTATGATATGTTAGGTGGTGTTAATGCATGTATATGGTTGGTTTATGCATTACTGTTTTAATTTTTTCCTTTTCAGGACACAAATGTCACACAAAATCTGTCAGGATCTTTTTTTTATTTTTTTATTTTATTGGTGCAATGGTGAACAACGAGTTTATATACAAGTTATGTCATAAATACAAGAAAATCAGAAACTTAGATTAATGTACAGTATCATTTACAAGTAGAAGAAAAAAAAAGTTTTTTAACATTTACAAAGATTTCATAAAGATATTTAAATAAACAAATCCAAACATCGAATTGCTTATTGTCTATGTTTTCCAGAATAGTGCAGGTAACAAACACAATCTTTTTACATTGTAACCAAAACACTGAGACACACTTACAGCCACCAGTACTCTATAGCTTTCACCTACTGCTTTATAATATAGTCCTTAAAGTAACTCTGAGTTTGTTTAATAAAACAAGAGTGATGAAGACGCTGATCTATTTACAACATATTACTTTTCACTCTGTCAAAAATCTGTTGAACTTTCACTGCAGGGACGCAGCCCTCTCTTACTATGGTGATGGTCCCTGTAGAAAGAGGATAACAAGCTTTAGTGAGAAGTAACAAAAAAACACAGAAAAGAGCAAGTTTAGAGAACATAATGATGCAATTTACCTTCATCAATCTTAAGGCAGTTGACCACTGTAGAAGCAACAACTTCATTTGAGTCCCCGTCACACAGAACCCCTTGGATCTTGTGTCCCAGTCGTCTGTTAACAAATGGAAAGGAGAGGGTCAGTTACTGAAGTGTTACACTCTGTCTAAAAGATGATCAAGTAGTCCTAAAAATCAATCTTGTGGGTCACTTAGATAACATTAAACATTAGATAGAGGAACTCACTTGATGACCATGCTGTGGTGAGTGCTGTCTGGCTCTCCACTGGGATTGGCTGAGGTGATAGCAAGGGGTCCAGTGATGTCACACAGGTGGCCAGTCACAGTGTGGTCAGGCACACGGATCATGATGCTGTCCCTGGTCCCGACACGGTCATAAGCTGGTCCCACTCCTTCACAAGAGTAACCAAAAGGTGATACTGTTACTTATCTCTGATATATCGATATATACTAGTTTAAACTGTTGTCAACTTAACTCAGTAACTCTATATTTGAACTGAAATGAAAAGTTTACCCAGTCTGAAGAGCCAGTCTCCTTTGCTGACGATGCAGCTGATTCCTCCAGGATACACATTCCTCATAAACTCCCACAGCAGAGGACTGAAGGGAGGCTTGGCTGCCACCAGCTGCTCTACGTCAGAGATGCAGATACAAATGGGCTTCTCTGCCGGTCTGTCCTGGAAGAATTAACAGGTTGTTAGTTTTCAAACCACAGACGCAAAATGGTAAAAATAAGATTCAGTAGTCTGTCTCTCAGTTACATCAGGTGCTATTCTTACTTTAATGTTGTAGATCTTCTCAATAGCTTGAGGATTCTTACAGGAGGCAGCCAGAGCATACACAGTGTCTGTGGGAATACCACATACTCCTCCCTGCTCCAAAAGGCCAGCGATCTTGAGAAGACCGCTGGTGAGTCGTGACTCAGCCACAGGGCAGGGGAGATCAGGAGTAGACTCCTGCTTCTTACTCTCCTAAGACAGACCACAGAAGAAGGGACAGTTTTATTTAATAGACACCATCAGACAACAGAACACACAGGTTTATAGTGAAGAATGGCAAAGGAGTTAAAAAGAAGTCTCCTCAAGTTCACCTTTATTAAGGGGGGGCCCATAGGCAGCAGCCTCTGTGAGAAGATGCAGTTCACTTGTGATGCCAGAGCTCCATAAATGCAAACTATTGAAAATACTGCAAGCATGGCCACTGTGGAGAATATTTTTTCATGTTAATCCGTGTAATTATAATTTCAGGCAATACTTAGGATAAAAAGGCTGGTCCAGGAAGAGCATTTTTTTCTTACTTTCTAGTTCATACGGTAGTCGCCGCAGAGTGGACAGCAGGAAACAGACCAAAACAATTTCCATGACTGTTGTCAGAAGCAGCAAGACCAGGTTCCTGTAGGCAGCTGAAACAAACAATGAAATATTGAGAATAAGATCAAAACAAAGATGTTGAATAATTCTTCTGTCAGAACATTAATCTGTTTTCAATCTTACCAATCAGCATCAGGAAAGCATTTATGACCAGCAGAGCAATGGCTCCAGCTGTGAAAGCGTAGTTTGCCTCTGAGGAAAGCTGAAGGAGGTCACCTAGAGAAGAGCAACTTGTGGTCAGATTTTTGTGTAATTCAGTCACAGAAAAAGAACAAATTTAAGCATGTTTATATCATACCTGCAAACCTGAACCAGGTCCAGGTTGCCCATACTGCCACATAGATGGATGAGATGACTGACCCGAAGCGGTCCCCTCCATTAACCTGCAGTCGGCTGACGTATATCTGAATGATGGCTCCAGAGATGAGCACCCAGGGGATGGTCAGATGAAGAAATGTGGAATTTGTACTTGATGAACTTGCATGAAGAGCCGAAAGAGCTGCAACCCCATTAAGAAGATAGAACAAGGCGTCTGACACTTGGTCATTTTGGGGGAGAACCTCATGTTCATCCATTTTGGTCCCCCAGCACCCTAAAGCCATCCTGAACTGGTCTGTTGAGACGGGCTGTGCTCCTACAGGTATCAGAGACTTCTCTGCAATAGTGTTGATAAGTCGTGAGAAGGTACCATACAGGGACACTGCAGTGAAGAGGGAGCAAGCTACACCAAAGAAGATGTAGTATCCCTGTGGGGGGATCTGGGGTATTGTTGAGATTGTGACCAAGACGAACAGCAGGTTGTGGATCAGCTCCAGTACATCTGTGTTCAGACTTCCCATGCAAAGCACCAAACCTGCCATCACAAAGAACCAATTTCCTACCATTGTTTCCCTCCCTGGCACCACTTCACTGTCTTTCACAGCCAGAGCAGATATCACAAACTCATCCCAGGCTTTGATCAGCCAGTATGTCGCATGAAGACCAAACTTCGTGGTATGGTAGCAGTCCTGTCGCAGATAAGCGTAATAGCTAGAGAACAGCTGTGCAACTGAGATGATTGAGACCCATACAGCCCCTAAGCCAAAGGCCTTCATGAAGCCAAAGTTGTAGAAAGCAAAAATGAAGGGGGCTACTGTATCACAGAAGAAACCTAAAGCAATGGGCTCTGCGTATTTGGTGTTTTTCTTCTTCTCTTGGCCAATGCTCTGAGCACTTCCTGAGGTGGTTGTCCCCAGCAGGAGGACATTAAAGAGGGGGGTACCAAAACCTTTAAGGACTAGGCGTTGGGTTAGACCCTTGAGAAGCAGAGCAGCTGAACCATAGATGGCAAAAAGCAAAATGAGCAACTCCAGAACTCCAGAGACCACTAGAGCCCAGGAGCTGGATACCAGACTGGCTGCTTCAAAAACTAAAGTTAATGTGATGGCACCAAAAACAAAAGGCATGATGTAGTTGACTGTGGCAGAGCAGAACGCAAGGAGGAAAGACAACAGGATATAAGGCACCAGACCAGCAATGGCTGACTCTTCGATAGACTGGTTTAGATGGCTAAAAGGGATCTTTGGGGTTGCATTCAAAGACATGTTGCTCATCAAGGAAGCTGGCACTGAACCATTGCTCATTATCAAAGATGCTGTTGTATTAGTTTCAGGAAATGCACCAAAGTAGATTCTTGTGGCGCCATAACTTCCCCAAAGAGCAGCATAACCAATGAAGGCAGTGCCACTCAGGTGATCATATTTTCTAAAGGAGAGCAGGCCTGCCACCAGCTGGCAAAAGCCACCAATCAGGATAAGATGAACACCTGTGAAACACAAATGAAAGAGAAATGACTAATACAGGTAAGAATTTCAACAACCTTTACAACATCAATAAAAAAAGGAGCCTCACCAGCAAGGATGTTTTCCACTCCCACTGGTGCGATGCCGGTGTGTGCTGTATTGAAGTTTTGCAGAAGTACAAGGAATGCACTGATCCCATTGGATAACATGCCTAACACTCCTGGTTCACCATAGAAGCTGGCTGGAAACCCATCTGATGTTGCCATAGTGTTGTTGTTGTCAAACTAAGATTTAAATAAAACAGTGAAACTGTGAAATTGAACACTTCTTCATTTTCTATTGATAAAATTAAAGAATCATATTCGGTGCAGAAATCTGGCAAGTGACAAATTTAGGTCCCTCTAAAATGCTATTATAATTAATGCGTCAAAGTGTAAAGTAAAGTAAAGTGTAAGTAAATTTATATATATTCAGACTTATATATAACCTTACTAAAGTTGTAAAGAGGAAGCTCACTTTGACTGGAGAAAAAAGTATTTGACTCCCTTTAATACACAGGAAAATTGCAGCAAGCTACATGCATTGCCTTTGTGTAAAACATTGTAACAGGGTATCTAAACATCAAAAACAATGCCTTTACCCTCAAAATAAGTAATTATTGTGTTATTTACATATATTCCTCTCTGTTAGGCTATTTTCTGTCTTGTTTCCCTGAACACTCACAAGGAAAGAGAGACAGATCGTGTGGCCCTGCCCACTCATTAGAGGGCTGACCTACTGTAACTGTGTTTCAGTTTCAAAGACACCGAGGTGAGGCTGTGCTCAACTTTACTGCTGTGATGAGTGGGACTAGTGAGCATAAGTAAGTATTCTCTCAAAGACTGGAAAACAGGTATTTTACTCATTTCTAGCCAAGAGATGGATAACAGTATTGATTTAATCAGATGTAATTTTTAGAGTTTAGATTTAAAAAAGGTTCCTTGGAGCATCTTCAGATACTAATAGCACATGGTAAAATCCTGTCTCTGTCAGTTCATTCTGTAACATTTAAAACTGTACATGTAATACAGTGTTAGTGCTATTAATGAAGCAATGGTCATAAGGTCTTACCTGGTGAAGAGGCTCAGACAGGTGAACTGTTGTTCTGACGAGTTGTTCTGAAGTAGGGGGGAAAGTTAGACATAAATAAGGTTGGTCAGAGTGGTGGAGGAGGAGTTGGGAATGAAAATTCCCCCATACCATCATTTGACCTGCAATCTGAGAGGTGACATCACAGCTCCTCACCTTATACAGTAAAGTGCCACTCCTTCTTCCTCCCCTGATGATGGTGATGATGATGCTGATGGAAATTCCTCCACTTTATCTGATGCCTTTTTTTTTTTTTTTTTTTGTTGAGAATATTGTTTTGTTTCCCTGTCCCTCCCAGGTTAGGATCATCAGACACTGTGAGTCCTGGACTATATAAGACACAGACTCTCACATCAGAGTATCAACATCCATCAGAAGCTGCTGACAGCAAGTTTGCTGCATCAGGAAGAAAGAAGAAAAAAGAAAAGCAAAGAAGCTGAAGTCATGATCTCCACACTACTGGTAAAGATTTGTAGATTTTTTTATCACTATTTCTGTGTTGAAAAGGACACAAACTTTAATTTCTGTGTTATAAAGGGAACAAATTTGGTCGTATATGCAAGAAAAAAACGTTTTTTGATATGGGAAGTAATGTGAAATTTTATTTTTATCTTCTAGGTGTTTTTTTTTTTTGTTATAGTTCATGGTAGCATATAGTTTAAAAACTCCCTACTCTTTCTGTAAATGTTAACCAGATTACAAATACTTTAGCATGCCTGTCACAGCTCCACTTAAGCAGCACAATAGCTCATTTATAAGAAGCACATAGGCAGGCTTAAGGATATTTGTGATTGACTTATTAAAATCTGAGTCTGAAAAACATAAGGCAGAAATTCTGTGTCTCAAATAGATCAGAGATTTTCTGTAAGAAATCATATATTACACAGTAATGTAATAAATATGAGACTCAGAGATTTAAAGGTTCATTTTTGTGCTTTTTCACTCTGCAGAAAACCTTCAGACCAGTGTTGGCTGTGAGAGGGCTGCATCAGTCTGCAGTGAAAGGTGACTAAACTTTACTCAGACCAAACAACAAAAAACATATTTTTTAATGATTTTTAAAAATATATCTTTTTTACTTCTTCCTTATTTACCTCTCCCTTCCTACAGTCTTGAATCATCCGGCTCCAGAAGAAACTGTCACAGCCAGCTTTGGGAAGTTCATTAGTGAGCTGAAACCCCAGCACCTGTCCTCCTTAGTGCTCCACCGCAGTAAAAGGATGGTGCTGGACAGCATCGGGGTCGGTCTGATCGGCAGCACAACAGACGTGTTTGAGCTGGCCCTGCAGCATTGCCAGGTGAGACGCTGCGGGAAAGAGAAATAATATCCTAAAGGTCTTATCTAATATCAAGCAATTAGACTGATGAGAGAAACTGCTTGACCTTCTTCTTCCAGTCTTAAGTCAGCAGCTGTGTGTAGACAGAGGAGAGCCAAAAAAATATTTGGTTATTTGGAAGCTAATTTTGTCATCAAACCAAACTTGAGAGCAGGCAAAGGTCTGATGACCTTTCTCTCCAAATTTCTGTCTTTGACATATGACTAACAAAAAGCTCCTCCAGTTTTCAGCATGGGGGTGATATGCCAAAGGGTTTTGGTTAAAGTTCATTTCATGCTGACAAAATGTTATGCTGTGACTGTGTTTGAAAAACTCCCACAACAAGGCCCTGCATTTACCTGTCTCCATCTGTCCCCCTCAGCACATGTACGCTCCTGATGATATCAGCTGTGTGTACGGACGCAGGGGCACAAGACTTTCTCCCACACTGGCAGCTTTTGTTAACGGAGTGGCGGTGAGTTTGTTTTGGTGGAACAGACGGGTCACATTAACTTCTTGTACACCTGACTATTTAATGTGTGATTAAGTCAGTATTACAGCTATTTCATATTTTGTCCCTGTCTGGTTAGCCTACCACACAGGAGACAATGATGAAAATAGAGAAATGAGCTCATCTAAAATTTCCAGCACTGGGTCTGCAAACATTGTCTGGCTCTTATTTTGTTATGTGTTTCAGTCTGTTATGGAAAAGGGAAAGTCACAGAGAAAGTTGACAGCGACTCTGATTGTTGTGTTAATTCAGCAGCTAGACTCATGGAAAATCTGCAGATAATCAGCTCATTGTTTTTAATATTAAAGGAACCATGTGTGTTTCTGCCTTATAAAGTTTAAAATTTGTGTTTTGTTACCACGCTGCAGACTCACTCCATGGACTTTGATGACACATGGCACCCTGCAACTCATCCCTCAGGAGCCGTCCTTCCTGCTGTGCTAGCACTTAGCGACATGATGCCGGCTAACAGTAAACCCAGTGGCCTGGACTTCTTGCTGGCTTTCAATGTTGGCATTGAGATCCAGGGCCGACTGATGAGGTTCTCTAATGAGGCCCATAACATCCCTAAAAGGTGAGAGCCCATACTGTCAGTTACTGGCTTTAAGCAACATAACAGAAGGTTTTATTGCACCACAGTGGGTCTCCTTATGTGATCATTTCACAGATATAAAGCCTGCTCCCTGATGAATGCTTATATTTATAATCTACATAAAGAACAAGCATCCACATGGGTCTTAAGAGATCCATATTTGACTCTGCTGAACTCAGCAGTATGGTCTACAAGGAGGCCACTGGAGGCAGTGTAATGTGCAGCCTGGTGGTGTCAATGAGCTGTGAAAGTAGTGTTATTATGTCCGTCTCAGGGACAGGAGGGTCTCTGTGGGTAGTGTAAGCACAATTAGTCATGTGGAGGAGAATCTCACACAGGTCTCCATTTGGAAAGTGTTTACACCAGGTCAAACGACCCACCACATTATTTGTGTTTATCTAATTTTGAAATGTCTAAAAATCTGCTTAAAGAAGCCATCGCTGCATGTTGTACAAAGGAGGATCTGTTTAAAGAGAGACAAAATGAATCATAGGAGGCGTTTTCAGAGACAAGAGAGTAAACAGTTCCAAAACACCTTACCAAAGTCCCTCTGTCTGTGTCTCTTCTTCAGGTTTCACCCTCCCAGTGTTGTTGGGACGATGGGAAGTGCAGCCGCCTGTGCAAGCCTCCTGTCTCTGGACCCCTCCCAGTGCAGTCATGCCTTGGCCATAGCTGCGTCTTTATCAGGAGCCCCGATGGCTAATGCTGCCACTCAGTCAAAACCCCTGCACATTGGTAATGCTTCACGTTTAGGGCTGGAGGCTGCACTGCTGGCCTCTCGAGGCCTTGAGGCCAGTGCTTTAGTCTTAGATGCTGTTCCTGGAGTAGCTGGCTTCAGCGCTTTTTATGAGGATTATGTGCCTCAGCCTTTAGAATCACCCAATAATGATGGCCATATGTTCCTATTAGAGGAGCAGGACATGGGCTTCAAGCGCTTCCCTGCCCATCTGGGGATGCACTGGGTGGCAGATGCTGCAGCCTCAGTACATAAGCTTCTAGTGGGGTTCGGCCCTGGCACTGTCTTCCCAGAACAAGTCCAGGACATCCTGCTCAGAGTCCCCAAGTCAAAATACATCAACAGGCCTTTCCCTGACTCTGAGCATGAGGCTCGCCACTCCTTCCAGTTCAATGCCTGCAGCGCTCTCCTGGATGGGGAGGTGACCGTTGAGTCCTTCACACCTGCTGCCATAAGTCGTCGTGATCTGCACGCTCTGCTTAGCCGTGTACGTATAGAGCATCCTCATGACAACCCAGCTAACTTCAACCGCATGTACGGAGAAGTCCAGGTGACACTAGTGGGGGGAGATATTCTGAAAGGTCGCTGTGACACCTTCTATGGTCACTGGCGCAACCCGCTGACCGATGAGAGCCTGAGGAAGAAGTTCAGAAACAACGCAGGGTCAGTGCTGCCCTCAGGGAAGGTTGAGAGGCTGATTGATCTGGTGGAGGAGCTAGACAGACTCGGGGACTGCAGAGCCCTCCTGTCACAGCTGCAATGAAGGAACAGTCACACACACAGTTAGAGGAAAACTGACAGGTTGTAAATGAATCAATCAAAAACCGTATGCATACAAATGCAAAGGAAAATTGAGCACAAAAATGGTTTTCTTATTGTTTAAGGTGTTAGGTTTCAACTGCTATTGGCTTCCTCACTGTACATATATTTTAATGCCAAGCCTTTGACTAATACTGACAAATATATTAATTTTGAAAATATTTATCCAATCTTTACTATATTTAATTCTTGTATATTAATATTGTATTTATCAAAAATTAATAAATAAATATTTATGGTAAAATGAAGGGAAAATAAAAGGGCATTGCTCAAATATTTAAATAGCAACTTTATGCACATGTACAGTATACTGTTTGCTAAATTGTATTCTAGGTGTTGATGGTTGTTTGGAAAAACATGTTGTAAATATGAATGTAAACATTTTGCTTCTGAGTTTGGAAATGATGTTTTAACACGTTACACATTTGCAGCATTTTTGTTTATCTTTTTGTGGGAATAAAACAGCTTGAAAATATCTTCTGTGCTTTTTTGCATTTCATACCACAATCATCTCTGAAAAACAGCTTCAATTTTATGACGACACACAGAGACAAAACAGTCACATGAAGTCACAAAATGTAGCATATTATGTTGATAATAAGGATTAATGGATGGTAAATCATTAAAAATACGGTGTGTGTCTGCGAAGAATAAAACATTTGCAAGTCATTCAGTTGAAACAAGCAGAGCAAAAATAGTTGTTCAATAACTACTAAGCCTGAAAAGTTTTAGTGCCTTTCCTATCAAGTGTCTACATTTAGAGTGGAGGAAACAAGAGTTAACACACTTTTAAGTGGAACAGTGCTGGGAAAAGACAGTCTAGCCTGAACTCCCTAAGTTAATATTTAACAAGAAGTCTGTACAGGAAGAAAAAGACATATGTCTGGGAAACACAGGTTCATGGAGCCTGCTTGGTCTTGTATGGAACACTGGGAAACCAATCAATGAGTCTGAAAGTCTGAAGATGTAAACAGTCCAACATGCAAACAAAATTTTGTTCAAGGTAGTACATAACTGGAAAAACACAGGTGATCACAGATGAAGAAAATTACAAAATAACGCCATGAATGTGGATGGGATGATGATGCCTGAATAAACAACAATAAAAGTTAATACCGCGGTTGAAACTACCTTCTGCTAAAAAAAAGGAGTCTAAATCTACAGAAGGTCTTTCACAAATACAAAGGCAATAAAACTGTCTCCTTCAGAAGATGTTTCGTCTACTCAGGGAAACAGAGAGTACGTGACAAATATTGGTTTGTGCTCAAGAAAGAGGTAGTGTTTTATTGGGCAGGGTGGCATAAGGATATTTCCAATTTACAGAGTAAAACAGAAAAACCTGCTTACAGAGAACAAGGAAAAACTGAAACTGATTCCTACTGAAAACAGTTGTATCTTAGTGATTGCTTGATGACAGCAAAAGGAGGATGTAAAGCAGAGGTAATCACTGCTCTGCAGGGAAGGTGGTATGAAGAGACTCAGATTTTCAAGGGGAAGGGCAACAGCTGCTGCAACGCATAAAAACATTCCTAACGGTAAATCCCGCAAAACAGACAAAAGCTGCTAAAAATATCCCCCGTGTACAATAACTAGCAGACCTTTGTATGGAGAAACACACTCGTGACAAGAAAGTGGACAGTTTTCTCTTTCCCTCACCCTTAGCAAGCAAAACCACACAAAAGCAGTGCAACCTTAGACTTCTACAGGGCTCCCTCCATCCATACAAGGATAGACATAGATGACATAGATGGACTTCCCAGCAACACAATGGTTTCTAGTTTCCTTAGGTAATCTAAGGGTGCTAGTAAGCCCAAGTGTAATGGATTACAGTCAGAGACACAATGTAGTGGTGTCATTTTTATGGTGCTACATTAACACATGTCAAAGATCTGTCAGAGGTTTGACAGTGGGTCGGTGGGAGTTCATAGAGGGCAGTAAAAAGTTTGTCATTTCTGGTAATACAACAATTGCTGTGAGTTTGGACTCACAATATTCTGAACTCAAAGAAGGTGTACTTGAGAAAAAGTTCTCTGTCAGGTAAAAGTACTCATTGACTTTATATATAGGCAAAAGACAAAGGCAGTCCTTAGGTTTAAGTATCAATGTTTGTAGTGCAAGAAAAACATTCTTTAACTTTGATTATCACTCACATGAAAACTCTTCCACAAGCAGAAACAGTACTGAAGACTACAGCCTCTGTTTTTGAGGTGCACTATTTGATTTTAAGCTAACTTGTAGCCCACTTGATGGCATGTTTTAATGTTTGTCAGTGTTTTGCTACTCTTTGTGATGATGCTTTGAATATTCATGTGAAGCAATCTAAATTGTCTGACTGAAATGTGCGACATGGATAAACTTGCCAAAAGTCAGCTGTTTTTTTTCTATTTAATGGATGTTTTTTTAGAGGAAGTTTTGGAAAAGACAATATTTTATGTATCGTTCCCATCTTGTGTTTTGAATAGAAACGTTCAAAACACCTCTCACTGTATTGTGGTCTAAATCCCTAGCAACTGCTAATGTTGAATAGATATCTCTTTGACAGCCTCAGTCAAAGATGAACATATTCAAGGTGTGTCAGAGATGATTTATTGAATCACATCAGAATGTTCAAGTGTACCTTATACGGTGACTTGCGGGTTTACATCCATGTATTTTTTTAAGGAAAGTAAATTAAAAGTCTCAAGTGACCTCCATTAAACATCTGTAGAAATGTCGGCACATAACAAAATCTTTTGTTGAATAATTTAGCCAAAATTGTAGCAGAGTTTTATCTGACATCATTTTCAAAAGGTCCAAGATTTATAATTCATTTTAAATACTGCCATTAAACTACAATAAACTCAAGGCAACCACATTGATAACACTGTTACAATGGCACAACGGTATGTAGTAACAATCTAAAAAGTTATTTGCATTACGTAAAAAAAGAAGTCTAAGAGCAGTAGACAATGTAATGGCCTTTTATTTCAGTAGAAATAACAATGATTGATTTAAGTCGTAACTTTTTTTGTTAAAGAAAAGTACAAGGAGAATACTTATTGAGTGAAGAAACTTAACACCTTTAGGACTGTGTTTTTCTCTTTTAATCTTGATTTGAGTGGCTACAACAGCAAGTTTTACACACGAGTCAAATAGCAACCGATGGTCAGCAGAACTGCACGAGAACCGCTTATCTGTTCAGCCATCTGATGTAATCACTCCCAGGCTGAAAATAGTGTACTTTTGGTTCCAGTACATTTGCTCTGAACATGTTTTTGAACTGTAATCATGCAGAGCTGGACAACCAAAAAAAGTCAGTGCAACTATGTTGATCACAAACAAGGCCAAAGAGCCTTTAAGAAGAATCTCCTGATGTAGATTCATTATAGTTTGACACTTCAATAAGATTTTCATCTGGATCTCTGAAGTAAAGAGAAGTAATGACCCCCACAGCTCCAGTCCTTTCCACCGGACCCTCCTCTATCTCAATCCCACAGACCTAGGGATGAGAACAGACAAAAGATTAACAAAATAAACAAAAAGCATTTTGGTAGCAACAAAATGTGACATACAAGCCTCCTTTTAAGATAAACCACTTCCAAGATGATCATTTGCATCAAAATTCAAAGGGAGTAGTTTAGAGAGACCTTTAGATGTGCAGCTACAGTAGCCAGAGGTGTTTTAGTGATGAGACATAGGTCTGCAGAGCCCGAGGTGGGACGTTTGGCTTTTGGTTCAAACTCCTGACCCCGCTGATGAAGATTAAACTTCTGCTGCCCAAAGCCCAGAGCCTTACGGTTCCCCTTAAAAATGCAAAGAGTAAACGTGTGTTCACCAAAAAAGTGTCTGAAAGCTCCTGACAATTCAGTAAGTAGTGAGGGCCACTGTTATTTTAAAATGGAAGCCTGTCATCTAGTGGTTGATCTCTGTAACTTACTGTAATGGAGGGTTAAACATCCTCAGAGCCCTTTGAAGATAATTTATGTCCACTGACAATAGTACAGACAAACACCACAGAAATAACTGTAAAAACAGCCATTACTTGACCCCTTCAGATAGATATTTTTCCCAACAACAAAAATAAAATATAAAAATAACACAAAACGATGCTATTTTTTGTGCAGAGCAGCTTGCATACCTTAAAAGTGATGACCTCCATGCCAAGGACAGAGGAGTAAAAGTTGACAGTGTTTTGCACATTTTTCACTGTTAGAACCAAATGATCCAGATGGCTGACTTCAACTGGACAGGAACTTTTGAGTCTGACTGTTGCAGGTGATTGAATGTAAAAAGTCTAAAATAAAGGAGGAAAAACAGAAACAAAAAACTGTTATCCTCGCAGATAGGCAAATTTATATCTGATCCAAGAGAGCCCCTGCGTGGTAAAACGAGGTACTACATCATTCAAGTTTTAAAATGGTATAACTCTCCAAACTGTCCTATCAGGAAAACTTGATCGCAAAAATCACTTCGTTTACATCCCTAAGTATGCACTATTATAAAGTTAAATCAAGGGACAACATTTGAATGTGCTTCCGTTTAAGGTAAGCTTTCACAACGTAAGAGAAAGCGACTCTAAGAAGCAATTCCGGTCAGAGTAACACGTTTTCTTAAAAAAAAAAAAAAAAAACGTCAAACTGCTGTTGATTATCTTTGTTGACATGGTTTTACCTTGAAACAGCTCACGTTCATGCGCCACACACGATTCCCAGCTGCTCGGAGCGCCATCCTCACCGTGGACACGGGCACTTCCTTGTTGTGACAGCCGAGCTGTTACCACGACCAGAGTAGCGAAAAAAGCATCACGGGAGACAGAATAAAGCGCCAAAATTAAATTATAATTCATATTGGTGACTAGGGTTAATCTACAGTTAATTTGAGTCAATATCAAGTATACAGAGTGTAGCTAAGTTTAACTGACAGTCCTTTATAAACCATTATCAGTGCGCTCTATTTGGCCTCGAAAATCTGTAACAGCTTTAAATTATTGTCTCTAAATATGTTTATGGCAAGGGCTGTATTCGTGCATTTTTTGTCAAACAGTATGGAGTGATTGTGTTGTCTTCCCAGCCAGCAGGGGTGCTGGTTTAACAGCTTTGATAAAAAAAAAATCCCTGCATGATGTCACGTGTCTCTAAAAGCTACATGTGATGTCAATATTACAAATTCAGGGGAAACCGAAAGCTACATCTCTTACTATCATCATGGTGGTCATACTTTCATTCAATGTAAGAGTTTATCTTTTAAGACTTTGGAATTTATTTAAGACATTTTTAAAAAATAAGACAATGAACCCAAAATGTGTATTAATTGTCAAACCAAAGGGACAATTGTGTATTTAAGTTATTAAACCTTCAGGCAGAAAAGTCATGTGTGCACTTTGATGAAGAGTAAAACAATGTCAAAGTAACTTGCACAGAATACATATCTACAATCCATTCTTAAGTATAGCTTTTTTTTTTAATTCAGCGGTTAGTTTCATTTAACACCCACTTACATACTGCAGTGGGTGGGTCACAGAGGAAGGCCATAACTAAAGCAAGGCCTTAAAGGGATCATACATTTCATTTACATGTTTATTATGGTATTCAACAATGACAACGTCTTGCATTCAAATGTTATTTCCCACACTTATCTCAAGGGAGGTTATATTTGTGGCAAAAACATCAAACAGTGAAACAAGAAACACAACAGGCCGGCATTGCTTATGGTGCCCTTTCTTACTTACGCCAGTGTTCCTGTTCATCAACAGTGCTATTAAAACCTACAGAACTTCTAAATAGAATGAACTTAAACACATTTAAAAAGTTTATGTCTTCATTTAACATTTTAACCTTTAACAACAGCTTTAACAATATCATACAATAATAATATCATGGTTTGTATTCCCCTACTTTTACCTAGCATGTATTGCACACTGATATGAAGCATCTGCTCGTTAAGCAGGATGAGGGTACAAAAAGTGAAAATCTTGGCTTTGTTTTGGGGCCTTTCATTACAAGAGGACGATGTGGGTTTCGGTGAATGTCTGAATCTTGGAACTCTGGCTCAATACATTGACTCGTCCATTAGGATGAAGCAGCAGGGGGAGAAATCTTGACGACAGGTCCACATTTCAGTCTTGGCCACAAAGGGTCAATGTACTATATACCTCCCTGGCTTAGAGAACTTAACTCATTAGTCAATAAAATTAAAGAATCATTATGTACCTGAAAAAAAGCAAAGGAGCAGAATCCAATTGATGGAACAAATGCCAAATGAAAAAATAAAAAAATCAGTGTGAGCTCATTGTCGTACATGAAACAGTAAATGTCATTTTTACAAGTGGGAAAACCAAGGAAACTATTTCAAGTTTCTGTATTCATGCCTGTTAGTATTTTCAGGTGGGAATATTCACATGCCAAAAATCTGTTTTCAACCCGTCAGCTTCTACCATTACAGAGACATCTCTAACTTTTTGCTTTAATACAAAATCATTTTCAATTCAACAGAAAAGCGCTGTTAAAGGGTTCAAAATAAAATAAACATGCCTTCTGCAAAGGTTATTAAAAAAAGGGTTGATTTATCGTTTCATTATACTTGTATATTTTATTTTGAAAAACAATTCAGTGCTCATGGTATACTTTATGCCACACCAAAATAGCAATTTCTTTCCCATGTAAATGGCAATCCTATTGATGTTCGATGTCCTTTGGACATCACAACCAAGACATTACTCTGAGTTGTGAACTGATAGAACTTATCTGACACCAAACTGAGAGATGCTCTGATAGAGTCATTTCCATCAACACCACCCTAATCTTCATATTACATAATTTACAATCCAAACCCAAATTACTGATACAAAGTATGAATCAAAATTATTTTTTTACAAGCTTATTTACAGCTAATACTTTAAACTGGTGTAACTAGGAACTGTACCAATACCATCTTCTAGTAAATAAGGCACCGGTTAGGGTGTCAATACCAGAGTAATTGTGCCTGAACTACTGAGTGTGCAGCATTCTTAAACCGGGGGTTCTTAATGACACAACAGCCTACCAGAGCATAGCTGAACACAATGAGAAAAAAAAAAGAAAAGAAAAAAGAAAAAAAAACGTTTGGTCACTGCAGGTTGATTCCATCAGCATGCATTGCTTGTGCCTTACTTTATACTGCAATAATATATGCCTTCCTAGAGATTGATAATGTCCTTAAACAACAGTATAGAGAATCCCCAAATCAAACCTGCGACTTCATCAAAATCAAACTCACAAATGGTATGAAGAGTGATAAGTGGAAACACATTTTTCTGAACTCCACCTTATAGACTTGGGATACTGGTTTACTGAGGTTGTGACAAAAGGCCTACAGTCTTCTGTGAGCTACACCACACTCTCTCGGTTGGCTGATACAAGGACAGCCCTGCGGCAGATTGGACAGGTGGAGTTTTCTGACAGCCAGCGATCAATACAGTGCACGTGGTACTCGTGAGAACAAGGAAGCTTGCGCAGCTTGTTCCCTTCTGCATACTCTGTTATACATACACTGCAAGTTTTCAGTGCATCACTCTCCCCAAAGTTGCGCATGGAGAGGTTATCAATCTGCTCTTTGGTCAGCCCTTGGGGCTGGTCCTCATCATCATCATTTAAGAGGAAGAAGTGAGCAAGCCTCAGGAAGGGCAATGAGCTGGGCTCTTCTAGACTAATAGGGGGTCTTGGTCGAGCCCTACCACCAGGGGCAAGTGGACCAGTAGCAAGGCCCTCATCCACATCAGTCTCAGCTGTCCTTGCTCTGATTCCTGCTGCCACAGGGGGTTCCTCAACATCAGCAGCAGGAGGTGGAGCAGCAGGAGCAGCTTCTGGGTTGTTGAGAGCTTCAGACAGATCAGCAGTTGTGTTGGCCCCTCGGTTTGAATCTGAAGAGTCAGAATCTGAATCCATGAGGTAACCGAGTTCACCAAAACCAGTCATAATCTGCCGAATCATTGACTGAAGAGCCATTGAGGTTGCCTCCCCTAAACCTGCATCAGAGATTCTTCGGATAGGGATGCGTATTGTGCTGACATAGGTCCGGACACCAGCACGCTCAGAACGTGAGAAAGTCCTTCGAAAACCACCACGTTCACTTTCATAAAGAAATGTGTTATTAGAGTTCTGGGAGCGTGAACGGGTACGACTAGCAATGCTGTCTCTCTGACGGTACTCGCCTGGACGAACACGGCGCACCTGAAGATCAAGCATAATAGTAGGGGGACGGCGCCCAGCAGCACTTCCCTCTCCCCCAGCAGCTTCTCCTTCCTGAGATGTGACATTTTGTGTCTCTGGAACTGTTTCTGGGTCAGCCCCTGAGGGCTGAACATCACTATCTACATTGCTTTGTCTAGAAAGAACATGTTGCCGAGTCCGGGAACTGCCCTCTACTTGAGGGGTAGGATGGTTATTGGGGGAGGTGTTGGGGCCTTGAAAGCTATGGGCACTACGAGGATAAGCAATACCATCCATCTGATCCAAGTTGAGAGGAGATCGGCTCCTGGCTGTACGGGCCCTAGTCCTGCGTGGCTCTGGACTGCGACTGCGGGGCCTCCTTTGCCCTCTACGTGGAGAAGGAGAAAGTGGAGGTTGCACTGGCAGGGGAACTGTAGCAGGTGGGCTGGGTGGTTCTTCTAAAACCTCTTGAGAGACAAACTCTTCCAGTTCAGGCTCTGGTTCCACTACGACAGCCAACTCCTCTACGACTGGTTCTTCCACCACCTCCGTCTCCATGGGGACCTGAGGTTCAGCATTAACTAAAACCTCTTGGCTCACGGGTGCCTCTTCTAGGGAGACTTCTGGAGATTCCTCTGGGGCGCTCTCTGTGGGCTCTTCTGGAGTATCATCGGGAGTCTCCCGCTCCCCTTCTGCTGCAGCCTGTTGTTCAGCCAGGTTGCGGTTGACACTTATCTCCAAGCTGAAGCGGAAATCACCACTGTTTGGGTTAGTTTGGCTTATGGCTCGCCATGACTGGTTTCCACGATGCCCAGTTCTAGTTGTGTTGCCTGTTCGCCTCACTGTGTTCAGTAAGTCCAAGAGGCTATCCCCACTCGCAGGATCCTCAGAATCTTCTGGGGGTTCTGAAAATCAGCAGAGTTAACAGGTGATTAATCATACATAAAATTGGCAGTATGGCTAAGCTGGAAGAAAAAAAATATATATATACCAGTTGGGTCCTCTCCACTTTCAGGGGTGGGGGTGGTTTCCTGCTGCTCTGGACCATCCTTTATCTGCTGGAGTCTACTAATGAGCTCATCTTGAGTTGCTTCTCCTGAAACAGACAGTTAAACACAAAATATTTGCGTTAAAGATGAAACATGTTTACCTAGTCCAGACTTTTTGAAGGCTGTACAGTGTTTTGTCACTTCCTCTTCTCTACTCTATGCAGAAACGTAAGGTAAAGGAGATACTGCTTATGTGCGGTTGGGAGGAGGATGCTTGACTTCCAATAAAGAGATCAAACAATGTAAATGTGTTAAAGGGTAGCCCAGTCACAGGCAGACAGCTTCAGAGAAAAAAATAAAAGGTGATAGGTTTTGCAGGTGATGTACATGTGTCACATTAGAAAATAACATTTTCCAAGTTGGGGATTTTATCGGCCCATGAGCTGTATGGTTTTCTAAGAACACAGCAACAGGACAATACTGAAAACCTCCAGACTTACCAGGGCATGCCACCGTCCATTCAATGCCCTCTCCCTGCAGGATGCTCCACTAAAGGATGCTCCAAACTTACATTCCTCCTTCTCACTATCCTGGGACAGAAACGGATTGGGCATCTTCAGCAGTTCAGTCTGTTGCATTTGGCACATTGTGACAAATCCCAAACTAGCCTAAACCCACTAAGCTTAATGTTTTATAAAACTATCATACTTTATGGCAAGCAGAAGACAAAACTCCTCATTTTTGTGTTTGAATATATATCTGATGGGGGAGATACAGATAAAGATGATAAATTCAGTTACATTCCTAAATGACAGAGTAAATCAGTGAACATAAGCTTGTGATGATATGTCGTATTAACTGACATAGATAACTTTTGAAATTATAAATAATAAAATTGAAAGGACTTGAAATATAACATTAGAAACAGTCATCAAAATACACAGTTGTCCTGTTAATTATCACCGCTCACACAGTCTGTGCCCTGATCCTGTCCCTCCGCTGATGTGAACCATTGCCTCCAGATACTACTATATGTAGGATGGGCTGGTTTGCCTTAGCAGCTCAGTCAACAAAAAACAAGCCAAATTTGAAGACCAGTCAAAATATACAAAAGGGTAGACTTCTTAAAGGAAACTTTTGTTGAACCTGTTAGTAAAGAACCAGTATAAGGCCATGACTAGTACTGTGTTTGCTGAGCTCCTTGTGCTAGTTTAAACATTAAAATGTTTGATGACTGCACGGATGACAAGTTGCTTTTCTACAAGCTTACTATGTGTTTTGATATTGTCTTGGTTTTTATTCAAAAATAAATAAACACAAAGAGCTGGAGGTTGACAGGGAAGTAAATGAGCATTTGGACCTGGATATGGATTACACTTTAAAGAAAGCATCACGCTTAACATCCCGACTGAAGTGGCAGTGTAAGTTTTAACAGCCCACTGAATAACTTTTAATGTGGGGAAGCATGTAACACAGAATATATTCAACAGTTTAAGTCTGCCAAATCACATTAATCAAACAATTTTGTTTCCTGTCTAGTTTTCATACCCCTATATATGCACAAGTCTGAACACAGTCCATTGTTTTACTCTTGAGCATAATTATAAAATCAGTTCCGAACAAGAATCTTCAAAAACAGCATATAAAATGAAAAACCAACAAAATCTCATGTTGCACACATACAAGGGAGGATGGATTTTTCAGAGGTTTCTTCAAATCTTCAGAAACTTGAGCGTCTAATAAAGCCATATCATATTTTGTAATCAAACTTTGGATAATTGTTTAAATATCAGAATCACTACAATCACAGATTCCTGTCACAAGACAGCAGACTGGTATAATAATAATAATATTTTTTTGTTTTGTTTGTTTTTACCTGGGGTGCCCAGAAGATTGTTGTCTCTCATGAGACGATAATCCTCATCGCTGAGATTGTTGACAAACTGGTAGAAGGCCTCTTCCCTGCTGAGGCGGTCCAGCTGCCTTCTGCGTGGTGACTCCGGCTGGTCACTGCCACTCTGATCTAAGCTGTCAGACCCCTCCATTGATTCAGAAGGAGGGTCAGGGGATCTTCTCAGAACCGCAGCAAGACCCAGTTGCTGTAATACAAAGGAGGAAACACACAGGCTGTACTTTAGTTCAGACGGATAGACCCCAGTCGACGAAATAATCAGTGTGGTTTATTGAGGCTGCTAATTTTAAGGACACTATAAAAGATATAAAGAGAGCTTATGGCTCGACAAATATCGAGTATTCACACTCTGTCGGCAATTAATGTAATGGCCGTTTTGATGTGTTGACAAATACTTCGGTGCGACACAGTCATCTCTTACCCATGACCCTGTAGCTCCTGTTAGCATAGTCGAGCATGCTAACTTCCCATGTCACAACTGTCCCGAGCTGAGCCGATAACCCCAAACATTTACCGTACTTTTCTTAACCACACTGAGAAATGTGAATGTTAGACCGGGAAACGTTTAAAAATGTTACCGATGCTTCTAAGTTTTTTTAATCGTGAAGAAAAGCAGTGTGTTTCACAAAGTCGACTTCAAAACAAAATGGCATCATTTAGCTAAAGTTAGCTTAGCGTTCGCTAGCTTTTAGCATCAAACATAGCGTCTCACTGTGGCAACTTCATCCGGTAACAGCTGATAAACGAGTCAATATTTATAATTGTCGATGGTGATTGTTGGTGAATTAAATTGGAAAAGTTCGACACTATTTCAATCGTCGACTCACGACGTTATCTCCGAATTTTCAAAAGAACACCGATCTTGGACGACGCTAACACTTGTTAGCTCCCATGTAAACTAGCCGAGCGGCTCTTACCCACTTTAAACAGGACACCTAATGTAAGCTAATGCTAACATAGCAACGAACTTATTTGAGAGCAATCCTCGTTAACTTACCTTTACGTGATTACTTTTTTGAGTGAGCTGTCAGTAACATTAAGAAACATAGTGTAAACTCGATATTTTCCCTGTTGCTGTCGCTAGACATCAGTTTAAGGTCTGAGTTTCGGTGAAAATACATTAACAACACCATTAGCATCATCGCCTCAAGCAAAGCAGCGACGTCAACTAGTGACGTTCACAGTCAGAGCATTACCAAAGCTAAAATTAACCAGCTAATGAAAATAAAGCCAACCAAAACCAATAATCAGCCTGTCAGCAAATCAACGCGACTTTACCTGTTCTGTGATGCTGGGAGAAATGTCTTTGTGCCACCCAAATGTTCCTCTACAATTCGCCGATAATCGCTTCACTGTTTAGCTGAGTGCGATTTCAGGATTCCATTTTCTTTCTTTCAGGAAGGCTACAATGATCTTCCGGAAACCGAGTCCAAGCACACAATTCTCCCTGAGCGTTACCTCGCAGGTAGCCCTGCATTCAAAGCAGGCGGAACGGTTTAGTCAACCGTCTGCCGTGAGGCGCGATAAGTCCGCCATGTGTGGCTGCCAGAGAGACCAAACCGAGGGCAGTAAAACATCATGTTTATCCCATAAAAGCTTCAGAGAAAGGACGTTTGTTTTGACCAGTGTGACACTGTTCAGCTGTAGCGGCACGAAGCGGTTGTAAATGTTAATACTCTCACCTTCTGGAGGATTCTGAGTTGGAGGATACAGATCATTGGGCAAAACAGAGAGCTCCGACACCTATGGTAAATTATGTGAATGCTTTAAATTAGGCCTTATACCACAATGTTTAAAGCCTTGTAGTACCTCGGCAACACGTTATATTAAAAGTTTCTGATTTTACACACGCACAGCGACACATGAAGCACATGAAATCGATTGTAGCCGACGGTATTATTGTCATTGTCTACGTGATAACAAAGTTGTTTTCATTCTGACGTTAGCAGAAACATTACTTTGACACCTAAAGTCTGAAAAATTAAAGTGCCATTTAGCATTAATCGTTTGTGCTTTGTTTGGCCATGAAGCCTTAAATATAATTAATGGTATTGCATATGGTAGGAATACACACAAAATGATTAAATAGAACAAAACTTCTGAACCATCTACTTAATACCATCTTTTTTCCAAGTATCAGAGTTCTGAACTTCTCTAGTGCAACGGATAAAACAAGCTTCAATTTAATAGGCTACATAAAGTCACAGCCTTTATTGTATCTAACACTTGTATTAATAATAGTTCAGTGGTATTGATAATGCATTTCAGGCAGCAGACTAATGTGTAACCATAGTAACACAAGTTCATTTTTATAACAGCAATTTAGTTTGTGTAAGTTAGTGCAGTTAGAAAGAATAAAAAGTCTATAGACATTGCAATTCTACTCCTAATTTCACAACCAAGAGCCCCCCTTTACTCCTGACATGGGCAAACTAATGATTATGTTTGTAAATCTAATTTACGAAGCTCTGTTTACGGCATCCCAGCATCAAAGGAGATTTTTGTGCCTCGTAAAATTTTCATCTCAATGAAACGTAAGCGAAATATCAAATAAGTAAAAGTGGCAAACAATAATGCATCCATGTAAAAAAAAAAAAAAAAAGGGCACAAATATGGTTGAATTGAGGATTAAATCTAAGATTAACTCAAAACATGGTTCTGTCCTTCAGTTTATGTTACAAAAATGTTAAAGAACTATGGATTACTCTGAGAAGGAAACACTACCGACTTTTAGGAGACTCAAGATATCAGAAAGTCTGGAGGTGGAGCTGTGTTATATATAACACCAGTATGCCAGCAGTGACAATGGTGACCCTCGGGCAGTAGGTGGCATACTTATTTGGATTTGCACTTACCTCAGCTAGTTATGAGAGCACATGTCAGGGAAAGAGGGATTGTTGCCTTAAAAATACCATGAAATGAACAAGTATCAGTAAGGAAGGCCTTTGAGCAGTAGTTGAAGCCTTGGCAATGGTCTGAAGCTATTGTTCAGACACAAAAAGGATTTAGTACCTTGAAGTGAGTTTGTTTTGACTGAATTCAAAACATCAGATTAGGCCATTGAAGACTGTTTTTAAGGCTTCCTTCAGAACAAATGTGCCAGAACAACATTTTTTGTTTGTTGGTAATTGTGTCGTTTGTGTTTCTAGTGATCAGACTCAAAAGGTACAAGCCTACACGAAAAAAATCAGCAGGAAAAGAAACACTGATTCTTGAACATTGTTACCAAATTGTAGAGCCAGCCATGATGAAAAACAACAAATGCACAAACAATTGCCATAATAGCAAACAACTGTGCTAATGAGAGAGTCTGTGGTTGTCTATACAGCAAACACACACTGACAAAACAACCAGGATCTCATTTAATAACCACAGGTGTACCTGATCTACTGCATTAGACATTCTGTCTTATAATTTGCTTGCTCCCTTATCTGCTATGGGTGACTAAAGAACAAACACAATGCTAATACCACCTGACAATTTTGGAGGCATACATCACAGGATCTGTTTATGGTGTGAGACAGTATCTCCAGCTCCAATTAAGCATGCCAGAATGAGTTGCAGTACAGACCACAGCAGCACAGCTCAGAGTTATGGATGAGCAGTCACTCTAGCGATGCCTGACCCTGTGTGCTAATTAGATATGACATTAAAATAACATGAGCCAGAGCCAGACTCGTGCAGAAATTAAAATGCCTTTCGTCCAAGAATCTTCACATATAACAAATAAGGACAGCCTAATTGGAGCAAGAAGGTTTGTATTAAGCGTTCACATTTTGTAGTTAGAAGAAACATTGAATATAAAGATTAAATAATTCCCATTGACTATTATTGTTGTAGTACTAGAAAGACAAATGCATGAATGGATGGGTGGGAGTATTTTTTATTTTTAACATACCTTTCGCTCCAGCATTTAAATATGATTTTTGTAATGTTTTGTGTTTTCTGAAGACTGCATTATTATTATTTTAAACTGAACAAGAACATATAAAAGAAGGTGAAAAATGCATCCTTTTTTGTTTAAATTTGAGTATTTTGCTGTAAAGAAAACCAAAAGTGCCCCAAATAGTGGGGGTAAAAAACACAGCCCAACTCTCTTCAGAAAGCAGCATTCAAAATCTTATTTTAATTTGTATATTTACTCCATAAACATTATTACAAAACTCAGCAAGTTACCAATATTACATTATCACCGTACAGGCTTGATCACAAATATTTAAAACCTTTGCAACAGTTACAACAAAACAAAAAACAAAATAATACTCAAATAATTTACATGAAAATCTATAAAACAGCAAATTGTTCACAAATTATATTTTTTCCAAGTTTTCATTTTTTTCTTTGCTTATTTGTGTTTTGCACAGTAACACAACACTCTCACAACAAGATCATGGTCTTATTACAAAACTTCCAACAAAATGTAAATATTTCTAGTTTTCTGTTGATACTTTCATATTTTGGTTTTTAAAACCAGAAACTTGTCATTGTATATCCTTTCCACTGCCCACAGAGGCGCATAAAAGGTTACTCACACACACAAATACTTCACAGCACTTTCTAAGAAAAATATACACTTACAAAATATGTTACAAATTGGCACACAAAAAATATACAAGATTTTGTAGTGTCAAGAGTTCATTAAGATTCCTTCTGGTAACAACTCTAGACAGTATATATAAAGCTCGGTAATCTTTTAATGAAAAGAGCAAAAGTAATTCCAATCAATGTCAAAGAATCATGAAGTGAATACATCAAACAGAACATTATAATATACATTCATAAAGAGGGTTAGGTACCTAATCTATTTTGCATTTCTTTTTTTTTCATTAAATCTGGGAAAGAAAACAAACAGAAAGAAGAAACAATTGTCGGCTTTCTTAGCACCATTAACATGAGGCAGCTCAACAGTGGCACATTTTAGAAACAAAAAAAAAGAGGAAAATAAAATAGAAACTGAACTCAGAGAAGTACATTCAATTTGACAATAGGCAGAAATGAGAGAAGGCAGACTTAATAGGCTTGCAGCCCATGTGGAGCTTCCCATCAGCAGCTTGTCTTGGTCCTAACCCTGATACACTGGAGAAAAGAAACAAAGGATCATGGCAGAGAGGAGAGAAAAAACAAAAGAGAGAAAGATTGATTATGATTCTTGCCATATGCAAGCAATCAATTACCGTCACCTGTGCGTCAGAATTACCATATCCAGTGCGACAAGGCCTGTTTTTACATGAAGCTTCTATTTGTCCACACATCTTTGTGTAATCTCATGTAATTACTGCTGTGTTTAAAATTACACTAAATGTTCAAAACATAGGCCTATTGTTTGGGGTTTAAACCATTAGATACATATTTTTAGCCATTTGAAGGGGTTCAATGTTTCTTCTTAAATCCATTTAGTATATATTTTTAAAACATTTAAGGGTATATCAAACTTGATTGTATGATTCACTTTCAGGCGGATTCTTTTAAAGATAATGAGGCAGTGAACAAGCCCAAAGTAGCTGATTTCAGTAGCCCCAGGTTTAAATAGCACCATTACTTTCTTTTAAATTGTGCCTTTGCCTGGCCTTGATTTGAAGCTGACTTTCTGACCAAATACTAACCCATCAAAACAGAATTGATGATTAAAGTCATTGTATGGATGAAAGTGGCTTAAGAAAAAAAAAAAAAAGAATCATGGCGTAGTGTAAAAAAAAGTACCAAAATAATCTGGAACCAAATACACCAGCGGTGCAACTTAAAAAGATGGCGATATTTGGAAATAAACTGCATGACAATGTCAAGAAAAATTACTGTTTCAATTACCATATCAGGTAACATAGAAGTAAGATTCCCAAGTGGAGCTAATGCAAAGACATGCTTTCCTTCAATTACAAGATTATTAATTTGATTTGAAAACTGCTTTCACATTCACATTTAGTCTAACTGCAAAATTGTCCTGTCTATTCACGGCTGATGCGTGCATCAGAATCTCTGTGAGTAATAAACTGCCTTGAATACTCAGTACAAAACAGCTATTCAGTGAGGCACAGCCCCGACTGAAAAATAAATCCTTGCTTACCCTAAAACATCTGTCCTACCCTCTCCTTGGTCCAGAGATAGCTCTTTTGAACCTCTTTTTTATCTTCTTCCTCTACTGTAGCCTTCAGAGCAGATCTCCCCTTTGCCTCTCTTCTGTTGCTTCTCAGTGCCAGGCGATGTTGAGGTAAATTGAATTTGGCAAACAAAGTTGGGGAAACAAGGAGAATTCAGAGTCTTTCTGATTTGGTTTAGTGAGTGGTGGTGTACCACTGCCAGCTGTTGGTGCCTTTCATCAGAGAAGAGAGAAAAGTCCCAAATAAAGATTTCCTGTGGTGGCAAGTCTCTGTGAGGAGTCTCAAACCCGAGCAGCCAATACTCCAATGGATAGAAAAGAGGAACAGCCAATATTCACACATATATAAGAGGTCATTTACACAGCATTGTTACTTTTGGCACATTGATTTTAAGATTATAATCATCTTTTTTTTTTTGCAAATATTGCATGTCCCTGTACAACAACATTGACAAAAATACTCTGAGGGTGGAGCTTTTATGAATTTGCAAGGCGTAAAAATGTAAATTTAGATAACCAGTTCTTCTTGACTCCAGAAGAAAAAGAAATGCTTGATAAAAGGAAATGGGCAGTCATTCCAACTTTGAGGGGGGAAAAGACAACGTCTGATATGTCATCAATACAAAATGGTCCCATCTTGTGTTCAAGATGTCTTGAGCTTAAATAGGGCTCATTAATAGTCGGTTTCCCTCTTGAAATGAGCCAGGCAGTGTATGACGGACAGCAACAACAGGACATCCATATTCTGCATACAAAAACAGATGAGGAGGAAGGATGCGTAGATGTCACTCAATGCTTTTGTGTATATAGCTACATCTTTAGGAAAAGGGGAATAAATACATAATTCTGGGGAGCTAGTTCTGCTGAGAAAATACAAAAACAAAGTTCCTCAAAAAGGCGACAGAACTTTTTTCAAGGCTTAATCTTTTTTTTTTTTCAGACAAAAGTAAAACAAACCGACTATAAGAACAAACAAGGCAGAAACAACAAAAGCAAGAAAAATGCAGCCATGGTCGTTTCAAATCTCAATCAAGCTTGACACAATCACTCAATAGGTAGTTTGCAAAGTACAAGAAGTTTTTCATGCAGATATTAATTTCCTCCTCAGGGCAGTGGGGTTAAAAGGAAGTGGGAGTAGTCAGGGGGAACGAAGTACTCATGCAGCTCTGGCATAGCGTCAGTGTAGGTATGCTTGGGAGGGGGGGCTGAGCAGGTAGTGGGGAATAGTGAGAAGGGGGTGCAACAGCAGCTGATAACAAAATATTACCTCAGTTTCTCAAAAGAGGTCATCAGTGCTATGTCCTTATTTGGGTCCCTCTCAGCTCGCTTCCCCTTCAGTGTCTCAATCCGAGGGAACTTTGCACTGGTCTTGTGGCGGTACAGCTTTTTGTGCGCAGGGCCAGGGTTAATAAAGTTGGGTTTATCAAACATGTTACAGCCCAGAGCTAGTTGGGGGAATAAGGGATGGGAGGGGTTAAATTTGGCCTGGTTTTTCCCTCCTTTCCCCCCTGCCTTTCTGCCTCTCCCAGCCCCTGTGAGCATGGCTCCTTTTTTCTTCAGGTCTGCCTCTGTGCCTGCCAAGATTTTAAGGGTCTTTAGGTTGAGACTATTGGCCTCGGAGGGCATGCAGGCCTCAGACATTGGATTCCACAGTGGCTCAATGGATGCCATCATGAACCTTTGGACTTCAGCCATGCCGGAGACAATGTTGGACAGAATATTGGAGGGCTCTTCAAATTCTCTCTGGTCGTCCCCAACCAGGCTGTTGCTCTCCGACCAGCCGGTGCCAGACCAGTCCCCAGTGCTACTACTGTCAGTCAAGCCAGTGCCACAACCACCTGCCTGATTCTTTGCAGCCTTACCCTCCAACATGGCCTTTATCTTTTTGGTGGAGCGTGAGTTCTGTTTGGGGGTCTTGACCTTTTCTGACTTAGGAGCTCTGGGAGCCCGGACTTTCTTTGGGCTCTGTCCTACAGCTGTCTGTTTGCAGTTGCCTTTCCTCTTTGACTTTATGCTTTTTGCACCAGTCAACATCTCACCAGTCTGTTCATCAAATTCTGTAGCTTCCAGTTCCTTCTTATCTAAAGTCAACACATCCTGATTGTTGAAGTTGTGCAGCGGGAACTGGCTGTCTTCCACTGTGTATGTATTTGCTGTGTGCTCTTGTTGCTGCCTAACATCACAGTTCCACTTTGCCTCCCTATTACAGTCCATAGTCATATCATTAACATCCTGGTATTCTCCAACATTGCCCGCCATCTTCATCTCACGTCCCACCACCTGCGGGGACAGGTTGGGGGTTTCAGGAGGGGAAAGCTCTGACAGTGATGAGTGCCTAAATTTGTCGGGGGTGAAGTTGGAAATATCCAGCAGGTCTGAGGACTCCCTCAGTGGGGTAAGGGCATCCACACTCTGCTGAATCACCACTTTAGGGCTGCAATGAGCTAAGAAGCTGTCCCGGCCCTCCTCCTCACCCTCTCGCTCACAAGACTTGAGGCTGAGGGAGCTGTAATTGCTAGAGGAGGCTGACAGAGAACCCACTGAGTCATAGCTGATGAGCCTGCCATTGTCTGTGCACAGGGACCCTCTCTGGTATTGCACCTGGCCCTCCACACATGCAGGCTGACACACTTGCAGATCTGCCCCAGGCTGCAGCCCAGTCTCAGTCAGGTAGCTCTTCTCATAAAGCAGCCTGTCAGCCTCGGGGCTCAGCTGGCTGTAGTTAGACACTGGCATGTTGTCATTCAGGGGCACAGTAGCTGGGAAGTTGTTGGGTAAAATGGGAGTCTCAGGGGTCTCAGGCCCAAAGCTCTGGCTGTGACTTGGGCAGAGCTGTGGGTGCCACATCTGGGGAAAGCTGGGGCAGTTCTGGGGAGACTGTTGGAGCTCCGACTCAGAGGGAGGGGAGAGGACACAGCTCTGAGCAAGCTGCAAAGACGAAAACTGTTTCTCCTCTAGGGAAAGCCCCAGAGGATACTGCTGCCTAGAGGGCTGCTGGGGGAAATAAGGGATAGTTGCTCCATTGGAGGAGTCTGTAGCATCTAACAGGGTTTGCAGGTAGCCCCCTGGGATGACAGGGACACCCGCCTCTACCTCCTCTGAGGAGGGTGCTTTTTCAGGAGAACAGTTGGACGAAACAAAGGGGAATTTCTCCTCAGATGTGTGAGCTGTGGTGCTATTGTCTGGGAAATGGGGTTTGACTGTGGCTGAGCTAATGCCTGCCTCTTCTAACCCAGCAGTAAGGGTCTCAATCTGTGCCGCAGCGACACAGGCATCCGTTTCATTTGTCACGCTCCTCCCCTCCTCTCCTTCTGCCTCTTTCATTTTCTTGCTCCTCAGCCTGGCTTCGCTTTTAAATTTCCTTATCCTTACTGTTTTATTTCCTCCCAATCTCCTCCCCTCCCTCTCCGCCCTCTCCTGGGAGCGGCTTTTGGCCGTGACTGTGTGCAGGATGGAGTTTGTGTCTAATGTCACTGGGAGGCCTGGGGCTGCTGTTATTCCTGCTACCATGGGGGTGGCCTCTTCTTTACTGACACCTCTCTGGCCCTGATCAGAGAGAGGGAAGCCCTGTGCTGTTGCTGATTGCTCCACAGTGTGAATCCTCTGAACCTTAAGCCTGTTTGCAATCTTGTATTTCCTTTTTGGATGACTAGAGTTAAAAGGGCGATGGTGGCGACCGTTTAGATGAACGCCACGTTGTTGTTTATCTCTGGCAGCCAGCTTAAGCTGTTCCTGTCTCTCTCTTTGCCTCTCCTGCCAGAAATCCTTCAGAGGAGCCAGAGCCTCATATTTGCTTACTGTGTCAGTGTTTAAGCTCACAGTAGCATCCACAGGATCCAACTTGCCCAGTTTAACTGACATGAGCCTCTCTCCTTTAAACCTGTTGATGATGATGTACTTGATGACAACTGGGGGCTCTTTCCGACATGATTTCCGGCGTTTTTTGGGACACCAGTCCACGTCCTCTTCCTCTTTTTGACCAGAAGGAGCTTTCTCTTTTTTCTCTGCATTTTTCTCGCTTTCAAGTGAATCAACATCGTAAAGGTAATCGTCACTGTACCGTACCTTTCTCTTGGATCGCAGACCATAGTTCAGAGGGTTAGAGGGGCTGAGCAATCTCTTAGAGTGGCTCTTCTTAAATTTGCCCTCCTGCAGGGTGTCTGAAGAGGAGCCAGTGCAGGAGCTGTCATCACTGAATTCCCCTGACTCCTCCGTTGAATTAAAGTCCATAAGGTAGTTTACTTTGGGTGTGGACATGGGGGACCCTTGGGAGCCATCAAGAGGGCTCCTACCACTGCAGTCCCCGGTCTTTCCTTCCTGTCCTGTCTCTAGTATAAGCTCATCAGTTTTGGGCTGGAGCTCTTCAGCACTTCTCCTCAAGACCCCCACTCCTTCCTCTTTCTTGGCACAGTTGGCCAGGACGCTGGGGAAGAAGTTGAATTGTGTCTCCTCCTGGAGCACATTTGTTTTCTCCCTCATGTTGTCCTGGAAAGACTCGTAACGGATTTTAAGTGAACAGACATCACTACTTAAGGTCGAGTCATCATCTTCATCGTCAAAGAGATTGTCAACGTCTTCCTCGGAGAAGAGATTGACGGACAGTTCGTTCTTAGAACAAAGATCCAGCAGTTCCATTTTACTCTCGCTGATGAAGGATTCAAAGTAGCCCCAGTCCTGGCCAGCATTAGCTAGTAGAACCTCCTCTCCACTCACTTTATCCAATAACAGTCCCTCGTACAGGTTCTTAGCTGTTGCATCATCCTCCGGGTCATCACAGTCCTCTGTTGTTTTGTTTCCATCCACTCTCTTGCCCTCACCTGAGGCTTTCGGCAGTGGAAAGCTAAGTAGCTGGTCAGAGAGGAGCTGTTCTCCATAATGACTCACCACCTCCCCCGCATGGCTCAGGCACTGGATGCTGATATTGTTGATGTCAGTGAAGTCTTCTCGGCTCACATCTCCTATCCTTGCATTTAGTGCGGTCTCTGTGTCAGTGGTGGTGCTGGGGTCGTGAGGTGGGTTCTGGATGGAATTAGAATCGGCAGCATCCCGGGTCTCGATGAAGCAGCCGAGGCAGGTACGTGCAGGCTGAAGAAGACACTCCTCAGTCAGGGCAGACGCGGTGCCAGGCTCCATCAGTGTAGTTGACAGAGGGAGGGCAACAGGCAGCAGAAGGGGACTCTTCTGGGTGTCCTCTTTTGGGCCCCAGGAGCCGACAGCTTGAGTGGGATGTGGTGTGGGGGTGGGGGTGTGGTTAAGTTGGGGGGCTACAGTTGGAGCGTCATCAGTAGGAGGACAGGGGGCCGCTGTCAGGCCCAAAGAGGAGTCAGTGTTGAGAGGAAGGGGAAGTGTTGGTGATGCAGGTGTGGTCCTCTGTTGTGTTGGGCAGGCCTGCTGTGTAGTCTCTGCAGCAGGAGGAGATGAGGATGGAGGGAGAGCAGCATCGACGAGCCGGCACAGACTCAGATCACCACTCTGCTCACATACCCCTGCAGGAAGAAACGAGATAATTTCAGCTCTTTCAGCTCTTTGTGAACAGTAAGTCTGAAGTCGAATAATAGTTTTTGTTCTGCAGTTACACTGACATTTCTTCTTGGCTGATGAAATGCAATTAGTATCAATTAACCCCCTACAGCTCAAAATGTCATTTAGTGATGTCAACCTTGTACTATTTGGGTATTAGATTAACAGAGCTGAACCATCAGGCCTTTCCAGACCCTTCGAGAGGATGTAGGTATTTAAAAAAGAAATGTAATTCTAATTCTGTTCTATTGACATTATTTATTAATTAATTATTTGACAACACATTAGGAAAACCTGCCATTTTGTTTTATGAAGGAATATTAAAGGTTAAATTAAAGGGTTTTTTTTGTGTTTATGAAATAGATCGAAATCCATATTGATTCTTTTTAATAATGTGCAAAAACAAACAAGACAATCAGAGACAAGATTCACAATAATTACAATTCAATTTGAAAGTGTTCAATCAGTGCAGGGGGTAGAAGAAGAAGAAGCCCTGATTTTACAATTTCTATCAAAATGATACATCTCACCATCAGAAGTTTGAGGGATGAGATTTTTTTGTCAGAAGACACAAGGACAAGATATGCCAAGACTACCTCGTCCACACGGGGCGCCAAAATTGACATAAACTAAAAGTTCCTCAGAGTCAGCGCATCAGAATGTTCCATCTCTATGTTGAAAACAATGTACTTAAAGCTTTGTGATCAATAATCCAGCAATAAAATGATCTTTTCATCCCTCTAAGATGGTGGCTTTGTTATTTCTGAGGTTATGACAAGTTCTGCCTGCAGTAAATCCTGCCAATCTCAACCTAGCTTGTCAACAAGAGGAGGAATAATCTTCACATGATGCAATAAAAAGGGCCTTTGAAGGGTTTTCAACATTATAAGTTAGAGAAAATATAATAGTTATAGAAAATTAAAAGTTATGTAAAATCAGTTAGGCCCCACATGTAAACTTGTTGGACTCTAGCCACTGTTGCCATTGTTTTAGTAAGCTTTATTTAATATGATTATTTTCTAGAATAGTTGGTCAGTCTGTAAATTTACTCACCAAACAGTTATTAGGCACTGTAAATGTGCAAAATAGCTGTTACTACAATTAACTATCAGAAAAATGTAATAGTGGGTCTAAGAAGGCCTAGGAGCAACAATCAATCACCGAAGTTTGTATGGTCGACTTTGGGCCCATCATTTCTCGATGTTTTATTGTAAGAGTTAAGACAAAACAAGCAGTATGTTTAAAATGCCTTTCTGATTTAGGACGCATAAAATACAGTGAAGGTGACTCTAAAATGAGGTCTCCTTCTTCATGAGAAGTTAAAATGGTGCCAGTGAGTGAAAGTGGAAAAAAAAAAAGCTATAACAAATGTAGTTGTTTTATTTAATAACACAAATTGAGCATTTTTAACACAAGCTGACATGAAGCCGTGTGATGTTTCAGAAACAAAAACTCATTCTGAGTGTCCTTGAAGAAGGCGTCTGTGATCAAAAACATGATTCCCATAATTAGCATTTGTTTTATGAGATAAAAGTCCCTCTGGTGTAAATTTTGTGTTGAATTTTATTCACTGACACAGAAAAGGAAGTTACTCTATAATGTTAGTAATTGTTGTTACACACAAAACACTGTTGTTCAAGGAAACGAAACAACAGTGATTCTTTAGTACTGTATGATTTCTTTTACCAACACGAGAGCGATAGATGCTTCGAAGTTAATGCAGTCTTTTTGCATGACCTCCCCTTTCCTTTAGGATTTCATCTACGTATATAATCACAGATCCAACTTATCTCAAAGGAAACAAAATGTCATAAAAATCACACAAGGTGGCATCAACAATAGCAGTAATGACTAAATTGAAAGTAGGTTTGGTGATTTCCTCCAGGTCGACTGTGACAATATCTTAATCAGTTGAAGACATCCATCTGATGAGTAACAATCAAAACCCACAGAAGCGGGCTTGTAGCAGCAGGCAGATAGCTTTGTTTGCTCTGCATAATTAGATGACAGCAGCAGAGGCAGGTACGTACACATGGGACACGACAGGCCCATATGTTGGAGACTGTATAACCAATATCATCTACACCTGCCTCCCTCTAAAATCCCAAGCTGCTGCCTCACAATTATTCTTTAAAATCGCACTAGAAAAAAATGAAATTGGAAAACATACCACAGTAATTAATGAGCACAGCCAGGTTAACAAGCAGCACCCCCCATTTTAGAATGGATGCACCTAATCATTATTGAGGTATTAACAAATGCTTGAGGGTATGGCTGTTTCTCACAAAGTATTCAGTACAGCCACATTGATGGTGAGTCAATCTTTTGAGTGTGGATATGATTTGAGGGTGATCTATTGAGGTAATGAATTTTCTGAGAGGGGGTCTCTCTGGATCTGTGGCCCGCAGACACATTGGAGCAACCACAACACCTACTAAAAGCATAAAACGACGCTACTGTCGTCTGTAATGAAGAAAACCCCAGGAGAAATATGTGCCTTCTCTCTCTCTCTGGAGTCACAGAAACAGTTTCAGCAGCAGCTTGACTGCAGTAGCATCACAGTTGTTTGCTATTGGTGCTTTCAGGGCTTTAAGCCAGAGAGTCAAAGCATGTATCTGTGGATGGTCAGGACTGTAACCCCCATTTTCAGTTTACAAATATATTTTTTTATGTACAATACACATCCTGTATAAAGGATGGACAACATAACAGCTCCCTGAAAGTGGAGTCAAATCGACTGTAGTATGTGGACGTAACATGGATCAAACTGAAAACATCAAAATGCAAGTTGAATTCAGTTGTCATCATGAGGATTAGTGCCCAAGCGATGATTTTTCTCAGAGGCCAAGTTTGAATTATTTCATTTGATGCTATAAATATGATTGATCGTGAACCATGATGAGCAGCTCTGTTGACAGTTGTGGTACACTGATATGACGGATTAGGGGAGGCCCGAGACCCTGATACGCAAACTGAAGGATCTTTGCCATTTTATAAGCAGTACAAGTGTCCCAACCACGCAGACTCATGCTTCAAAATTATATTGATAGCGCAATAGGTTAGCATCTGCTTTCATGGTATGCCTTCGAGTATAACAGCCAAAAGGTGTTGACATTATTTTTCTTTTTCACAGTCAATGGTTTATTTCCAGACACGATTCATTCGACAGCACATATCGTAAAAGAAACAGCATAGGAGGACTGATGCAATGTTTTTTCTTCCAAAGATGGACGAGTTCATTTGGAATTACATGTAAACAGTGCCAAGGCCTGAAATCTAACAAGTAATTTTGCAGGACTCACAGATAAGAGAAATATAAAGAAATGATCACTTATCTCTTTCATTAGCCCTGCAAAGACGCCAAGCCACAGAGGGGGAAATTACAAAAAAAGGGAGGGAGAAATTAACTTCCTTTATCCTCCCCTGCCCACATGAAACCTAAGCTGCCATCTAATATTGCCAAAAGATTGTTCAAAATTGCTGCGAAACATTAAACTCATATTGAAAAATATGTTTCCTAAGGGCTTATAATGGATTAACAATCTATCCTATCCAGAGTGTGTGTATGTAAGTGAGAGAACGAGAGGGGGTGTGTGCACGAGTGGATGCATGCGTGTGTGTGTGTGTGTGTGCGTGTGTGTGTGTGTGTGTGTGTGTGTGTGTGTGTGTGTGTGTGTGTGTGTGTGTGTGTGTGTGTGTGTGTATGAGAGGGAGAGTGATAGAGTGTGAGTATTGGCTGGGGGGTATAGTGTTATCGAGAGGCCATCTGTCTCCAGCTGGACCATTAGCTCTTCAGCTGTTCAGAATGTGCCACAGATCAGTCAGTCAGACAGGTACACACACATGCATGCATGCACACACACACACACACGATCAGGGTTTCATTGCTGACTGTAGATGACAAATCAAGTTTGACATTAGAGGTCAAAGGGGGATCAGTAGACACATATTCACAGATATGCTACAGCAATATTACGGCTGCAACTGTGCCGGCAAATGTAAACAAGATAAACATCCAAAATACTCACTGCTGCCAGAATTCAATATCTAGCTTACACAAAGAGCAGCTTAGTCACAAATAAAAAACAAGCCTCACACTCTGAGATCATCCTTGCACAGTTGTAGTTTTGTTACAGTGTTTTCAGGATTGTTCTTGAATAGTAACTGAGGCTGGATGTGACAAAACTCATGCAAGCTGGCATGGACTGTCACCACAGAGCATATGGAAGGACCCCGGCTGCTGGCAGGAGGTGGTGATCTTCTGATCTCAGCCCTGCCAAGCATGCTAGACAGCCTGACCACCGCCAAACTAAACCAGACCAGACTAGACCAGTTAACGCTCAGAGCTCTTCGAGTCTGTTCTCTCTTTCCAGCCACGACACTCAGGGTTTCATCCACCTGAGCAGCCTGAGCTGCTTTGTGCCAGCCGGCTCTGCGGGGAGACGAGCTCATGCTGAGGGACATGGTCATGGACACAGGGAGAGAGAGAGACAAGTTGGCATCTGTGTCCTTATCTATTAGTGTGTGTCAGATGCCACACGAGCACGCACACACAGCCTCACACACACGCACATACACACAAACAGTGCAGCCATGCAAACAAACAACTTGTAGTCACTTTATCTGGATGAAAGTAATATTTTTAAGACAGCAATCGCTCTTACTTGTGATCTCTTAGTATTATTTCTTACACTATTATGTAAAGAACTATCCTTTTTTTTAACTTTGTAACCAACTTACAAACTTCCTCCTGCAGAAGAAATGCTCGCTCAGACTGTATGCTGTATATAGATTTGCAGGACAGGTCTGGTCTGATTTTGGAGGTCAAATGAATGCATGTGTGTTACGTTTAGACTGTTTCATAACCAGTTCAAAACGACTCACAGGAGTTACAAGATTCAAATGCATACATCCATTCCATGAGGCTAAAGGAATGAAATAGCTCAAATATTACAAAACCAAGTACAATGCAAATGAAAATAGCTGACATGGCCTTTTTCTCACTCAAATGGCTTTTTGAAATCATTTCTCACTCCATCCCCCCTTTACGTCTCCTCCTCCCTCCCTTTTCTGCTCACTATCTCCCTTCCCTCAAACTTCTCCCTCACTCCTTATCCCTGTTATAAGGAGGCTTTCACATTCGTAAAATGCAGAGCCAGCCGTTCTGCAGCTCAGCCACCCGGGGCGTTAACTCATCCAGCTGGTAGGCCAGACACAGAAGCCTCTTGCTACCTATTGCTCCATCTTCACTATATGACATTTTGTGAATGGTGGGGGGAAATCAATCCAGTCAGTACAGGATGTTCATAATAAGTGGTGAGTAACTGCAGTATGATTCATGGCTACCCTCCTCAGAGAGCTGCCCTATTCCTGCTCAATAGATACGCTTTCACCCTTTCCACCACCGCTCTTTTTCCTACTCTCATTCTCCACGCTCTCTCTTTTCCACTTTTCCTCAGAAGGAACAGGCTAGTTCTGGGGATAATCTGCGTGATTCAGCTCAGAGAGACCCCACTGAGCCTGAGCGGAGCTGAAACAATAAGATAAACCTCATCTAAAGATCAGTGGTGCTTGAGAGGTGAAAGGTACTGGCTGAAGGTCTTTTCAAACAGCATTTTTTTTTCTCCAAAAAATGATTCAAGAGGTGTACATGAAAGGGACTGCACTGCAGATATTAGCTGCACTAACAGGCAGGATTGTTGAAAATCAATACAATTAATGCAACACTCATATTATTAGAATTCTAGAAGAGGCGATGGTTACAGTGTAAAACAACGACGGAATAACTAAAGAGATAAATCACATAAAACATTTCTTTATTACACACATTCTTCTTTGGCTTATGCTAATAAACATGAGTGTGGGACAAATAGTGTTTGCACCCATTTCTAATTTTGTATGGTTTCATTAAAAAGGAGGGTGTTATTAAAGAGAGCTGTGGAAGCATCAGGAGAGAGGATTATCAATAACTTGATAGGCGCCATTTAATGTTTCTTCTCCACTTATCCTTTTGAGGAGGAAAATCAGGGTGTGTTTCTCCCTCACGTATCTTGTCAAAAAGCTTTAAACCGGGGGTTTAAACTCATTTAAGATGTTTCATGGTATTCACTGATACTAATTGACTTTTTAAAGTTTTCTCAGAAGTGAGAAAAATGCTGTGGTTTAACTTTAATTTATGTTAATATATATGCTTCACGATTTTCTTCAAAATTATAATTCCCGCTTTTAGATCAACAAGATATCTCAAAGGTATTACCGATCAAAGCAAAGCATGAAAAATTCTGAAAACTATTTTGTGACGTGCATTTCTCATCTAAACAGCGTCTGATGAATATTTCAACGTGCAAGCTTTAAAACTTTGGAAAAAGTGGAAATGTTTTCACCTGCATTCTCCGCTGCATTCACATTCTCCGGTTCTGAAGTCTTCACGATTAATGTGAGACTGCGGTCTGTTAACACATCCATCAATGCGGCTCAATGCTTCACCTCCTATGCATCATTTTGACTGTCCCACCTGTTGAAAGAGAGAGGCGGAGAGAAAGAGAGGATGGGAAGAAACAGGAAAAGTGACTTAAGTAAGAGAGGAGTCTTTAAATACAGAATAAGATTAACACGGGTACACTAGATTTCATTACATTACATTTCATTACAACAACGAAAAACAAAAACGAAGTTGCTGTGATTAGGCTCCATACAGCATCAAATCGACCCCGGGGATTCACTGAACGATCTCTTATTTCTTCTCTCTTTCTCTGATTCATGTCTCAGATTAATTTAAACTTTACCGACCAAGAAAGTACACAAAGACTCACATCTCAGATCACTATGGAAACTGTATGCCATACCATCCTATTTTAAGCTTCATTTAACATTTATGGCGGAGTTGTTAACCTATGCCAGCCTTACATAGGCAGCACTGAGCATATTTGTTTATTGTAATTAGCCGACTCCCTCCTTCCAGTGTGCCTCCGCTGCCGGAGAACCAACCTGGCTCAGAGAGGACGGACTAAAGAGAGAGCAAACTGCAAATGTTCTCACGACAGGATACTTTTTTAAAAAAGAGATAGTGATACTAATCTAATGCAAAGCAATACTTTTAAATAAAAGGAGAAGAGGCTGAAGTTTGTCAGCCTCTTAAAATCAGGTGTAGAGGCACATAGAGGAACAGGCACATTAACCTTGTGTGATACCTCAAAGAATAATGATGATTCAAGAGACTCTGGGCCTGTAAATGATGAACATTTGATGCTGTGGCCTCCTGCCTGTTTATATTGTTTTCCTTTTTTCATCTCCTGCAGTCCTTCTCTGGAGGAGCGGTGCTGCAGGATGACAAATGAGCCAGGGGAGGGGATCTAATAACATGATCTCCTCTTGGTGTGAAAACGGCGGCTAGGAGATTAAGACAGACGGCAGACAATAAGACAAAGGTAGTGTGTGGCTGACTACAAACAACTGCCTCCTCTTTCATGCTATTGCTTCTAAATGTCATTAGCTGTTCACTGACCTGAGCGGCACAGAGCTACCTGAAGGGAACCCCTGCTTCAGCTTACAGTTGCATTCACGCCGGCTCAGTGGGTAATTATCTCATGAGCCATCACATTGGCTCATGCGTGCAGCAGGTACAAGGACCCTGTTGGTAGACCCAGCCAGACCACGTTCCTCTCTCTCCACAGAAAAGCCCTATTACTCCTTAAGCCCAGGCTCAAGTGCACATGGCATTTACTGAGCTAAGAGATGTTTTTCAGGTCATCTTGTATCAGTTCGGCACACTGAGAAATTGAAATTCTACATCTGGAAATAAAAAACATCCACTTGAAGAAAAATAACAAGAAATTGGATATCCCACTCTGAACTGACTGAACCCACATGAGCGACGCACAGATGTATCATTACAACGACAAAAAAGTGAAGTGACGGCAGCATTATGTTGGACACACACTGCAGGCAATGAGCAGTGAGCCTCCAGACTGGCAGCGACAAAACACACAGTTGGGATGCTGGTCAGGCTGCAGAGGTCCTGCCAGAGCGCAGTGCCTAGAGCTGCGTGTGGATGTGTTGCAGGGTCACATCTGTGTGTGTGTGTGTGTGCATGTTTAAGCCCAATTGTATGTGTGCTGGACAAAGCCCCAAGGCTGAGGATCCACAGCATCAGCATCCACTAAGGCTGCTCATACAACCACATGGAGAGAGAGAGAGAGGGAGAGAGAGAGAGAGGAAGGGGGGGATCGAAAGCTGGGCATTTCACAACACTTCCAACACCCCTCCTGCCAGAGCCTCAAATGTGTTTATTTTCCACATTATTCATGATCCTCCTGTATGAGACCCCCCCTTTCCCTCCATTTACCATCTCTGTCAGGACCTGACGAGAGGCCATTTCAATAATGAAGACAGACTAACTGCAATAGAGAGTGCACATAAATTGGAGCTACAGCCAACAAGCATGTCCAATTTGCCAAGCGGTTAAGCCGGGCGCAGCTTTCAGAGAGCACCGCAGCCGCCGTCAACAGGTTTGTACCGACCTGATTCATCCATCCACATCATTAATACTTCACAGAGGGCACTGTCATTTAACTCTGCTGCAGGAAACGCTCTTTAAACACCTCACATTAGGGCACGTAATCACTGTGCGCTCATTTCTGGAGCATTTACCGGATGTAGGAGAATGTCTAGTGCTGCTGACCCTTCCATTGTTCTTGCGTGTGTGCCGGGTTCTCTGCACAATGTGAAAACAGAAATAGAGACAAAGAGCAGAGAATGGATAAAACCTAACAGAATGATTAGAATTTGATTTATCCTTTCAACCTCCCCCCCCCTCCACCTCCTCCACACAGCATGTGTTAATGTGCAAGCTGGATAACAAGATAAGAACATGTTTACTCGCTCTATATGGAACTTATCAGCACAACAATCTAATTCCTGCAAGCCTCTTTCCACGGCCCCGTCTCACTGCATTTCTCCTCCATTCGATTGCATTTCTCTCCAATGAGCGGAGGCACGGCTGGAAAGGGATTGTGTATAATTGCCGAAAAGATGAAGCCAGGTCCCACAGCAGTATATGCAGGTACAAAGGGCCCATTGTCTCAACAGAAGGACAGAGTCAGGGGCCAAGACATAGATCCCCAACAGAGGAGCTCTCAGAGAGGGCAGAGCGCCACTGGGAACACTGATCCAAACAGACAGCACTGAAATGGCGTCTCTCCTTTTCAGCACAGGTATACTGTTTCAGAGCAGGTTCACTGGCTCGCTGCACACATGGCTGAAGTAACCTGCCTCACACGCAACTTGTGGTAATACCTTAGAGCCTGCAGCGAGATGTGGTGCGAGAACAGAGAAACACGCATCCAAAACAAACAAAGGTAGACAGCCGTATAAAAAACAAATTATAAAAACACTACAAATGCATACTGTGTATTTAATAGCGGGTAAGAATAATATATGCCCACGCTAAAGGCAAAAAAATTCCACACCTGGGATCAAAATGTCTTCAAAAGCCGTACAATTATTGAAATGAGGTTTTAGCCTTCTTTGATAGAAATAGAGACAGTTTGTGTTGAGTTCATTTTTATATGCTAGGGTTTGAGTTGTGCTTTTATTGTGAAGAGGGCAAATTCTTTAACATGCAGAGACAATCAGCAGCTGATTTAGAAATATATAAACACATAAACAGACCTCAGCTGTCTTCAAAACAGGAAACAGTGACATTCAAAAAGCCATCATGCAGTTTAAATTTGTGTCTCCGTCTCCTGTCGTTAGCTTATCTTTGACGTACTGTTATTGACTGATAGGCTGACTGTTTTTTTCTCGTGTTCCTTGCCATGCGCGTACACCTCTTTTATTTCTATGGTGCAACAAGAGAGGCGCATCTCTTGTTGTCTCCCTCCACCTTTCTCTGTTACACCCTCACAACATGAGCATTGTCCTGTCGAAGGTCAACTGGCCTACACTGATATGTCAGAGCTCTTCTCTTCTGAGGGCACAGACACAACCTCAGAAGAGGCAGCACTGTTCATGGCCCACAGATCAAACACTGTGCATCCCCCCACATCTGATAAACGTTACACTCAGACATGGCACACTGACCACATGCTGATGATGGGCTGAATGTTACATGCTCAAATGAGTGAAAGTGAATTCTCAGCAGAGCCAGGGACTGAAATCAAATGGTTTAGGGCCACACGAAGAGAAAAAATAATAAAGAGAATGAGATAAAAATTGAAATTTCGAGATTAAAGTCAACATGGATAAAGTCAAAATTTCGTCTAACTTAGACCCCGGGCTGATCTGTGCTCCACACCTTCAGTCTTAACCAATTTGATCAGTTGTCTTATTGTATCTTGCGATACGACATAACCTCGCTGTATAGCATGCAGGTGTAACCACTGATAACCCTGCATTTGCATCATAATCTTCAGCACAGTCTTTTCAGAGTCCAAATACTCTTTTAGAACAAAAACACTGTGTTTGTGCGCTAAAAGAGCAAGGATTTCCTTGTTACTAAATCCAATCCTCAAGTAAAACTTTACAAACCGTTCTACAGAGGACATGTTGTCGAGTGACGAGCGACAATGCTGTTGATTCATTATCATTAATCTCAACATTACGACTTTATTCATGAAATGTTGTCTTTATTTGCATCGACTTTAATCTTGTGATTTTGACTTTAATCTTGTAATTTTGAATTTAATTTATGTAATTTCGACTTTATTCATTTCGACTTTAATCTTGAAACTTTGACTTTAATCTTGAAATTTTAACTTTAATTCACAAAATTTCGACTTTATTCATGTCAACTTTAATCTAAAAATTTCAACTATAAACTCGTTTCTGTAATATTTTTTTTTTCTCTTCAATCCTAATCCTCTTTCATATTTACTTGAACAAGACAAACTCTTCTCACAGTAACACAAAATAAACCATGTTTATCTGGAAGTTGTAAGCACAAGTTTGATTTGTTAGCAAATGACCTGTAATTTACACATTCAACACAGAAACGGTCATGTCGCTGGCAACCTTCAGATTTTGTTTCAGTATTCAGTAAGCTAATGTTAAAAAACGAGGCCAGTGCAGAGGTGACAAAAACTGCAGTTCCTCATATGTCCAATAGATGCTGACTCCTTAAGCCAAAGGGGGCCCCATCAACTGCCATACACAACACCTGTCTTCACATTGAAGACAACAGCCTGGTAAGAAAAAAAAAGTTCTGGTCAAGTAGCCCCTTTCTATTTTCATGGGCGAGCACATAACAGCTGTTCGTCGGGAGACAACAGTTCTTAAAATGATCATTTATCTAGAACATTAAAACGCTGGTGGCTAATGTGTAAGGGATATATACAGAGCAAAAGTAGGAACTGTATCCCAAATGTCTCTCCTCTGCACAAAGCTGAAGTTGACTGACTGCCACATGGCTTTTATGTCATAGTTGTGCTCGAGGTCAACAACATTTTGGGGATATTTTTCTCTGACATGGAAAAACAATTTAAAGAAATATAACCAATCTGTATATCTTCAGCATATATCCGTCTACATGTGTTCCTGCAGCAGAACATTTCCTCTGTCAGCTGTTTGCTACTGTATGTGATCAAACATCCTCTCCTAAAATCCCTGACAGAGCCACAGCGATGGTAGAGATATAGTATCTTCAGATAATGATCGTCAATCACGGGCTGCAGAGGAGCAGGGAAAGAAAGCATCTGATAGGTAGAGATTTACTATGAATCTGGTTTATGGAGCTGGATCTTTATCAGCACAGCAAAACCTGCAGAGCCAGATCAGGACAATTGTAACCACTGTTACCTCTGAGGCCTCAGTTTGATCCGGGATAAGGGTGCGGGTCTGACTGTAAGTCAAGTTCTAGCTTTTTCTCAGGGGGCTCTGTGCCCAATTAATCCTTTGTTCTTCATTTCATCCAGTATGACTGACACTTGAGGCAGGATTTAATCCAGGCTCCGTCATGGCTCCAGAGATGAGTGGGTTTCAATTATCTCATCTGTGTTCATTTATCTTTTACATCATATTATCCAAAAATTTCACGTTTTAATAGAAAATTTCACCACCAGTTTTGAGGAGATGTCAGTGTTTTTTGTTGTCAGCTCATAGAATTCACAGCTTTTTTATTCTTAAATGTTGAATTTGGTATATATAGCAACTATTCCATTTGATTTCATAACATTTCCCAACCTTTCGAACCACATGTCAAATATCTTCATTCTGACATTAATGCTTTAAATGTAGGAAAATTCATAAACAATGTTGGAAGTTAGTTTAATATTGATATTCAGTGTAATTTATCAGAGAAATTATAGTTGCTGCTGTTTATCTGTTGTACAACCTGAGCTCTTTTGAGGAGAGGAAAAGGGAACACAGACAAAGATGAGGAGAGCGGAAAAAAAGCAGAGAAAAAAGCAGAGGGAAGGTCAAGAGTGTGTGGGGAGAGACAGCCGATTGCAATACAATACTGTGAGCCTCCAGAGACCACTGCTGCTGCTGCGTGTATTTACAATGCTGCTCCATTCATACATGAGGAGATCATCAGTATTAAAGCAGGGCTCAAGCTTAAAACTAAAGTAAGTGATGGGGTCTAAAAGAGGTTGGGAACCTGGAAGTGAATGGCAGAGAGAAGAATGGCAATAAGGCAGACAGTAGGCGAGGTGTTAAAAGTTGATTAGGTTGTTAAAGGTCACATAGTCAGGCCTCATCAGCTGTCCCCAATGGAGCACAAGAAGCAGCTCAGGGCCTCAGCATGGCTGCTAATGAGACAGAAGCAATGGCACCCTCACTAACATATAGATACATCCTGCTCCTATGTACAGCAGGCTTCTTATGGTACACAAGCAAGTACGCTAGCGCCCGGTTACTGTGACGTCAGAGACAAATAAAACATCTTTACAAGCTGGAGGTTGCTGTAACAAGCGGCTGCGCACAAGAACAAAAAGTACAGAGGAAGACTGGGTGAAGCTAAATTATTTCATCACAGAACTTAAAAATGCACTAACATAAAACAGCCACACACACACACACACACACACACATACACTCACAGCGCTCCCACTTGGAAGAGTTGAAAAGATGCTGCTGTATGAGTAACTGTTGATAAATAAAGATGCCTAAAAACAAAGTTAGAACAACCAATTACAACCTACACTCCCACCATCTAACTGATACACAATGCCAACAAACACGCAAACACACATTTGCATGACATGCGTCAAATAGTCTGTGCTGCAGCGCTGAAAAAAGGTCAGCCATCAGAGATGCAATTATCATATTTCTAACAGGTGCATTTATTACCGCTATGCTTCATTTGCTTTGCTGAATCTAAATCAGGATGGGGGGATAAGGGGTTATTACGCGGCAGTGATCAGTACTAATACAGTGACATAATGTCCTGCAGGTTTAAACGCCTGCAGAGGCACTCTGTCAATGCCTGTTTCTGCCTTAACAATGCCTATCAGACACATTATGTGCTGAAGTGATCAATATCTTAAATTACCACCGATTGTTCTACCTCTTTCACTATAGGCTCTCCAACAATTGGCATTTATGCAATTTCAGTGCCCTCTTTTTAAACAAAGGAGCATGTGTGCACACCTTTACGTGTGTGTTTGTGTAACTCAGTATGAACATGTGGCAGCATTTGGATCTGTATTAGACAGATATGCCTCCAACTGTGCAGGTTTGTGTACTAGTGTGTGTGTGTGTTTGTGTGTGCTTGCATTTGCATTGCATATTCTGTCTGAACACACCGTGCACACCATGCACATTTATTCATGTAAGAACTTAAAGTTAGAGTCCTCATAATGAGGAGCCCTGTAAAGGTGAGGCTGGATCACAGAGAAAGGGCATCAGAACATGAGGTGATGATGGTCGCTATGGCGCTGGCCTATAACGCAGTCAATCAAAGGTGAAAAGAAAAAAACATTTTGCATGTACTAACACAGAGTTATACTTATCTCATTTTATTCCACCCTCTGCAAGAGCAGACCTGTCTGCAGTGGAGATGGTGCAAAATTACACTCAATACTAGTGTTGGCTACAACTGCCATCAATGGCTAATCAATGGAGCAGTGTACCTATGGGAGACATGTTCCATTAAGTCTGCAGGTCAGTGTTTGCCAGCAGATAGCATGGGTTGATTTTCTCTGATGCTTGTCCCAAGCCCTTTACCCAGCATGCTTTATTAGCCGCCGTGTTTGGCTCCACTGATGTGTGTCAGTGGACACCCCTGGAGTCCCATCAGTCAGGGGCTCTCAGAAGGCGCAGGGTGAACACATATGACCTCTGACCCCTGCCCTCTGACTCAAGATGACCCTCAGTTAATTAGGTGTATGTTTACCAAACATCTGCTTCAGCGTGTAAGAGCAGAATCACATTCACAAAACAGACACAAATACTACCAGTGAGTTATGATGCAGAGGTGGGCTAAATATTGAGCGAGATATCAAACAGATGAAAAACTGCAGCCAAATTGAAAATATGGTATCGGCTGGTTTAAAGAAACAGTGAAAATGCAGGTTTCATATTTTTTTTCTTCTACATCAACGGTCAATTGTCACTTGGTTGATATTTCTTTTTTTGACAGCAGCCCGCTCTTTTGTCAGCACGCACATGTCATCGCCACACAGACTGAGAACAAGAATGTGAGAACACGCACGTAACACAAGAGCTAGTAATTAACGAAATGACCTCTGAATGCTGCACCTACAGCAGCCCCCTTTCATCACAGCTACACACACACACACACACACACACACACACACACACACACACACACACACTAGAATAGAAGGGCTGCCTGTAGCTGCTGGAACCTGCCAATTATTCTGTACTTTACTGGACCCTCGCTGCATCAGAGGTGTGATTGGAATAACAACCATCCTCCAAACCACGCAATTCTCCTCTCCCTGTAGGGCAGCATTGAACCAGCAGGGGAAGGAGGAAGGAAGTAAGGAAGGAAGAAAGCGTGACGAGATGATAGCGACGATGAAGAAGAGTGTGTGTGAGACTGGGAAAGAGGAGAGGGGGGAGAAAGTAAAATGAAGGGGAGAAAGAGGAGGAGAGGGGAAGGAGTCAAAGCCGGGGCTCCCTGGCAACATGCAGAGGCAGAGGTATTGTGAGAGTGAGTGCTGTCTGAGTGACACTCACTCTCATATCCCCCCCTCTGGGGAAATAACCCCCTTAATCCAGCGTGCTCTTTCAGATAGACAAGATCACCCTTCTTCTCCCAGCAAGGATATGAAACGCTCCCCCTTGTGATTCAAATACCAAGGATGAGGGCTGGAAATCGAAAGACAACATTGTGACGCGGTGCAAGCAGAGAAAGACATCAATGTGTACCGTCTCCTCCTCTCTGGCAGCTGACTCGCTACCTCTACAGGAGGTGCAAAGTCATTGGTTCACAGTGGAGGAAGTGGCCTGTTATTGGCTCTTTTGTTGGGAGGTGGCATAGTATTCTTAGTAGGAGGCTCAGTGTCAGACGGTAGGGTGCCTTTTTTTCTCAACAACTGCTTTCCAAAGAATACAAATATTTTCTCCATGCAGGAATATTTGTGAATTTTTGCTAAGCTAATGTGGTCTCCTCTTTGCCTGAAATAATCTCCCTTAATATTCAACTCCTGTGCCTTGATTCTCCAAATCAGTTACTAAATCTTTCCTGCTGTTTTTAATGCCTAGCCCTTCTTAGTAATATCCTTTTTAATAAGCGCACACAATGTGACAAACGCTCGGAGACAGAGTTAATTAATGGTACACAACGCTGGACGGACCACGGAATCAATAAAGTCAGGCGAGCCTGGTCGCAGCAGGCCGAGCGGCGGGACCTGCCGACCACGCAGCCTTTCAGTGTAAACCGAGGGAGGTCTTTTTCTCTCCATACTGGTAAATCACTCCATAGCCAGCCTGCTTGGCACACACAGCAAACTGCAGTGCTAGGCCGACACAGTGTGATATTATATTAGCATTACAAAGGCTTTCCCACCATCTGTGACACGCAGTGGAAAAAAAAAAAAAATCACTTTTCTGTTTCCAAGCCGCGAGAGCTGATGTTTCCATATAGGTTGAGTAAAGAGGGCTGATGGGAGGGTAGCAGTGGATGACGAACACGTCGGGTTTACTTCATACTCGTGGATTCTGTACTCGCTGGAAGACTTTTAACTGAATCTGAGGGTGAACAGATAAGGTTATCCACTGCCTTTATAGACTCGGTAATGTTAAAGCAACACACTCTGATTCAACCCATTTTATGATCAATTCTAGCATGGCTTACGATACAAAACAAAAAAACAACCCAAACTGCTATGTCCTCCTCTGTGAGAGCAGATAGAGTTCTGTGCTTCACTCAGCAAGCCTGAGGGAATGAATAGACTTGGCTCTTCCACACAGCTCTCCTTGCTTTCCACTGTAGCCTGTTGTCACTAGCCCCTGGTCGTACGCCAGTCGCCTACTTGGCAGGGAGAGGTGCTGTACAAAGCAACTGGCAGGTCTGGTAAATAATGCTGATGGAGTGTGATAGAGAGAGAAGCATCTCCTTTTATTCTACACAGCTACTCTAACGCTTTCAGCACAAAGAGAGAGAGACACACACGCTAATGCCGCCTGCTTTTTTGTCCGATCCATTTGACTGGAAAAAACGACCCACCTAGCTCCTCTTTATGTTATCTTTCATGATGTTTGCCAGCTTAAGAAAAACCGACACCCCCCAGCCAATGGCTTACCAGAATACCCGGCAGTGTTGGAGCAGACAACCTGCCAACAGCTGGGATTTACAGTTGGAACTTCATGCCTACAATTACACAGATGAAGGAGGGACAAGTGGACAATAGCAATGTAGCGTTGAGGGGAAACACTCATGCAGGCAATCACGCAAAGCCCTCTTCTTACTTAGAGGAGCAGGAAAAAGGAGAGGGAGAGAGGGAGACATGATTAACAAATGCTCTGTGGCTGACTTCAGAGTTCAAGCTTCAGCTTCGACACAGAAACGTGAGCCTGAATGCTAAAACTCTATGACCATAAAAGCATCTCCAGGGTTTATCTCCTCTTTTCTGTGACTGCTGTGGCCTAAAACATCTGACTTTGAGACAACTTTGAAACAAAATCGTAAAACAACTTGCAATGATCTGGGGCTTCCTTTTCATGTAACACATCACAGCCACTGTGAGTGACTGAGACATGACAGAAGAGAAGCCAATTAAGATGTGTAAAAACTGTACAAAAGTTATGGAGATAGCCATAAAATACTGGATACACAGTGTGGATAGCTATATCTGTGTGCGCACAGAAGAATCTTCACACTGTTTATTTTATTTCTGTTATTTAGTTGCAGCACTAGGAGAAAACCTTTAATAGGAGACAGGGGATTGCTATCTTACAGTAGCATCGGCTGTGCATAAATACGGACAATGGGCCTCGATTTTCTCCCTTTGTAAAAATGTGAAGGCAAAACTCTGCTATGCTGGGCACTGGCATATTGTGCTGGTGATGTACTTTGGATCCAAGGCCTGCTTAGTAGTGAACCGACTGGTAGAGCAGCTGGGTTCCTTCCACTAACTAAATCCCACATATTATACCCAAAAGTACATTTTCTCTGACTTCTTCAACATAGAATCAAACATTTAAAACTTCTTCACAAGATCATCTCTTGAACATGAATCATATCAGCTTTATCACCTCCACTGCAACCAGTCACTAGGGGGAGTTCTAAAAACTTTGACTTCCCTTTGGGGATGTGTTGTGCTGTTCATGTTTTTATACTGCTATTCACTGCATAATGACCGTTAAGGTGCCGACACGTATCACTGACACAGTTTCAGCCGAAGTCTCTCATTAGCCTCAAGATTTAACGAAAGACATCAGAGGAAGGCTTAGTGTTCTGCTAACTGCATGTATCTCAGACAAAAATGGAGAGATTATCACAAGAATGAATCTAGAGTTTCATTTGTTACCACAGATTTACTGTACAAAATCTCTGAAGAGACACCAAAGTTCAAGGCCAGATCAGAAAGCTGATGAAAGAAGGACCTTTGAACTGAAGTTTTCATTGGAGCCGCACTGTTGTCTACTTCAGAGCGAATAGAAATTGAAGTCTTCAACACACAGTGCTGCAGAGATGTTAAAGAATGGCTCACTGATGTTGTTTACTGGGCTGATATCAGACAAGTCTGTTGCTGGCATGGGTAAGTAGGGTGATTGGTCAGTTTTAAGCAGGACTGCAGTAAATCCTGTTATGTGGGATGCACAAAGCTCCTCCTAGTCTTGAGAAATGAAGCCTGTGTTGAAACAGTAGTTCCCCGTTTGACCACGTGAGTCTGGCTGCAAAAAGACTGGAAGCTACATACACACCCATTCAAAAGAGGCCATCTTTGAGGCTATGTAAATATGTTTGCAGTCTGGTCAAACAAAACAGCTCATTTCTCTGCACACACACAGTACGGGGGGTGAGTTTCTTTTCAATCTCATTGGTTTCAAAGATATTAAGGTTATGAGTTTTGCATGGTTGGAGGCACTAGACTGACAGGTGGGCACAATGTAGCTGTTAACCTGGAGACTAAAGGCCAACCTCGACTATCTATCTTTGCTTCATGCTAGGTTGACAAGAAGATAGGTTGAGTTAGCATTTCTAATATGACAACCACTGCCGAAAGACTTCAAAACTCTGCTTTGGAAACCAGTGGCTGCAGTCGCTGAGACTTCCTGATTGTTTTTCCCATTCTGTAAGGATTCATGGGGAACTTGAATTTTGTGTAATTGTAGCTATCGGTCACTTCTAGGACTTCTTTGAGGGATTGTAGCAAACTGGAGAGCCTTGCAGTCAATTTCTTCCCACAGTTGCAAGAGTCTTGGCTCCTACCAGACTCTGTCATTATGCACATTCAAAAACAAATGTATGAACTCAGCATCTTCTGCATAGAGACACAAAGTAGCTTTGCAGTTTACCAGAAGAAACATCTAAAAAAGGTAAGGCCTGCGTTGTCTTTGTGCACACAGTCTTTGTCAGCAGGAGGAATAACACGAACACTTTGCAGCGCAAGAGGAAAAAAATCCTGTGACAGCACATGATCCCACATTAAGACTCGACAACAAGGTGTAGTCTATATATACTTAGATGAATACACTGCACAGGTGGATCCCTGTCATATTAACTAGGAGTATTACTGCATGTAAAGAGCATACATAGCTCAGTGGCAGCATATAAAACCACTCTCATCCCTGTGGGAGTGCAAAGGGTCAATTAGGTTTCCAGCCTGGTATAATATTCCTGTCACTGAGTCTAATTCTGAAAAACACCTGTAGATGCATCAGCCATCCTCCCTTTCACTAAGCCTAATTCTCATTAGCATATGGCCCAGAATATCCAGCCTGGTGCAGCAGTCAGGAAGACAGCCTGGCGAGAGGGAAGGTAGCAGGGTTAGCTCCCTTGTCAAAACCAATATCCACCTCATGAGGACAAGACTGGGGAGCAGCAGCCAAAATCATCTGCATAAAGGAGAGGCACTAAAATCACCTCTTATAAAATACGACAGGGGAGCCAGCTCGCACTGGTTAAAGCATGATGAAAGGAATGGAATCCAGCACAGCTCCCAGTCTGTGGATAATCAAACAACCCTGGCGCTAAAAGCATGGCATTCAAATTCAATTGTGAAAGCTGCTGCCGTCTGAGGAAAGAAAAGACGTGCGAGAAAAATACATCCCTGTTGTTTTGAACCCGGTTGGAGCTTGAAAGATGCATTTTATAATGCCTTCCATTAGTAAAAACCCACAAACCCTTACAGCGGCAACATAGTTAAGAGCACACTTATGTGCTATATGCTGAAATCTAAAAAAAAATACAACTGTAATTGCATCAAATGATGATTGATTGGTCATGCAATGAAAACAATAAAGATTTATTAAAGCAGCAGCTTGCAGAAGCAGGATCTCATGATTTCCTTAACCTGGAGCATGACAGCCACATCTAATCCCTGAGGGAACAGCAGTACATATTAACCAGTAGAACATGACAATTTATCACATGAATTATCACATACAAAGATATCCCTGTTGCTACAAGCCCTTAGCCTGCAAGATTGTGTCCAACTGAAGACAACGGGCTCTGAACATTCGACAGAATAATGTCCTTAACCCTGAAAATGTTGCTGTTAAATACATACGAGAACCTGCACACGTTCCCTGACACAACAACAGGCTTTTACAGTCAGACTGCAATGTAGTGGTGCAGCAAAATAGTCAAGGCACCAGAGAGAGAGAGAGAAAGAAAGAGAGAGAGAGCCTGAATGCCTTATTACAGTGTGTGAAGTGGAGCTGGGAGCAGGGAGGGAAGAGGAGGAACGTCTCGGTGACAGAGGCAAAGGCTGATGAAAGCTCTGCACGGAGCAGTCAAAAGCGCCGACACATGACACAGCCCATAACTGCTCGCCATCCTGGACAGGATCGTATTCATGTAGCCTTCTTCTTCATGTATATTTAAACACCCGCAGCTCTGGTTCAATTTCAGCTAAAAACAACACACACATACATAAATATACACAAGATATTCTGGGGTGAGAAGAAGAAGAAGCCACAGATGACCCTAAAAAAAATGGATTATTTTTCTTCACGTCATTGTTTCGTTTAATTAATAGCAGAATGGAGCAGGCTGTAGTGGCTCCGACACATTAAGACTGTGTGATCTTCACACATGAGTGTATCTTCAAGGCCCTTGGTGTGTTTGTGTATGGGTGTCAATGTGAGAAAGTGTGTGGGTGTATTTGCTTGACTGTATCTTTGTGTAAGAGAAAAAAGGGAATGACGCGGTGATGAGAGCTACTGAGCGAGAAAGAGAGAAAGAGAGAAAAAGGATGGACGGAGACAGAGAGAACACAGTGGTGAAGGATGGAGTAAGAAAGAGAGAGAAAAGGAGAGAGGACAGGAGGTGGTGGTGGTGGTGGGGGGGGGGGGGGGTTCTCTCTGAGCCCAGGGGGTAGGTAAGATTACAGATGTACACACAATGTTCTGGAGCACAGGCCAAGGGCTGAATAACAGAGTGTTGCTGTATGTGCAGAGCTGCCTGCTGCAGCTCACTCTGTGCCTTGTTCTGCTCAAAGCCCAGGGCAGCCATTCAGAGACGCTCCCCCAGCAGCAGCAGCGGCAGCAGCAGCACAGATCCTCTCTCATATCCCAAATTGTTCCTCCAACAGATCGGTGCTGTTGTTGATGAGCCCTCATGAAAAAAAAAACATCCAGGGTGAAAAAATTCTTCTAGCGAGACGATTTTTTTCCTTCACTGCAGCTTGATTTCTCTCTCAACTTTCGGAGTACGTTTCTCGCTATCTCTTTTTTTCTAACTACATATAGGTTTGGCTGCCATTTCTTTATTACGAACCATAAATGTAGGGCAGTGGGTTATTATTCCTTTGCTTAATGCTGTTATTATCATGATCATAGTACATAAAGGTGATGCTACAATTATCTTTACTGTAGTGTAAACACTGTGGCTTTTTAGGTAGAGGATAAAAACTCATTAAGCGTGTTTACATGCCAGATTTGTCCTTTACATTGCATGTTGCTTCCAAACCATTTAGGGTGAAAAACATTCAGATAATTCAATATATTATGAATATATAAAGAAAAAAAAGAAAAAGGCCTTTACTCAGCACTCAAAGTGCAACAATTTATCACTAGAGATGACTAAAATCATGGACAAAATAAGCTAAACCACATAGATTCTATATAACTCATCAGTGAAGTCATCTCGTTTTCTGAATGTGACTTTCTAAGAGAGACACCTCACATCAGCTCTGTCTCTACTGTGAGTGGTACATGCAGGACAGTAAACAGGAAGCAACAGGTAAATAAAGCACAGCAACATGGCAGCCGGGCCAATGCAAGACAATCTTAAAAGAATGTGATTCTTCCAGATTTACCCACAATTTCAGGCTTTTGGACCCAAAGGAGAGACCAATGAAACATTTAACAACAACAAATAAGTATTTTAAAGGATCTGTGAACTGTGAAACAAAAACAAGTGCAGACACTTACAGGCTACAATGTGATAATAGTTTTGATGAGTAAGTGTTTATTCTAATGTTTGTACGAAGCCTGAATTCAGTCCATTATCTAGAATGGTACTGAGTTAGCTGTTAGCTCGTAGTACAGCAAACAAGGTTGCACAAGTAAATTTGATCTGGTTTCAGTTTGTGTTAAGTTTCTGTGTGTCTTGGTAAGAGAAACCATGTCACCAGGTTCAACGTCACTGAACAGAGTAAGTGTATCCATTTTTAGCAGGTCGCCAACACTTGATTGCATAAAAAGGATGCAGTTATTTTGAGGTCTGTGCAATTAACTGCAGCACAGCCTTTCTCACTCTCTTTCTCAGTTTCTTTGGTTGCAGGACACTCTTTGACCGTCACTAGAACTTTCTCTGCCCCTCTAGGTTATCAAAATAAAATGATTAAAAATAAGCTAACTTGTTTTCACTGCAATTGATGCCACAGAACTTAATCCATCCATCCATCCATTTTCTACCACTTATTCCTGTTCCCAGGGTTGCGGGGGGGCCGGAGCCTATCCCAGCATCTATGGGCGAAGGCAGGGGACACCCTGGACAAGTCGCCAGTTGATTGCATGGCTGACATATAGAGACGAACAACCATCCACGCTCACATTTACACCTACGGGCAATTTGAAAGTGGCCAATTAACCTGACAGATACAGAAACGCCCTGACCCGGATTTGAACCCAGGACCTTCTTGCTCTGTAGTGACAGTGCTAACCACTACACCACTGTGCCGCCCCAGAACTTAATCATAACTCTAAACTATGATGAAGTTAAATTATTTTACTTCTCCTATAAGACAACTAAACAACTTTAATCCTGTTCTTTTTATGCAATTTTACATCCGATCCGACGACTCTTAAATTTTAGCAGTTTACCCTCAGTGCCATGAGGAAAAGGGCTGCCTGAAAAGATCTGTAAATTGGAACTTGTTCGAAGTTTTACAATAATAATCCTTCTTTCTAAAATCTATTACTTTATGCCAATGTTGTCTCTGTGTTGGCTGGGGGCAAAGCTAAGAAAAACTATAGTGACACACAAATCTTATCACCTTTAAACAGTAGGTGTTGTATGAGTCTTAAAATGTCACCTTGTTGTGTCGTTGTACTGTTTACCAGCTGCCACTGCCTCCCAGCAAAAACAAAGACAACTGTGGTTAATGTGATACAACAAAAGGAGTGGATGGAGCTGATCGTGAACAATGCTAGCATGTGCAGTGCTCACTTCATAAAGCACATATCCGCTATTGTTTAAAACCCGTATATTAAGGGTTGCCTCCAGCTGAGCCCCACCCATTAAAAAAGTCACTCTGTATTTTAACACTAAAAAGCTCTGTAATACTAAATCTTTTTCTATCCTCACCTTCACCTCAGGAACAGACCAAATGATTACAATTACTGTGGTAACTACAGTATATTATAAGTATAAACTAAACCATCAGTCTTGCATATATTAATCCTGGTTATGTTTAAAGCCAACACTAAAATGTGATATTTTCTCAGACTTAAATGGCATGTTTAGACAGTAAAGGAGTACTGTTGTATTTGAAAGCTGATAGCTAAATAAGAGCCATTAAATGTGAGATTATTATCCGATTAGTCAAATAGATTAGCTGACTATCAAAATAGTTGGCAGTCCTCTGACTCTCCACCATAAAATATTTTCCAACACCGCTGTTCTGCTATTACAAAGCCTCAACCGTAGTTTTTTTTTCAGTAGTTTCATGTTCTTGTAGATATAGCCTGTCTCACATTTTTGAATCTACTCTGTAAGTACTGGAGGTGGTGCTGAAACTGAAAACAATGCTGAGAATCTTCTGTCACTGGTGCTGTCAATGTGGCAGTAATGCACTGTGCCGCAACAAAAGAAACAAATTTTGAAAACTGTTCTTTCATGGTGGTAGTAATAGCAGACGTAGTGAGATCAGTATACTGTAAGTCTCATGGAAAAAAAAACAAAACTCGTCTGTCTGTTGCTGTACCAGAAAAGAAACATGTGAGGCAGTTTGACTGTTAATTTTCATTTTGCATCATTCCTTTTGCACTCTGCATTTTGTTTATGATTTACCTGAAAGAAAAGCAGGAGGGGAAACGGCTGCGCTTTCCTGTGAGGAACTGGCTCGCAGGCATATAAAAAAGAAAAACAACGAAAAACCCATTTCACTGATGTAATGATCTAATTGAACCGAGAGAGATCAACACCTTAGCAAACTGTAGTAACCTGACCAGAATTTATTCTTAGCAGACAGGTGTTTTAAAATTGAGTAAATCAGTCTGTTACAGGGACTGAGACAAAAATGTCTTGAGTGTGAAAAAGAACAAACAAGGACGAACTTGAAAGAAGCAGCGTGAAAGTCAAAATGAAACATCAAACTGGGAAAGAAAACTTGTGGTTGTTTGTAGATTATTGTTGTCTTTGTTTGTTCTCGTTGGTCTCTGAGAACATGGACATGTTTCTGTTTCAGGCCTCCCGTGTTGATCAGTCTGCTTTGATTATATAAATGCCAAGTGAATACATTTTATTTCAAAGAGGGAATTGTGCAGATGAAAAGCATTATTAAATCAGGTTAACGATCCTGTGTCCTTATCGGTCTATCTTCAGCATCTCAGTCAGAAATTACATTTTCATTGTGACTGGGCATGAGTTGCCACAACGCGGTTGAGGTTGTGTTTACAAAGGGCGTGTCAGTGAGTAGGTGTGTATTTTATGAGTAATTGCCACTGAAATTATATCACACAAACACATAAAAATAAAACAGATTCATATTGCTTGTAAAATAAAAAAAGGCACATACTGTACATGAGTGTATCCAGAAACCTGCAAGCAGGCCAAGTTTGCCACTAGCAGCTGCACTACTTAGTGACTCATAACATCACAGGTCAGGGATAACTAGAAAACAGCAGCTCTGAAAAGCTTCAAGGTAGAAAGGTCTGCCCAGTTAGCTCTAGCTGTAATATCATTTCAGAGTTAACTGCTGTGCTGCAGCACAGTCACTTCTGAAGTTCTGCAATATTGGTCCCTGTTCAAGCATGAAATTCAGCTTTGTCCACGTTCTGCCTGCAATGGTTTTCTGCTCCTTCTTACCAAAGGCTACAGAGCTACTGTCATAATATTTGTGCACATTTAGACCACATTAGGATCCCATCGAAGCTTTCAGTAATATAAGATTTCCCAGCATAAGTAAATCCTTAATTAAAATACTTATTTTGGGAGATCTGATCCAAGAAAACCAAAACCCTCATTTCTACAAACCTGGGGCAGTATTAGGAGCCTAACATATATCAAACAAGTAAGACAAACAACATTACCCACATATGTCCAACACAATGTTTTCTAGCATAAAAATAAAATTGTTATAACAGCAGAAAAGTAACCTTTTGTACTGCTACATGAAACAGCTTTAACTTACAACATGGGAGCAGCCATATGTTGTTTTTTAAACCTTGATTTAAATGGTGATTTCTTTTTGTTATAAACCCCACGAGAAATAGCTGGCTTTACTGAGCACGGGACAATGATCCAAATACATATTCAGATAAATTATTCAGGTTGATGCAATGAATGCAGATTTATCTTCTTTAACCATTTGAGTAACACAGCTACAGAGATCAAATTGCAAAAGAATACTCTGTTTTCAACAATTTGGCATTTTACATGCAAATAAAGTTGCATGTATTAACCTGGACTATCCTTGGGGGTCATCATGAAACTTAATTGAAGCTTCCCTGTTGATAATTTGTGGCTCACCCACAACCACTGTGTGATCCTAGCCATTCTCAGGTTGTTTAGCACTCATCTTCAGTCATCAGTATCACAAATACTATATTTTTAGGCCTCAGTTGTTGGTACCTGGAATTATTACTGTGTTCACTTTTAACTAGGTGACTTATTTTTGCTTGAACTTCTTTAATAGCCTTTAAAAACTGGATTTCTTCTTCTTTACCTGCTCTTAGCCTGACACAAAATAAAATGGTAGGTTCTTCAAAACTGTATGAAAACAGAAAATGACATTTAACGAGTTCTTCATTCATCCAGGATTTTATTCCTGATTGATTTAACAGATGATTGTCAAAGACCTGCCCCTTGATCACAAACATGAATTAAGAATTAAGAGGGAAGAAAACATCCAATATAAAATCGTACACACACTTTTAACGTGTTTCAGTTTAAAGCTGCAGTCAGAGACATTGGCCTTAACCTGTCAAAACATCAATGCTAATGTTAGCATGTCCAGTAAAATTCACCTTTAGTCAAAGACACAAATTCAATGAAACAGTTGTGAAATGTACGAATATATGTGACATAATTTATGGCATATATTTTCATAGGATGTAATGCTGCATACATAGAGATATTCACAGTGTTTCATTGGGGATAAAATCAGTTTTTGCTGCACTCTTTGGTTTGAAAACATGAATTTTGCTTTCAACTCACTGCACAACTGTTTATTAATGTCGATTCCCTGAACTTAAGTTTTTCTCTCTTCAATATATCGGTAAAATTTGACATTTCAAATGGGATCCTGATAATCTGTTCCTGACAGTGTTGGAAATGTGCTTAACTTTGCAGCAACATCTCCTCGTGTTCACATGAGGTATTTATGGAAGAGCAGCTTCAAGAGAGGTCAAATGTAAGGTGCGTGTTCATTATCTTGTGACGAACATGTATGACACATTCATGCATTCTGCTCTCGTCAAACGTACCTCTGTGACAGTAAATCATGCTCTCCGAGAGATCAACAGTTCTGTATATTAATATAAAATTCAATCCTACACTCCTCTCCAGTCTTCAGCAAAAACTGCTCCTCAAAAATCCATCAACTCAGTCTCTTTGTTGAGAAAGCAGCTGAAGAACTGTAAGGGAAGCTTTCAACCACAATAGGCAGGGGTAGCTCTCGCTCAAATTTAGCTAATTTTATCCAACTTTAGAAGTACGAGCTACAACCAAACATAAAACGAGTGATTCTGACTGCAATGATGACATGCCGTTTGCTGCAGACACAAGAGGAAACCTTTAAGATGTGAAGTTCTCTATTTACTGTGCTGAATGCGAGCAAAAGGGGGTCTGGAGTTACCTGGTGGTGCAGGTGTGTAAACTCTGAGCCTATGCCCACAAACACATAAACTGCTTGCTGTTGAGAAGGACCTGGTAACAACAGTATTACAGGATACAAGCATATCACATACGGCTGAAGACAACATCACTTACCAGCCAGAGTCTGCTGTCGTACTAAACTACACTGTAAAATTAATTTAGGGTCAAACACACCGCAACACCGAGTTAGACAAGAGATGAATGTTCCTGACCACTTGCTTCTCTTGTTATACCAACTTTTAGAAACACATTTCTGATCATTTCTCTATGGAAATGCAATCAGACCAAGAGGCTAAGGCTGGAAAACTCCCCCGTCTGCAGTGCAAAATTATTAATATGATGATTATTACTTCAAGGAAATGATAAAGAAATGATCATAAATGTTCTTCCTTGAGCTGTGTCACCCCGCTGTAGTCAGTAATGGACTGGCCTGAGTTCTTGCTACAAACATGCAGCTGCTGGAAGAAAGTGGGTGAGTTGTGTTTAGTCTCTTTGCTAAAGAAATCAGGCAAAGCTAAAAAGATGTCTGGTGGCTAGTACTATAGCTGGGACCCTTTTTGTACTGTTGCTGAAGTTAGGTGCTGTTCTGAGCATTATTTGTGGCTATAGAGTGGCTTTTTGGTTGAGGTTTGTTCATGGCTCCTCAGACCGCTGTGTATTGCTATCATGCGGTCGTTACTAAAGTTGGTATAACTAGAGAAGCAAGATTCATCTCTTGGGGGGGTGTCTAACTCCGTGTTACAGTGTGTTTGACCCTAAATTAATTTTACGCCGGAATATCCCTTTAAACCAGGGAACAGCTTAGCATCACAAACCCAATAATCATTAGAACCTCTTACAACCCCACTTCAAAAATCCCTCACTATCCCTTTAAAGTAGAAAATGACGCAACATATAATTGCGATGATTGGGTGTGTGAGTGTGTGTGAGTGTGTGTGTGTGTTGAGTCATATCTGTACTGTATTGTACTGTACTGTATTGTTTAGCATTGTATCTTTTATTATCATTGTTTTGTATACTAGCCCATTGTATCCTGTCCACTCATACCCTATCCTATTAATATGTAATGTGTCAGAGTGTATTGTATCATATGAGTAGTGTAGAGGTAGACCCTCATTTGAAAGTGTAATTTTGTGACAACAAAGTACCAAATAGCCTGTTCCTTTTCACAACAACATGGAGAACAGTATTATAATGGAGCAAAAATGCTGAGTTTGATATTATGGATAATGATATACAGGAGTTTGAGTATCTGTGAGTAACTTCCAGTTTGTGTTGATTTTAGCAACCTCTGTGCACAAAGTGGTTCATCTTATTTCTTTATCCATCTTGTCCTGTCCATGTGTAGGAAATGTTTAATGATAAAGCATCTCATCTCGCTTTCTTAATAAAGTTATAGTTCCTTTAATAATTTGTGTAAAGGTGCCACAGCAGCATTAGTATATTGCATTTTGCTTTTTTAGGTCATATAGAGGTATCAGTATTATGTTTAGTTTGTTTCAAAACCATCTGTAATTGGCTAACAGGAGCTTTAACATGTTTACTTAAAACACTGATGATAGATTCCAGCGGGAAAAAACCTAAAGTGTTTGTGCTTCTGCAAACGATATTTTACACTTTTGATAAATCACCTTTATTGAATTGATTAATAAAGCTAGTTGCTGAAAAATGACAGTGACAATCTCATCCAGCCTGACAATCGTTGTCATAAAAAGGCTGTCATAAATCAGGGTGCTACGGTGGACAAGGTTAAGTCGTTGAAAGTTAAAATTACCCTCGCACTTTCAACTCTCCACTACTACTTTAAAGCTCCCGAGGGGAACTTTAAATCTGGTGCCAACAGTAGCCGAAGGGGCCGCTCATCTTTTTTTCAGATTTTACATGTTAAAGCAGGATTTTTACTCTGCACAAAGATTCTCATCCTGCTGTCTTTAACAGACAAATGTGTCATTCAAATGTACACAAAATCTTTTTCTATATACAGTAGCATTAAGTTGCCTGATACGTCCTGCAGCAATGATTATAGATGATAAAAACACTACATAGAAATAGTCTGGTCACTTCTGCTCCTGTTTCCTGAGGTAGGTCATAAATTAGCATCTGTATAAACTTCAGTTCACACCTGAAGAGCTTCAACCAATAACCAATTCACATTATTACTTGATATTTTCAACATTGTGGCTTATGCAAAGGCTGCTGTACCAAAGAATTACCTGTATCATAACTATAGAGTTCAGGCAATGTTGAATCCTTTTTTTTACCTAGTTGTCTCCACAGATCTTAACACACATCTGACACCAGCTCCTGCATTAAGATCCAAGCACCACGAGAGATGTGAGAGTATTATATGTGTTATCTTTAAGAGTGCATTTGCTGATCAAAATCAAGGCTTCGGTGCAGTTTTGTCGTTGGCACTGTGCATCGACTTTACTCTGCGTCTCTCTGACCTTGTTCGATGCCCCTTTTTCCTGACAATTACAGCCCAGTATTAGGCTTTTGTCCTGTGCTGTGCCGCGGTGGCCTTGCCGCCTGTATCCAGCTCTTCCTGAGTGAATGACAGCTGATAAAAGCCCTGGGCTTTTTCTGGCGTCACCGGCGCTATGTAATTCCACTGCAGGGGAGTGTGCTTTTAGCTATGAAGCCCACTGCCACAAGAGCACTAAAGATACAGGCACAAACCCCTTGCCAAATTGCCCTTAAGCTCCAGAAGCATTTCATCTGACATTTTATTGATGGACACAATTGTCACTATTCTAACCATGTGTTATTTCTTGTATTGCATCAGCGGCTCTGCGTATTCTACCACCAACACTAAAGCACAGCAGCAAGAGATAAGCCTGGTAGCTGCATCAAATAGAGCCACCCTAATTATGAGGGTCCGCATTAAAATTTCATAACAAAAAAACACGATGACAATAAAGCCTCTCAAGTCAATAATGCACTGAGGCGGCGCAGTACAAAATTATTTTCAACAACCCAGAGACCTCAAGTAAAATACTAAAACACAGCTTTTTTATGCTTGCAAAAGAGAGTGTGTCTGTGTGTGTGTACATGATTATGTGTGTAAGAGAAAGAAAGAGAAGGAGCAAGAGACCTTGAGTGCAAAGGGAGGAGTAGATGCTGCAGCATTCACGGAGGGAAAGCAAAGCTAACTGTGAGTCAGAATCTCTCCTTCACTTTCTCTCTCTCTCTTTCTCCCTCTCTGGCCCTTTACCTCCCTTCTTCCACTTTCCACTCTCCCCTTCTCCTCCCTTTTTCAGCACTTAAGCAGCTGCCTCCACTTATGCAGGGCACATTTCAGATGACAGGAGGGATGGAGGGAGGTGGGGGGGGGGTGATTGGTGGTGTGGGGTGTGGGTGTAGGGGGGGCAGGAGGAGCAATAGAGGGGGAGGGAAACAAAAGGTTGCACGATGATTGCACAACCCTGCTGAAGGGGGACATTCCAGCCTAGGTGAAGATGCTGCTCCCCTCCTCCTTGTCCTCCCTTCCTCCTCCTCCTCCTCCCCTGAAAACCTACGCTATACATCAAAGAGGAGAAGGTTAACCGCTAGACACAGTAACCTCTGTAATAGAACTGTTTTCTAATGACCATCAGAGAGTGTTTACTACCTCCGGGCCAATGATTAATGGCTGTATGCACAGGCAGACTTCTATTTCATGTCGCCAGTCCTGCTGCTCAGAGATGTGAGCGAGATGAGGAGAAAATGACAGCTGAGATGAAATATTCTGAATGCTGCTGGGGGATCTTTTAGGGACATGACAAGCTTGCCCCCTCCAGGGCTGCTTCTATGACAAATAAGTGTGGAAAAACATAGCATAAAAACATATTGAACATCCTGTGATAACACCATCAGTGGGATCTTGATGAGTGTGTGCATGGAGAAAAGGAGAAAAGTGGTTCAAGAAACAGCACAGAAGATATTTTTTCTTGAAGCTAATTTCTCAAGTGACAAAGAATGTTTGATGTACGTATTTCACAAACATAGAGCAGAGATCTCTGCATTTACTTCCAAGCAAAACAGCCCTGCTATCAATGTTTTTTCAAATCCTCACAAAGGAGGTGAATGAAGCACGAGAATTTTCTTATCCCCACCCATAAATGAACATTTAATCATAAACTCAGAACCACCTTATCACCAGATTCATCATTTTTACAGGACATCAATGACAAGCAGATTCTTGAATAATTCAGCCTTTCCTCTCCTCCTCTCAAATCAACCTTTTTATCGCCATAACTCAACAGGAAATTACAAGAGTAAGTTGCTCTCAAAGCGTCGCTTCGGGTAGACATATGAAGTATTTCATCTTTCGTTTCATCATCTCATACGTTAAACAAGACCTCCATAACAACTAAGGACTTTGCTTGTTACAAATGACTGGAAAATGCATAGTTTTCACAGCTGTGTTTTAAGTTTGGCAGAAATAAGGTTAGGGATGTAGCAATATACCAGAATTAATAATAACCTTCTCTGAAAGTAAAAAATGATTTTGTGCCAATAATTATAGGATAATACTATGAGTTCATAATAATGGTACTTGTCCCTGTTTGATACACGTCTTGAAGGAGCAGTAACTGCTAGTGAGCAAACTGTTAACCCTCTAGGAGATGATGCTTTGCTCTTACAAACTGACTTTTAGGATTTATTGTGATTTCAAATGCAGCATGTACGAGCTTGTGCCTCTGCAGGTTTTTATTCCCGGGAGGTACTTTCTAACCATTCTTTTTTTCTGTGTCTATTCAGTTTAGTAATTTGCCAGAAGTAGTATACTTTAAAATTAAAGCAAAATTTTACAATGAAAGAAATGAAGACAAGACTAAAACTATCAAAATAAAAGCATTAAAAACTGTAATTTCATGATGCAGCATCTTCTCCAAAGAAGTTTTGGTTACAGGGCACTTTCTCTGGGATTTCATTGTTAGCGATTTATTATGGCCACAATAATCATGAGCTAAAAATCTGATGTCCTGACAGCTGAAGAACAAATACTTTTTTTTGTATTTTTTTGCTGAAATAAGTTTCTCTGCTGATCCAAAGAATTAGTCAGTGGAAAAAAGGTTGAAGTTAAGTTTTCCAGACAGACGGCATGTTTAATTGCAAGGAGCAGAGATTTTAAAACAGATATTTTCCAAAGTTTTTCCGGCAAGTCCCCTTGCTTTGTGCAAGAGGCTGCGCATGTGATCAGCAGGACATATTTTGTTTTTATCATGAAATTGGAACCGTATGACACATAAGAGTATAAATAAAAATATTCAGGGTTGAAAAAGAAGAATCAAGACCTGAACAGTCAAGACATCTGCACGTCTTTCGGATTGTACAAAGTATTGATTTAAATACAAAGACTGTCATTAATGCATCTGCTCTGTTGCTCCCTCCTTTGTCATCTCCGGACCCCCACCAACCACCATCCTCGACTTCATGCTGTAAGAGATGTGGAAACAACTTCAGAAAACTTGGTAGTAGAAGTCTCAGTAATTTCTGGAAGTTTCCAGAAGTGCTTGTGTCAAAGAGGCTTCTTTCAGGGACAGAGAGCCTTCATCTCCATAACAATAATAATTAGCACTTTGTTAAGGTTGATCTTGGCAATGACTCAAATGTTAAGTCACTTAGTGCAGAAGACGTGACAAATGTTTCAATCTCGCCATCATGATTCCACTTACATTGTGACAGAGTGAGACAAGACTCCAGACTGTATACCGTCCTGCTTATTACTTGGCTACCAAGCGAAGGAGTTAAAATGATTAATTTATACATATCTTAAATACAATCCCTCTGATTCCACAGAAGTTAGCGTTCATATTAAGGCTGTCACAGTATCAGATTTCAGTTCACAAGAATCGCAATAACAATACCACTGTGGTATTTTTAGAAACTTTGTAATTCTGCAACATTTTCAGTCAAACTGAGGGAAGCCAAGAAGAAGCAAGGGCAACACATTGCTTCATAAATATTTACAATGAACACAATTGAGTTGCACGTCCATTTGTATGGCTTTCTAAATTTATGATTTATCCACATCAGCAGCCGAGTGACTGACACTTGTTTAGAGAAGACACTGCTCCATAAAAGGATTGTTTGGCATGCTTTTGTTTTGATAGCTTTTCTGTCTTGAATTTAGGTTGCTTTATTTCCTGCATGGTAAAACTTTTTTTTATTTTATTTTGAAGAAGTAGTTACTCCCTGCAAATTGTATGTTTTGGATCTGAATAAATAACAATTCAAAAAACAGGACTGATCAGTAAACTGAAGAGACACCAACTTTGTTTTAGATTCACATTAGGTCTTTAAACAACAGTTTCTGAATTGTCTGATCATCTCTGGAAATATAGAACTGCTACAAGCTAGCTTGCTAGCTTCTGCTGCTTCTTTTTTGTCTCATCCCTTTTCTACGGCGTGTGCCCTGCCAATGTGAAGGACCACTACCATGAACTCAAAAGTATTGTCATATGTTTATTTTTAGCAGACATCAATATTTTATTATTTCAGACTGATTGTGATCATCAAAACTAGTTTTTTCAGACAGTCCTTATTCATTTCTACTTGATGAAGATCAATGTAACACACTGAATATTTCAATTCACGGTCAAGTCATAGTAAAACTTTTGCCTGATTATTTGTTACTTTTAGTTCCTTTCACAGTTTTATTATAAATGTTGACTTTTGTACTTTTTCAGTTCTTCTTCTCTGAGCTTTGTATCAGACACACCTTCAAATATAAACAAGGCAAATGTCACAGCTTCTTGCTTACTTATAGATGCACTCACAAGCTCTGCAGTATTGCAGCTCAGGGTTACAGTGCATGATCCAATGTTAACATATCCATGTTTTTTCACCAACATATGAACATTCTAATAGAAACTGGCATTTTTGATACAATGTAAACCATTTATTTATCTATTTAATAAGGATAATGCACATGGACTAGAATATCAGCAAAAAGCATCAAAGTAAATATGCTGGAGTTAGCACAGTTGCTAAATTTCATCCGTTGTCCTAAGGCAGGTATCATAAAAAACCAACATACAGACAATACACCATGTTAACCAACACTTGTGATTTTGCCTTAGTGTCAATGCACAGAAGTAAAATATGTTGCAACTCAAGTCCATGGATTGATTTGATTTGAGGCATGTGATATTGTCCCTGGCATTGCTCTTGCCAATCAGAATCAAGTATTTAACACAACTGGTTACCTTGCTGTGTTTACCTGTTGCCCCTCTGTTGCTGTTTTACATGCCAAACTCAGAGACAGTAAGGGCGAGAGACGAGGGACACATTTGGCCAGGTGGTTATAAGATAACCCGATGTACAGATGCTACAATCCCTGTTGCAGCAGTCACTGGTAGGACTGTCCTCAATATTTTGCTGTGTGTATCCCAGTGATCTCTACTCCCCACATTTTCTCTCTCTCACTTCTCTTCTCTTCTGTCTCAGCTGTCCTATCTCACAGAGGCAAACACACTACAAAAAAAATACCACGCTAAAAAAGAAATAAAGAGACGCAAGATGGCTCAATCCTGAGCAACAATGGAAAACGTTTTTATATCTGCTCAGAGCTTTAAAAAAACGTGATGACTCTACAGACTAATTTCATAAAATGAAATTTATTGGCTTTCTTTTTTGTCATCAACTTTTGTGTGCAAAATTGTGATGTTTTTAGGCACTCTGTGATACATCATCTACTGCTGTTTGTTTTGTCAGACCAAACATCTCCTTCACTAACTGACTGCAGCCAATTCATTAAAACTAATGCCACATAAAATCTTACACTTCTTGCAGATGAAACTGAACTGATCACGTTCAGGCATGAGGAAAAATATGCAGCCATGATTCGCATTGGGTTTCTTTACTGCTGCAGCGTGGTGGGCCAGCGTCTGCGGCACACTAATGCAATTAGGAGCCTACTGTTTGTCATTGATTGCACCAAAATCCAAGAAAAAAAAGACTCAATCATTCTTTCACTAAAAACTACAAATCAGATTTAATCCAAACAAGAGGCTTAAATATTCATTGCAGCTGTCTCACTAATGGATTTAAAATCATGTATTAATTGTGATTAGATAGTTTTCGGTCTTAATGTAATTGTGTAAGCCTTTAAACATAGACTGGCAGTACGTCAGCACTAATTGCAATAAATGTAGCCTTATGTTATAAAGCTGAGTGGCTTTTGTTTAGTTGTAAATAAGGTAGTGCAACATTTACGACAAAGACCTGTGTAATTAATGGAGACGAAAGGACACTTCAGTTCATATACTCTTCGGTTTCACCTGACAGCAAAGTTGAGGGATGAGGACTCTTGCAGCTACCAGAAAGGGAGATGAGGTCATTCCTGTGCACCTCCATCAATTTTATGAATAAAGCCAGAGTGAGGAGGGACTACTGCAGGACTGATGCCCGTCTGCTGCTGCTGCTGCTACACCGATAACAGTCTCTGTCCGCTTTGAGGCCTGAAGTAAGCTTCACAAATCGTCCAAAGTTTGTCAGAGTTGATTTCAAACCACAGGAGAGAGAGCATTTTCATTATTTAAAATGACTCACATTCATACAGCTTAACAGCAGGGGGGGTCATATCGAACAGGTATAACTATGAATCACTTCAACACTCACTCACTGTGAGTGGTTTAATTGTTTCCATTTTTAACCAGTTTAACATGGCTGGACCTTCTCATATTGTTCTCCAGCTTAAAAACTACAGATGTACAAATTCTGTGCACTGTGATCTGAAAGCATAGACCAAAAAACAGCTTGGAAAAACCGTGATCTTTCATAAGATATTTGCATTAAACCATTAAATTTCTCATAATTTCACATTTTTGCTGACTCTGTCAAATCTTTTTATTTGTTTCTCTGTTAGGGTTTAAAAATTAGCATTACCACTCTATTTGTTGTATGAACCACAAAGCTAGAAGAGGATTAGTTTAGCTCAGCATAAACACTGAAGGCACAGAGAAACAGCTAGTTTGGCTTTGTCCAACATTCACGTGTTTACAAACCAGTACAACACGTATTTGGACAAAGATTCAAGTCAGACATTCAGAGTGAGAGTACAGTAGTCCATCTCGACGCTTTGTTGTTCGTGGTTTGGTTAGAAAAAATCAAAAATACTTATCAATTTAGCCAGAGATGCTTTCATCATCCCTCATCTGATGAAATCATGTGTTTAGGTGTTACCTGACACCAGACGTATTCAACTAGAAGGTGAACGCAGCCGAAGATAATACTCTCAGATAATGACAGAGACAAACCGCTGCTTAAATTAAACCAGACCAAACACTTCTACAGCTGAACAAGATGTTAGAGCTGATGCCAGTGTTGCCGCAGAACAGCATCAAAAATTTCTGCAAAATCATTCAACTGTTTTTTTTGTTTTTTGTTTTTCTTTCCTGTTCAAGGTTGTGAGGCAGGGAACAAACTGAATGCTGGTTAAATCACTTTCACTAGCCTTTTTTTCTTCCTGAGTGTAATCAATTGTTCCCAAAGTGTCAAACATTTCTTTTCTGTCTTCGTAATGGAACAGCTCAGCCATTATCACCACAAGGCCCAGGAGATAGGCAAAAACCCAGCAAGAAGTAGTATTTTGTAATATTTCTGACATGCTTTAAGGTGCTTACGATAAAGAAGGGTCACAGACTGAGTTATACATTCAGGTAATGAAGGTAAAAAGCGGAGATATTTCCTTTGCTGGGCCTTTTTTGTCGGGTATGATGTAAAGCTTTCATGTACTCTACTGCTACAAAGATATCCACAGGTGAAAACATAAAAATGACTTCATGTGATGAGAGACAACAAAGGATCTGCAGTTTGACATTAAGTGAAAAAAAATATTTGTTCCTTCTAAAATTCCTTTTTTGTCCAACACAATAAATGTCCCAATAATTCGTCCACCGTCTCTGGAGCACAGACAAAAGCAGCTCATTGATAACAGCTCAATACGTGAGCATGGAGGTCTGTCCAGGGCTTAAAGGAATTTCACGTCAATACATGAACTTGTGGCGTGGCTTCAATTTCCCGATTTGACCCCGAGAAAATACAATACGTGACGTCACTCCCCTAGGTCTCATAATCGTCACCAAGAGAAGAGGGTATATTTCATCCCTCGTGCATACTCCTCTTTTTTTTCCTGTAAAATCTTTTGTTTTTTCAAAGTGAGAGTGTCAAAAGAAGACATTTTCCCCCTGCATCACAAAAATCCATTCCATTACTCTCACAGCAAAGATTTCCCTTTGTTCTCCGCTCCACAAATTATTTCCCCGTCGCTTCAGAAGGCGACTCCTTTTACTTGGCTTCAAAACCAAAGGACAGGGGCAGGTGGGAGGGAGGGCAGGGGAGAGGGGCAGAAGGAAAGGACAGAAGGAGAAGAAAGGAAGTGCACAGAGGAGGAAAAAAAAAGTGCAAGAAAGAAGAGATGAGGAGAGAGAAGGAGACAGAGAAGGGTGGTTAGTAATGAGGAGGGCATGGAGGGACAAAACAACAGCTCGACTCTGCCTTTCAGAACATCTACAAACTCGAATCTCAATCTTCGCTCGTCATCTTTGGATTCTAATGCACCCGCCTTAGTTTGATATTTGTTTTTCCTGTAAAGTCATTGATGTTATTAGTTTTTGAATCCAGGCTTAGAGATGTGTTGATCAGCTGCACAGATAGAAATATAAATGATTTCACTCAGTCTGATGAGCAAGAACAAAAAACTCTTGTGAAGCCGCAAACCACATCAGGAGGGAGGACACTCGTGCAAAAAAAACACAACAGCCTTTACCGATCACGAGTCAAACACTGTTTTCCTGTGAAACACTTAATCAGGTTGTGTTTGAGCAGTAAAAGGGGCACACTGTCATAGCTTTAATGTGTCTCTCTGTGCTCGGGGGGGGTGGGGGGTGCGCGTATGTGTGTGTGTGGGGGGGTTAGCCTCTCTGATGTGCCACAGCTGAAATTGGCAGGCTATCAGTCACAACCCTGTAACACAATGTACAGCATTTCTAAACAGTATAAAGAGATATGACAGCCAAGAAGGCAGAGAGACAGATTGAGGGAGGAGGAGAGAGAGCGAGAGAGAGAGGAGGGAAGAAGACAGAGTGCAGAACACAGAGTGAGAGTGAGAGAAATGACATTTTTAGATGCCTGATGTGTAAGTCTAAATGTTTTGTTTACAACTGGGTCAGAACAGCACATTGTTCCAGACTCAAAGAACAAGGATTTAGTCTTCTGACGCCATCTCAGATTTCACATCAGAATAACACGAGCTTTCGGGTTGTGGTCTCTGAACGACAACATATTGCATCTTAATGAAAGGGAGGTTTGCAAGATGTCAGGAAAAGGGGCAAGCTTTTTTTTTTTCGCTGGACAAATGAGAACAAAGCCCTCTCCGCCTCCCTGCAGGTAATCAGGCCTATTGATTAGCGACTGTGTGGGTCTGTGAGGCGCTGCAGAGCCCTGGGAGCCCGTGGCTGTGTGCATATGCACAGGGGTATTAGCAGCGCTTATTCTCCAGGCCTGTGGGACAATGCAGCCTCTGAGCGAGGTGATTAAAAGGCCCCAGCTATTGAGCTCCTCCAATCAATGCCCTCCTGTGCTGCTGGACAGAGCCGGAGGCCGCTTCCTAAACAACACACTCACACACATGCTAACATGCTATCACTCCCCGATCCTCCATTCCTCCTCTCCCTTCCCCCAGAGTCTTAAGCTAGCTTTGTTAAGTGTCGGGGCCAAAGGGGGCCAAATCCCCTGTGCTCGGTTGTATGGCTTGATTTGACCACACCGCACTGCAAAGGGACGCGTCGTTTTCATCACGTGCACTGGCCAATTAAACAAATCTAATAGTGGGGGGAGGAAGGGGTAAAAGTAGAATCTTTTCATTTAAATGGATAAGGTTAATGAGTTATTTGTATGGTTGACGTATTCCGATGGTTTAAAAGGTTAGGCGCATCTACACAGCTGCCCTTTGGACTGATCTCCCCCGTTTCACGCTCCCTCAAGCAGTGGTAATGAGAGGTCACTGTGCACCATGTGGGCCCTGGGAGCCAGCGGCCCCAGCCAGACAACCACAAAGCCTCCGTCATATTACTACTTCCTCCAAAATAAACAGGCCTGGACGAGAGGAGCAGGTCATTTCAGCCTTTTTCTCTTAACCTGCCTCCCTCTCTTCTCTCTTCTCTCTTTCAATATCCTGACAAGTGGTCTGCTCTCAGCTCACCCTGACTGCACACTCCTCCCTCTTGTTTTTTGGAAACATCCACTTTCATATTTTTCAATAACTGCAGAATCCTATTTTTGTGTCCCGAGTCTCTCTCCCTCTCTGTCTCTGTCTTTCTCCTCTCTAACTTCCTTTTTAAAGAACCGGCCTGTCTTCTTTACATCACCGCCATAAACAGACCCGCTTTTTTTTTGTCTCTGCATGTCTCATCAACACCTCGGTGAATCCTGTCAAAAAACACCACATATCTCTGACATATAATTAGTCATGGAAAATATAAGTCAATCACAGCCGGATTAGGGAATAACAAACAGATACGCTTGCGCCAGTTCTCATTCTGGCAGTGTCTCTTCTAGATGTGAAGTTGGACTTGTATTGGTAAGAATCAGGAGACTACGCTTGGCTTAATTCACAGCTATTGATTTGGTAATTATTTCATAAGCTGGTATGTCCAAATACTCACAGGCCCAGAAAAGCTCATATCACAGGCGACCAGGCGGCCTGGGGTGTGTTGCTGTCAGGTTTGCCAGTGTGAGCAGACCGAGGCGGTGGGCTCTGCTTAAGACAGAGTATTGGACAAACACAAACAAACGAGGCAGCGGCCACTGTGACTCAGTGCTCTAATGAACCAGCGTATTGACTTGCTGGCTTTCTCTTTCTCCCTGCCTCCATGTCTCTCTCTCTCTCTCTCTCCTTCTTACGCACACATACACATTCAGCCTCTCTCTCCCTCTCTCTCTCTCTCTCTCTCTCTCTGTCTGCCGTGTTTGTATGGATCCCAGCTGCCACTCGGAATACCAATTACTGTAGGCCCAGGAGTGGGGGAAGGAAAAGAGGAAAGAGGGAGAGGAAAAGAGGGATGGAGGGGAAGCACTGAGAAAGAAGGAAGAAAAGAAGAAAGTTGGTAAAGAAAGAGGAGAAGCAGATGAGAGAGGTAGGGGACGGAAAGGAAGGGCTTGACCGAGTAGAGTCGAGAGTGATGGTGAGGAGGAGGAGGAGGAAGAGGAGGGAGGTGTTGGGCTGGAGGGAAGGGGGGTCTTCATCCCTGATGTGGTGGCACCTTGCACGGAGGGAAAATCAAAAAGTGTCTCTGTGTGAGACACTTACATCCCTGATGCTGTGACACTCTTGCAGCTGACACACAAGGAGGGAAAATCAAAGGGGACCTTTTTGTGGTCTGCCACAAATAGGTGCACACACACCCTCCCCTCCCCCCTGCACAGGGAGGAAAGGAGGCTGCTGAGCTGAGAGTCTCAAATGCAAAAGTAATGTTTTTCCAGTAAATTCCTCAGACAGAATTCGACACTGTGTCTCTTACTACAAGATATTTGTGTTCGATGAAGGGGATTTGGACGGAGGAGGGCGTCTGGTTCTAGTGACACTCTTTTTCTGTCTCTTCCTTTTCTCTTCTTTTCTCCAGCCACCGCAACAATTCTCATGACAACCATAATGAGCATGCTCACATTCTGCACGATACCACTAATTTGAGAAATTTCCAGCACAAAGACATAATTAGACAAACTAATTAGACGAAGACTTCGCTGCACAGAGATCCTCCGCAGTTCAACTCATCCGCCTACCTGCCGATGACTAAAATAGGAAGCAGCCGTCAAGCCCATCCAAGCTTATTCCCCTCAGTTAGTGCGCTGAGACGTTTGTGAGATGGCGCACAAGGGAGAATAACATGATCCCTCCTGAGGGCTGCAGCCGCTCCTCAGCAGCAGTACAGCAGAGTCTTTGTTGTGGCTTTAGTGTCACACAGGGCTAACAGGTCTTACCCAGCCACAGATTGTCTTCCTATTTATACCCAAGGCAGAGACATTGTCTAGATACTGCAAGAAAAAAAAAAGCTGGTAGAGAACAATCTGTGCAGACCAAGAGCTATACCTAAGACGTATTAATGAATCTAAGAGAGCTCTCAAATGTACCAGGAACACTTAAAATACTGAGAGTTTGGGATGAGGTGTTGGTGTTGAGCTATAGGTGAAGTGGTGGGTTTCCTAATGAAGAATATGAAGAGAGTACTCAGAAAGAATCTGAGGGGAGGGAGGCAGAAAGGTAATTGATTTTAAAAGTGATGGGAAAACCCACAGGTCTCAGGAGGGAGCAGCAGAACCGTCTCGACGGATACAGAAAACCCCAGCTGCCACTGAGAATAATGGAATTAATTCTTGCTCTGGTTTAAATACATTTTATAATGGGGGCTTAAATTAACATTTCCTAAAGCCCCCAGAGATGGAGTCAAAGTGTAAATTGTAACAAAATGTTTTACTTTTCTCTCGACAATGGAGCCTTTGTCCTGTGAATATGTGTTCCTCGTAGGCACACTGTGCTATCCAAATAACAGAGTTGGCTCGTTATCATTTTTGTGCAGAATAAGATGAAAAAAAAACACAATAATTGTGTTATTGTATGAATGCAGAACTGCTGGTGCACTAACAAAAACAAACATCCACATGAAAAAAAAAAATACTCAGGGGCACATACAGAGCACATACTCATTCATATTTTTAGCTGGCACCCTGGCATCGCCTTTACTCCTGTCTCCACAGTTGTACATGGGTTTGTAAGAGAATAAGGGCAAGAGAAGGACGGAGGTTTCTTGTTGCTAATTTTCTGTCAGGTTGCAGAGTCCAGGTGGACTCCATGCACCTGGGGATTAACAGTCAGCACAGAGGGCCTCTGTAAGCACTGGCTGCCCCTGAAACAGATAATTTATACACACACAGCATCACACACAAACACTATATACCTCCCTCTACCTCTCCAGAGGCCTCATCACTGGAGTCCACACACTGCAGCAGTGCACATCTTTGATAGCTAGTGTTAAACCTATTAAAATCATATAGCTGTAAAGTGTGCACACAGGCTCCACACTATAGTTCCCCCATGACAAAGAGTTTCTCTCAATGGAATTATCAGAATAAATAAACCACAAGCCAATCCCAAATAGCACAAAAGGCAGAAAAAAAGAGTGCTGATGCACAAGCATACAGTATATACACACCCCAGAGACAGATCTCAAAGGATCCAGTTATACACAACGTCATTTGAATATAAAAGGGAAATACCTGGTGTTCCTCTACTGCGAGAGTATTTAGCTATCACTGACAGAGCATTTCTGGATCCTGAGAATTACAATGATGCTCACACAGGAAATTGTAGAGATTACTGGACAGCATGAGTAAGAGGCAGCAGATAAATTATCCACTTTTTAAGTGAGCTAATATCAAAGATTATATGTGCATATTTCTCCTTGAAATTGAAAAGGGGAATTATCCTCAAAATGTTTTTCAAAAAGGCTGAATTTGAAATTCTGATCATAGATGTACAAGTTCTGTCCTACAAACCACACAAACTTACTGTTATGTGTAAAGTTATTTGGATTAATCATTCATTAGTTAACAGCTGTTTTTGATCATTCCATCATTTTAATTCATGAGATAACAACTGCAACAATAATGGAACCAATCAGCAGTCACCCCCTATCATTGTATTGCAATGGCAGGTAATATAATAAATGCTGATGTCTCTCATAATTCTGGTGGAGTCAGCAGCCAGCGTTAGTGTGTAGTGTGTAGAAAGGGAAACATTTAGTAGTCAGACTCTAGATTGAAAAACTCCCCTGCTCAACCCTCCCACTGGTGAGGCATATAGTGGCTTTAGAAGACAAGACACTTCAGTGACATTATTCTCCAATTTATCCAAGTTTTTCTCACCAAAAATGTCTATCACTACTAATTCACTCTGTGCCCAGTGTTGCCAGATCCCCTGAGAGAAACAAGCAACCAGCTCTATAAAAACAAGTTCAATAGGGAACCCGCCACATTGTGTAAAACAGGAGCCGCTTGTTAATGGTGAAAATATATACAATTATTATTACATTATGCATAAGCAATGGAAAAATTCTGATAAACACAGTTAACATAAAAACTTTGGATAACATAAGTTCTTTGAATAACTTGAGTAAATAACTTCCTAAGGGTGTCTGCATGTGTTTGTTTGTTTATGATGCACACCCGCTACATGTTGAGAAGAGTAACATTGATACCTGCTGTTATGTCAGTGTCTCCAAACTTGCTAAAAAGTCGCTAGGCGCTTTTGAAAATAAGTTGCGAGGGGGGTCTAAAAAATCTCTAAATCTAACAACATGGTCACTGAATTGGTGACAGTGTTTCTCTGCCACTCTTGGCTCTGGCGTACATGAGCATGATGCACTGTGTGTGAGTGTGTTTGGGGGTGTGCCGAGTACTCGAGCGGGCGCGATTTAGGAAACGGTGGTCTGGAAAGGACAAACTACCTACCATTCTTGCACTTTGCTCTGCTTTCATGGGGAGCTGTGAGATAACCAGGGGGGGTTCATGCAGACAGAAAAGCAAGCTCAAATAAGCAACTACAAGTTAAAAAAAGCCCCCAAAAAATGCAGCCTGCGACTCATGAGTTTTACAAGCAACTTCTGAGAAAAACAAGCCCAAAGAGGCTTATAATAAGCAGACTTGGCAACTACTGTATGTCTGTGCCTTTCATTTTGCTACTCACTAAACCTTGAAACATAGCAGTGCAATATGGCCGCCTTCATGGAGGAGTGCCCACCACCTTTGTATAAAGCTTATTTTAAGATAACAAAAAACACAACAAAAATTTATATTCGGATGATTGTAGACTAATTTGATCTGTTATAATACTTAGAAATATCATGTTTTGTTCACCAAGTCTGTTCTGTGAAATGCCGCTTAATTCTACAAACTGTACCTTTAAACAATTGGCTGCCAAGACTTTCTTGCAAGCTGCCTTTATTCCTACAAAATACACACGGTGACCTCTTGGTATGGCCCATCACATTCCTGTAGTATCGCTGAGTAAGTTTCAGTTCAATGGTAGACATCGAGTCGCACCAAGGCTTCGCTCTAGCTCACTTCTCATGTGATGTACTCACTGTCAGAGCGGTTGTTTGTTGAATGGTGGAAGACCATTTCTGAAGTGTTTAAGGAGAGACTGGTTGGCTTTTGTAATGCAGCATCATGGCAATTTGTCCCTCAAGTTGAAACATTTGCTCTATAAGAGATTGTGCTCTGCACTTACAAACAGAAATCAGTTTAGAGAGATGAATTAATTGTCCTTAGTTTACAGCTGGTAGGAGCTGGGATGTCATTATGATGGCTGGTACTCTGCTTGCTTTTGCTCTCCATATGGACTGTTTTTCTTTGCAGACACCAAAGCCTGTGGAGACGTGTCAGACAACAAACATACAAATGGAAAACAAACATTTTCCAAGCTGGAAATCCAGACCCTGGGTATATCCAAAAGATATTTCAGATTGCTTGTTTTGTCCAAAGCCTCATAAAACTTGACATTTTTGATCCCTGTGACATGTATGCTTGGGGAACGAAAGGAGTCCTTTTTTTGGATTTAGCAATTAAATCTCCTGTTGGGAACTTTAAGACCAAGTGAATTTCGAGAGAGTATTCTCAGCTCATTTTGTCCTCTACAGGCTGTAGTAGAGCCCTTTGATAAAAGAATCTTATACTCCTGACTTTGATGGTCTAATATATAATTTACAATGATTTTTTTCAAGTGACAGTTGTAAAACAGGACTGTTTCCTCAGCTGCTGCGCTTATACCTACCCCCACAAACTGTTTTTTTTTTTTTGTTTTTTTTTACTTTTTAAAAAATGAAAAATATAAATAGTAATTCTTGTCCCTGGTGGTTTTATTTGCTTTTGTGTGTAACAGACAGGCATCAGTGAGAATTTCAGTCTGCTCATAGGAGCTTTAATTGATTAACTTACAATTTCAGCCTTAAATCTATTACAGAGTGCCTGAACAAGAGATGTACTTGAATTAAAAACAGCTCAAATTAAAAAAAATGTTAAGAAATGATGTAAACATGTCAAGGATCTCACCAAGTCTTAAAAAACAGACAGCCAAAGAGTTCAAAGAGGTTCACGTCTAAGCCCGATGACACTTGAGTGGATTTAAAAACTCTTGCCCTCTTTTTTCTCCATCCTTGTTAGCATTGAATCAGCCGAACACAAACTCATTTGACAGTACCAAAATGAAAAAGGGACATACATTCATAAATAAAAAATGCTGTGATTCAAACAAGAACAAATCTTAATACTCTCAAGAACAAAAACTGAAACAAACACGGACAGCCTGGAAATTATTCAGCAAAATCCAGATCTGCTGGATTCCAGCAGTACACAAGATACTACAAAGAATCTCTGAGGCTTTGTGTGACTAAATGATGAATTAGCTCTTTTATCAGCGGCGGCTACGCTGAGGTGCATATTTGACTCCTTCTGGAGAGCGTTTTAGTGGCTCCGCTGTGATATATGCGGGCTGTATTCTGACAGTGCCGCTGAATGATGACTTGGGGAAATGGGTTAGAAGAGCACTGAGAGATAGTGAGTTGAAAAATGTGTATTTGTGCATGACAGAGTTTCAGCATATCAGTGAGTGTTGCTGTCAGGGGGTAAAGCAGGCACCCTGGCCCTTCATGTCTCTTTATGCTACAATTAGCTGCTTCTTTATGACAGCAAAGACTGGGTCAGTGTCATAATGCAAAACAAATGTCTGTCTGTGTGAGGTTGGCAAAACAGGAGTCAAACAGCTGCAGCAAAACTCAGAGCCAGCAGAGTATCTTACCGGGGCGTGAGGCTAACACATAAATAAGCAGGAAAACACACAGCTGTACATCCTACAAGCCAAAGACAGACAGTGCACACTTCATGCACTCATCTGCGACGCATGAGAAATGAGAAGTCCTAATTATTATTTCCATTGTGCCCCACTCCTGTGACAAGGACCACTAGCTGTGAATGATTATAATTATTACCCGTAGTAGAATAGCAGTCATGCTGTTGTATCATCAGCAACATCATGCAACAGATCAGGGTCAAATCCAACTTGAAATTCATGTATGCAATTCAATTCACAATCTTGGGTGCTTAGATATTCAAAAACATTTCTCATTTGACTTCTGCTCAGATGTGTCATGCATGGATTATGCTTTGCCTCGGGCGCTCAGTGGTAAATGGAAGGTAAAGCGCCAATCGTCAGCTGACTGTATCTGACAGGAAGTCTATTGCATCTGCTCAACAGGCTTTTGTCATCCCCACACTCTGCATCAACCGCAACGTGTGATGAAACAGCCATTCCATTCAATTATCACTAATGTTTGATTAGGGCACGAATGGCGCAGTCTCCACAAACAGCAGCACAATTAAAGTGAAATGAATTACAACGAATCATAGGCCCAACACAAGCGATGTAATAGATTTCAAACACTCAACTTGTATGCTTTGAAAAGATTTGCAGCAAAATATAGCCTGTCTGGTATTTGCACATAAATTCACAACATCGTTTAGAGTAGAAAACAAGCCTGTCTTGAATGGCTGGTAATTATGTACAGCAGCAAATAAAGCGTGGTTCCTTTCTGAGGCTCTGCTGCCTTGTTAAGTGGTGAACAGACAAAACAGCATTTAGAAAATGAAAGGTGCAGGGAAACATCCAGGGCACAGCGAGCTTCTCTCCCATTAGAAACCGCTCTGTCTGTCTGTCTCACGGTCGTTTGTTTGTTCCAACTGGCGGTGCTGGAAGGACGCACCCTGAACCCCCACCACCAACAGTAACTATGTCTCTCCCTTTTTTCTGTCCCCTCTCTCCCTCCGTCTGTCCAGTGCTTTTCCTCTAATCTTCCCACCATGTCCAACCCCCCTCTTCTCTGCGGCTCCTCTGCTTTCTCCTCTCTCACAGTATACATCCTTTCCTATGTGTTGCTTCTTTTCTCATCATCCACGTTTTTTTTTTTTTTTCATCTCCCTTCCCTCTTTTTTTTTCCATGCACCATATCAAAGATAAGGCTAATGAAGGTGGCTTTTTATCCCGGCATTCAGGATGCAAACAGCACATACATCCAGCAGAACATGGATACACAGCTTCAAGAGGGATAAAAATAAAGTTCAAATTCGACAAGAGAGGATGAATCTATTAAGGTTATTATATAACAAAAAAAGCAGAGATGTTATTGTCACTGTGTGTGCCATTACAAAAGGAACAATGCATGGGAGCACACTGTGTGAAACCAATTAAAATCCAGCCCCGTCATATAGCTTCCTCCCTCCCGAGTCATGTTGTGAATATGTCGCTTTCACACCATTCATGTCAGTGCACCTGTGTCCACTGCACTAAATCCCCTCCTCTTCATGGCGTCTCCTTCTCATATTTCCCTGTGTCAAAATTGCGCTATCTGCTCCGCAAGTCCCATGAGTTGGAACACAAGGGGGCCCAGGAGAGTGCAAGCGAAAGAGGAACAGGGGAAATTTCACATTATCTATCCATCTGTAATAATACGTGGGGTTCTGTATAATGGGTCTGATGTGGAAGCAGGAAATGAGCTATGAAACGTCAAGCCCAGATGCTCACAGTCCCAGTGGCCACCACCAGCCTACACGTTGTCAAGTAGACAACGCAGAAAAGTAGTTTAACAGAGCCTGGTTTAATTGGACTTTTATTTGTAAATGACAGAAATCCTGATGCATTACTTTAATTATCCTGGCAGAACTAATTCATGAACACCGGACAAGGCAATCAAACAGCATCCAAGAGCTTTCCTCTTTTTTGGGGGGACCTCAATCCTTGTCCACAGGAATCTCTCTGATAGGACTTGTAAGGCATGTGATGGTTTCAGTGTGCTTTATCCAGCCGACTGAAATGAATGAAGCTAGAGAAAAAAGGGAAGTGGAGGCTGTTTTTTTTTTTCCTCTAAAAGTGCTGAGGCCCACCCAGGTCCTGTGTGTGTGAGCATGTCCATGTCTGCCAAGCCCTCACAGTGCAGAGAAGCCTTCCTCAGTTTGGAGGGGAAAGGGGGGGAGAGGTGGGGGAGAGGTACAGCTACCCCTGCAGAGCACTGGTCCAAGACAACCTCTGCTCACATTTACACCCTGCTCAATCACATCTAAACTCCTCTGTCAATGCTTAACCAGCAGCCAATCAAAACAGAGATCCCTAATGTCTTCCTGATCACGCTGTTATCAAAGCTTTACATGACTGCACTGTAACAGTTTTGCCTCAGCACTTCATGCCTCGTACTGACACACATTTGCTAAAAACGGGCCATTCTTTAAAGTAGATTAGCACAGTTTGCCTGTCAGCTACAGATGTAATTTTTGCCTCACTCAGCCACTTCGTGTTTCCGTGTGCAAGAGAATGTGTTTGTTTACGTGCGAGTGCATGAGTATGCCAGTAGCCTGTGACTACAAATGTGAGTGTGTGTATATGTGTGTCTCCTCCTGAAACAGCTCCAGTTGGAAGGGGGGCGGGGGGTGGGGGGGTGAATAGAGCAAGCAGCAAAGAGCTCAACAGCGCCTCAGTCCCTCAGGACACGCTGCAGCTCTCTGCTCGCGGCCATGAAAAGCAATCAGAGCCCAGCCTTCTCCCCTGGACTTACCTCTGTCTTTAATTACAGAACTCAGCAGCACAAGCAGCACAGAGAACGAGTGCCTCTGCTGGGCCACAGCCAGCATGTCACAGACCAAAACGCAGGGGCTTGGGTTGACGCAGCGGGCCTCTGCATACAGTGACCTGACATTAAATCTACAGACGGTCCTGATGGGCTCAGCATGCTTCTGCAAAGACTGGGACAGAGCCAAGGTGTTCCCATAATGTAGTGATACAATGTGCAGGGGAAACTGCAGACATAAAAATCACAGCAGGGCTCTGTATAGGCAGGGAAAGCCCTGTCTATGCGCTTAATGAGGTGTTGTAACCTTTTTATGGAAGCCAGAACTTGCAGTACATGCTCGAACCTTTCAACCACAAAAAAGTCAATCATATGAGCAAACATCTGTGTTACAGAAGGTTCCTCATCCTTCTTTATTCTGCCTTAAAGAGATTAGAAAACCAAGTCTGAATAAAAACTGGATTCTGGATTTGCGAATAACCGCTCCACATGGTTAAAAAATGGGCAATTGATGAGGATCAGTACATTCTGTATAACCGAAACGCTTTCCCACTGTACAGACATGGTTGTAGTAGAGGCCCAACACATGTGCCTAAGGCTGAAGCAGAAGAGAAGCCACAGAGCACACATGGGCAGGGGAAGATAAGAGGCTATGTACACAAGCTGCTGGTTTTTATTGCAGCAACGCTCGGATAGCATTTTAAACCCATTTCCAGAAAAACCTTCCAGCGTTGTCCTTGCTACAGTGGAGCTGAGCCATGGTGTTGAAATGTGTCTTTGGGCTCAATTTCTCACCAGATTTCAAGTGAACAGAGAATGGCACATACGCTGCAATGTTGTATGTCAAAGTATAAGAGGACGACAAACCACAGTGGGACATCACAGAATGAAGACAATGTTCAAGATAACAGCACCTGTTGGTTTTGACAGCTATCATATCAAAACAAGGATAGGGCAAGAAGGCTCCTTCTACACGTCACATGGCCTCAGACCCTTTGGTGTGACAGCACACATGGTAACGCATGATAATGACTCCCCCATCAACATGTCAACTCAATTTGGTTGTCTTATGGACTCTCTTTGACTCAATCAATGCATGGCCTTCCATCTGGTTTACACTGCTGTCTTCACATTAGAGGGCAGAGACAGGCATTTTACTAACAGCTTTCAATGACTTTCACATTACACTCTGTTTTTCATGCAACCATCCAACAAGAACCAAAAATGCAGGCCGCACACTCCAATGAGTTTCAAACTACATGTTGTTTTAAAGCAAATCTTCCAATAGGGACACAAATGCAGACTAAGTTTTCAAAAATATGCCAAAAGTAACTTGTCCCAGAGTGTGTCAGCACGTTTTGTTCCACACAAATGCAGACTGGACAAAGGTTTACGACAAATTGTCTTCCTTTCCCTCATGAATCTCACATAGAATGTAATTTTCTTGGCAAATGATTAAACAGGAACCAAAATGCAGACTGAAAGTTTCTGTGTTTAAGCAAATGAACAGACAGGGACCCAAATTCAGGCACAAAGTTCTGGAAGGTTCACGCTTTCTTATTTCAGCAAATCTTCAAACACGGACATAAATGCAGACTTCAAAGTCCACTACAACTATCTACAAGAGGTTCGGGATGATTTGGGGTTTTGAGGAAACTATCAAACATAGACAAAACTTCAGGTTCCCAAAGACACCATAATAATTTCAATTTACATTTTCAAGCATGTACTCAAATTCAAACTCAAACAGCACAAAACAAAGCTATACATAAATGGACAAAGTCATCTCAGGGAGACAATGTCTGTATGCTGAGAACATTAATAGTGACACCAGTTTCATATTTTGAAAACCCCATTTTACAAGCTTTCCAATAAACACCAGCCAAGGAAATCCCCTGCTCATTTAAATTAAATCCAATTAAACCCATCCAAAAACAAAGTTAACAACTGATCCTAACACCTCCACAGCATCAGAGCACAGAGGCTGACATTATTAGGGGCTGCAGCTCATTATTCTCCAGCATACAGGGCTTGTCTGGCTCGCATTGTGGCTGCCTGGGACATCCAGTAAACATCTGTCATGATGAGGCATCCTTTAAAGAGAGCACAGACACAGTAAGCTACTGATCTAGTGACCGGACAGTGCAGGCATTCATAAATGGCTCTCTGCACCTGTGCGTGCTTTACTATCTTGATGTTTAGGCCAATTTGGATACATCTGTGCTTATTTCTGAATCATTTATTCACTATCACATTGGAGGGGCCTAGCTGTATGATGATATGTTATCCCACTGGGTTTCTATAGCCCATTCATAAATTATTCAATAGTTTGGACTATGGATTATCCTTCTTTTATTCATTTCATATTCATTTTTGGGGCAGCACTGCTCGGGATGCACATAACGTTGATTCAAAATGACGTCCACACACACAGGCCACTGTTTGCCTTCCCAAACATAAAAACAGTGCCTCAATATGAACAACCACACGTGGCATCTGTGTTCGGGTTTAATTGGGGAGCCTAAAGCGAAAAAGTCACCGCCTGTGCTGTAAAGAAGTAGGGGTATTTTTCGCAGGGAACGGGTAATCGATGAAGCAGAGACGAATGAATGTAGGCTACGACAGCTGTCCCGAGGAGGCAGGGCAGCTACTACACCGCATGCTGTAACGTGTTCTCCCTTTGAATAAAAATGTCCGATCAGATCAAATCAAAGCGAAGCGCCACTATCGATAAATCAGTGTGTGTTGAAATGAAGCTGTCATGTGCATACCCAAAAAAGAGCTCGCTCCTTGTATTCTCGCACACACACACGGCACACTGAGGAGCAGCAGCTGCAGCATAATAACGTTTTCACTGCCTACCTCCGGAGCGTCTGCGCCCAAACTGCGTTTTTCCCCCGCCGCAATGGGATCCTCCTCAGCCGCTTCGGACAGTATCAGAGCTGCGTCTTTCCCCCGAAATGCAAACACTTCCCCAGCATGTCCCCCCCACCCTCCCTCCCTCCTCTCCCCGCCGCCACCACCACCACCACCAGCAGCAGCAGCAGCAGCAGCCCGGGCCTCCAGTGATAGCAGGTGGACGCGCCTCTCAATGATGGAGACAGCGCGACTCTCCTCTCCCCCGCCGCTCCATTTTCAATTACGGAAGAATTCGTATTCCAGGAAACGCGCTATCGGGCAGCCAGCATGTCCTAATATCGCCTCTTTTCTCGGGACAAACAGGGGCCGTCGCCTCTCAAACTCCCGATCCGCGGCGCCTCCTCGCCTCTTATCTACCTTTTACGAGATGCTTGATGTTACCATTGTCACGGCGTATTTTTTTTTCTTCCGTTTTTTTTGCAGCTGGACCTCTCCCCCTCCTTGCGACGCGCAGTCTCGTAGGCGCGCACTTTGCCTGCTCCCCCTCCGATTCTTCTCGGTCCGACCTATGAGCGCGCGCAGCCAGCCGACGCAAGGCCACGCACTGCTTTGACGGACGCGCTGAGCAAATCAGGTAGCCCACTCCAAATAGGACTGTATCATAACAGGGCAACTGCAATGACATGAATAATGAATACGCTACCCATGTATGCCTGTGCTGGATGATAGGCCCACTCACAACACTCAGCGGACTGCAAGCAGTGTTTAGACTGACTTAAGGGGTCTCTCTCTCTCTCTCTCTCTCTCTCTCTCTCTCTCTCTCTCTCTCTCTCTCTCTCTCGTTCTCAAACATTATGTTCTCATTCGATCGTCAAACTGTCAAAAAAACACAGCAATTTTTATGAGATAGTGAAAGCTAAACCGCATTGAAAAGCAGATTTAAAACTCAAACACAAAAAATGATTCCAGTGATATGTAGGGGAGAGTGGGGTAAGATGAGCCATTTTTCATATTTCTGATCACTACATCAAGGCAATCATAGTTTGTCTCTAACTAGTGTATCTGCATATATTTCAAGATGTTGTGCATCCCTGCAAACCAACAGAATGAGTGTAAACATAACTTACCCTGTGTATGGGGTAAGTTGACCATATGAGCGGGTTAAGTTGAGCCGTATCCCTACTACCCCCCTACTCTCCACCCCAGCCCTCCCTCACCTTCTCTCTCCCTAAATAAAAGTCACTTCTTCACATTCACGTGTATTTTTATCTGTTATACACTATTCAACTGGTGCATATAACTCTAAAAAACTGTTTTGTAAAAAGCCATTTTAACATAAGAATGTCTTTAAGTGATTCAGAACATTCACAGCTGTATTTTTGAAAAGAAAAAGTAACATTTCAACAATCTGAACTGAAACTCTGATCCTCTCATTATACTTCTTTACTTTCTCAGTTGAGCCACTGGTTCAACTTACCCCAGAACTACTATTGTAACTTTGGCTGTATCTGAAATGAATCACTCAATCCCTAACCCCTAACCCCCATATGGGATTTCACTATATAGTTGACTATGTAGTGAACTTGATCACCTGAGGTTTTGGACACTACATGGCAAGACGCAATGCATGACAGGATGCCCACCACCGATGAGTGACCATCGGATGGTCACTACATTTTGCAATACTATAGATTTTGAGTCGCTTATATAGGGCACTGGAATTGATCACTGAGGTTTCAGACACCCCTCAAAATGGCACTAACCCCCATGTAGTCACCTATATAGGGGTTAGGGATCCATTTCAAACACAGCCAAAATTAGTCTTCTAAGCTAAAATGGTGGACTTTTATGCTAGGTTTTTGACCTCATTTTGTTGCTCATAGTTATACAATTGATGTATAAAACGAATTTAAAATGATCTTTTTTGGTCTGAACTCAATTCTAATAAAACTTATGACAGACTTAATTCACTTTCAAGAGTGAAAAATGTTTTTGCTGCCCTTGTGAGGCACTGTGTTTCTCAGATTTGAAATGTCTCCAATAAACTATTATTATTCTTATTATTATTGTTGCTGTTGTGGTTGTTGCTGTTGTGTTTCTTTGTTGTATCTCAGGATTTATCTCAGCGTCTGCCTCTGAATCCTGACATGTTCATGCCCTTCAGTCCCTGATATTACTGAAGTGAAAGTCTGAGTCTAATTTTAATACATGTGGGTAAAAAAAGAACAAAGAACAATGTATTCAAAGTAAAAGGTTGACCTCCTGTCTTGTGAATACATGATTAAGCAGTAATGGTCTCCAATAAAATGAAACAGAAATTGTCCTTCTGCTGCAGCACGGTCACACATATCATTACTGCTATCACATGGGAAGATGGATCTGTATAACTTGTCATTGAGCTACTTCTCTCAGGTTAATGCACAAACACACACACACACACACACAATGACTGTATATTACCTCTTTAATAGATGTCAAGCGTTTAATGTGTGTGCTTTGTTTTGACTTTTCTCTTTAAAAAAAGACCCATGCTAATGAACTGAACATGGACTCCATAGCAACACGAATTTTATCCATGTTTCTGAAAACATCTTTTTCACTGCTGTCACCATTACTGATCTTTAAGACACAAATTGACTACACCTTCTCTTAAAAGCAAGTCAATACAAAAAAATGAAACACATGGTTGAGGTGAACATTTTCATTCTTCTGTAATTACACAGTTTCTTCATGACTTCATGACGGGTAATTTCTCCAGCAGTACGACAAATATAATATGAAATAATGATCAGCTATGTTCATGAATGGGGGGAGGGGTGCACAATGTTATCATAAAGGCGTGTTATGGTAGATGTACTGTATATCAGCTTATTATATCCCCTCTTAGCGAAAGGAAAGTTAGATCTTTGCCGTTTTTCTACAATTGTGCCACAACGCAGACTTTACCCTCATGAATAAATATGACAATGAAGCAAAAACTCTCGTAAATCTCAGCAAAATCAAGTTAAATGAGCAAAAAAGTCACAGAACAAGAATTTCTAAACTCTGTACGGTAATAATGTAACTATTACTGAGGGAACTTTCTCATCCGGTTGGTGCAAATTAATTCACATGCATTTTAACTGATTCCCTCAAAAATGTGTTCAAGGAAATAATTCATTGGAAAACATAGTAAGTGTTCATGCAAAATCAATAACCCACAATTTCTCTTACCCACACAAACCATTTTTGAATTCTCCAAAACAATCTTACAGACTATAGCGGTTTGAAACATATTCATGTCATTTCCTTTTCCTGTTGTGTTCTGCGTGGTGTAATTTTCTGTTACAGTGTTTTGTGTTGTTGCTTGTGTGAGCTCTCAAATTACTGAAGTCAATCATTGTACACATAAAAATATAAAGGGCCACAGTGTATTTCTGTATTTTAGAGACACAGAATCACTAACAAACTCTCAGTATATCATCCACACAGCTGTTGGTCACAGCTGCAGGCTTTGCAGGTCTAAAATCTATTTTTAAAGACTTGAGTTCATGGTTATCTTTTTTGTATTTTTCTCTCTTAGTTTAAGTTGTTTGAGTTACAAGACATTTGTCTTTCCCTGTTCTGGTGTCGATGAGCTTCAATATTATTCTGCCGTGACTGTTTTTCTCTTTTCTGACAGGTAAACAGAGAGGCTGAAGATAACTCTCTCTGGTTAGCTACTCAGTTGAATTCTATTCAGTGATCAAACTCCAGAAAAAAATAGGCCTGTCCAGATGGATGGATGAGCAATGAAGTCAAGTCCTAGTTTGACATTCAGAAACTGGTGAAAACATTTAAATTCTTGAGTAACTGCCTGTTGATTTATTCAAATTGTAACCTTGTCTTCCTATTTTACTCATTTTTCTCCAAATTAATGTTCCTTCACTTTGGGAAACTTAATCTTCTTGTAACAAGCATGCCAAGTCAGTCAGTATATGCTCCTGGTGGTTTGGACAGGCTCATTTTTTAGTGCAAGTCCTTACCTTGAAACTTAGACCTCCGAAAAGAAAAGGCTGTAGAGGTTTAAGGGCTGAGTGTACATGATGAAATGTCAGGCTGATGTTCACCAGGTTTGACAGTCAGTGAGGGAACTCCAATAAGATTATGCCAGCTGTAGCTGGCATGCATGCATTTTTATGAGAAGCGTCATTGTGTCTGACCAAACAGAGTCACATTGAGATGTAGTGATCTGGAAATGTCTGCACAGGTTCACATGTGGGTCCATCTGAAAGACAGGGCACAGTTACAACCCCTTTATCCTCAGGGCCTTACTCTCAGATATCTGATCCAGGTTTATAGAGTTGTCTGTGTTTTGCAGTACTGCATTTAAAAGGTTGATGATAAACTGGTTTAAAGGTGTTCTTTTGAATCAGTAGTTAAGATGATATCATTCAGGCCCAGACCCCCAAGTGGTTTTATGATAAATGGAACAACTCCTGTGAGACTCTTTGACAGCAGCTACATTCATTTTACTGTGACACAAAGATGTTTTTGATTTACAGCGAACAGAGTTACATAGAAAAAGTCTTCCAATTCAGTAGCTACTCAATGGGATTAACCTTTGACATGCAATTATAACCCCAGCTCTGGAAATTTGCACTTGCTGTACAAAATCAGTGGATAACACAATATAGAGACCGTAGATGAGTCTAGATTTTCCCTTTGGATAGACATACATAACAGATGAAAGAAAGCAATGTTATTCTGTCAAGGTCACCCTTTAAAGATGGTGGCAAAGCCCTAACGTCTGAAGAATGACTGTATAGATACCTGAACAAGACCGTCTCTACTTATGAGAGTTAACAAAACATGGAAATTTGAGGAATACGAAGAAGTTTAGTCAACAGAGAGCTCCCTGTGCACATCACAACTGTGTTGCCTGAACCTTCCAGCCTCTGCTAAGACATTGCATCATACTGCAGAGATGCAACAACCGCGGTATCCATGTTTATGGACTTTAAAAGGATAGGCTGTGAGTGTCTGTGTGATTGGCCATGTGTGTGTTGCGCACACGTGTGAATATTCATCCATGTTTTGACCAGGAGCATTGATAGAGTACACAGGGATTACGCACATAAATTTGCACTCCCACACAAAACTGTGGAAATAACTACATCTCCTCTGAGGCAGAGATGCATATTTATCAAGGCGTAGACGCCCTTGGCCACACACTCCTTTTATTGTAGTGAGATGGGAGTAAGCTGACTGTCTGGTGCAGAGGGATTGCCCCAAAGCCTCAGCCTGCTTCCCTTATAATCATTACGAGAAAGAGGGTGGTGGACTCCAGCAACAGGCCACAGAGGGGTCAGCTGGGATTTGACATGTGTGTGCCAAAACCCTCACATCACCTGTATATCTTAACAGGTTTCATGCCAGTGTGGACGTGGCTCTTTAGGCGTGTTTAGAGGCTTAAAATATCAAATTCATCACTGAGTCACCATGCATGATAGTATAAGAAAGCCTTAAGTCATTACCCTGCACCTATTTCAAGCTGAGAGGTTTTGATGCATTTTTTTTCCTGATGATTCATTATTTTTACCACCTTGTAATGAGTCAGCAACTACGGAGCAAAAAAAATGTGAAAACTGGGGTGAAATAAAGGCAAGTTTTATAACATATTTAACAGCCAGTTAGCCACTCAGCCGCTAAACTGGTATTACCATTAGCTAGAAAAGAACTGGCTGGAGGCTAGAGTCATTTGTTAAATACAACAAAAACAGTGAACTGAGCAAACATTAGCTCTCGTCGAAGCTTAATGGATCATCAAATATCACATTCTCTTATGAAACTCTGCCCTATTAGACTCCATATGTCACTATAAATCTCAGTTATTAAGAAGCCTTGAAATATTTGCAGTTGTCAAAAATTCAAAATCTACATGACTTACAACTTGAAACACAGCCATGCTTCATCGTAGCTTTTCCACCCTGGTTGACTAAAAGGGAACTGCAGAATGAATATGGTGAATAAAGACTTATCACCATATCTGCATGTTTCTTTGAAAATGTCTCCTCCAGTAGAAGGTCGTAGTTTGTATCGGGGGACCGAGTCTCCTGCTGGGGTCCATATTACCGGCATTATTAAAGACCTTTGTGTGCCTGTCCTCTTTGCGCCTGCACAACTCTGCACGGTTAACAAGGAGATGGCTACCTCATTACCTCCTTGAGATATGCACTGATCACATGCACGCCATGCAGAACAATTACAGGTTATTGAACGATAGATTTTTCAGTGCGCTTGTTGTTTTTAAAATATAAATAGCCAGAGAAATAAATGACTCTCCTTGTGTGTGTCTTTCTGAGATTGTTCAGTGACTTCAATGCTTGAATATTCTGTCCTTGAATATATGAAAGATGTGCAGAGCTTTGCTTCTGCAAAGAGGAGAAGCAGGAAAATATCAGTTCTGTATGAGAGGCTCTTTCACAGAACTCTTGCAAATCATGATGAATTATGTTCACTGAATAATTAGCGAATAACCTGTTAAGGGCAGCAGCTGAAGGTTGTTGGGAGTTGCTAATGAATAGTCTCATAATCTCTTCCTAGGTTAGATTAGAAGAACGCCATTACCATCATCTCATCTGCCTTGACATCTGACGCATGAAAGGAGAGCCATCCAACCAGTAATCATCCACTGGCTTTCCTTTTAAGCAGAGCTCTATCAAAGTCTACTTTCATCTGTAAAGTGTGATTTCCTCAGGAGGTGTCGAGGGTGGGGGGTTCACTGTGCAGCACAGCCTGGTCTGTCACGCTATTTGAGTGTTTTTGTTATTTGTCGGTTTCATTTATAATCCCACCAAAGCCTTCCCAGAAAGTGTCCTCTAATGTCCTGGGTCCCAGTGGAGGATCGAGGGGACTGCAGGGGTCCCTGAAGTGGATCCACAGTCATTTGTCCTCCAGGCAAATGACCACAATTAAAATGTGTAAAGAATGGAGATGACCAATAATCTAATATACACACACCATGCATTGCTTTTTTGATATGCACCTAACATAAGAGGGTTCAAGAGACACATTTGTAGGTACTGGTTATATTAATTATCTAAGATTCTTCGTCTTGTAAGAGAATTACATTATGCAATTTTGACTTTTGCGAAAAAAAAAAATGACTCCATGTTGTTTTGAAATGACATGCATTGTATCATGAAAATTGTAGAGACACACCTGTGGATGTTTTTCTTGTTTTGTTTAATGTAGAGCATTGAATTACTGAAATATTAAAATCTTGTATGCAGAAATGACCTAAAATCCTACATATATATATCGAACAACAATGCGTGCTCTGGAGAGTTTCCATGGTATCTATGGCATATTGACGAACCATCACACTCAAACCTACTCAGAACAACAGAGACCTTGTTATTTAGACAAAGTTCAACATTTATTCCTGTCTGCAGTGTACACACTCATCAAATGTACTCCAGAATATTTAGACAGGTTTACACTGTGTGTTAGTACGAGACACATTATCTTAGTATGGATATAATTACACACCAAGGTTCCTAACAAATGTATCACAGCCAAATCAGCCCTCAGAAAATGAGGATAACATGTGCTTTTTAAATATTAACATATGCACTTTAGGGGCCTCTAGGAAAAAAGTCTTTGTATTCAGATCATACAATCCAAAAAGCCGTCTTGGCATTTTTAAAAATCTATGAATACGTGTTTCAGTAGAGGATGTCTGTCAACCAAGGCTAAATGATATGACTGTAAAATGTTCCCAGAAGAGGCTTTCAAGTTGTTGCTTTGCAATGTGGCTCCAAGTGTGGTGAAAATCATTCATGATTTATTAGAGGTGCTTCTTGTCATTCTCAGAGTGTGATATTTATATCAGTGTGACTGTGACATACTGCTTATTCACTGGGGAGCTGTTCTGTGTGTTCATGAGTCTAAACATCCACACTCCGTCGTGATTCATCAAGAAGACTTGAGTATCTGCCAAATTTGGTATTTTTAGAACATGCATTGAGAACAGACACAGGCAATGTGCTTTACCACTGAATTTTATGGAAGTCTTTATAAAATATGTTTCTTCTTATAATACAGAAAAACAACCCTTATAATTTGGAATAACTGAGCAGCTAATGGCAGAATAAACGGTGATATGTGCCTATCCTTAATGTAAAAAAGAAAAGCGTACTAAATTCAGTTTATTTGAAAATAATTTAAAAAGTTAAATCAATACAAATTTTGGAACAACAAAAAGGCATAATACATTTTTCATTACATGTACTCTCATCTGTTTCCAGTGCAATAGTAGATGTCAATAAACCTGATGTCAAAAATAAGGAGGAGGGAGGGCAGCCATGTTGACTAACAGATGTCTTACGCACATGTATGTGATATACGAGGTCTCTTACGCTTGGCTTCGGCTGAGGCGGCTGGCATACAAGCTCCATCTCTGGACAGCCGCCAGTGCTAAACACACTTGCTCCCCGTTCTGCTCCTCCTCCTTTACTTTGGCTAGCAGTGGCCTTTATTCATATGAAGTAGGAGGAGAGGTAGTCACGTGGGATGGGGCTTGGCTCAAGTGGGCGTGGGTAGAGGGGATGTACCCATACACCGCTCTCCTCCCCGATTTCTGCACAGACTCCAGCGGATTCCAGCGTAGGCCATCTGTGAGGGATGGCGAGGCATGGAGGTGACAGCTCCTCTCAACAGGAGCAGTTACCACAGCCCTTTACGCTGTTGAGGATCTCCTCTTGCAGTTTTTTCCTCTCTTCCTCCTTCTGAGAAAGGCGCTCCACTGGTGGATCGGGTGAGCCCTTGCTGCTGTTGAGGATTTTGCTGTTCTGGGTGTTCCACAGATCTGCATACAGGCTGCCCGGACTGCCAAGGAGGGTCTGGTGGTTACCTCGCTCTGCCACTTTACCCTGGCAGGTAAAAAGAGCAAGAATCAAGACAAGAAAACTTAAAAAAAAAAGAGGCAGTATTTTGCATTCGAAGAGAACAAAGAGGCCATGCATGAGAGTCCTACTGTTAGCATCTATTCATGACCACACAACATTGGCCACACTCTCTGTGGAGAGTCAGCTCCCCCCTAGAATCCTTGCCGCCTCCCCAACAACTGTTGCAATTTCTCTCGCAAAAACATGGACTCGTAGAAACACAAGCGCGGCTACACACCACAAATACACATCCCTCCCACACATTCAAACACAAACGAATGCACCCCCCCTTCCCCCACCTCCCATGAGCATGCAGAGGTGTTGGCATCATCTTTAGTGCACCCAAGATGAGCATGTGACTCGCTTCCGCTCGTTATTTTAATGAGCACCCCAGGCAGTCCTCTGCTGGTGACACCAGCAAACGCCATGGCGACATCACACGCAAACATGCCTCCTCGCCACGACCCTCTGATCCCTGCCATCTGACTCTGGAAACATGGAACCACTCGTGCTCACACGCCGCAGTTCAAAGAAAGCGCTTTGGTGCTTTCCGCTCTGAACGTAGCACTGGTGGAAAATGTCACTTCATGTGTGATATTTTTTCAATTAACTCTTCCTTTCTAAATAATGACAAATTCACTTTGGCTTTTTTTTCACAGAATAGCACCTCACTCTCAAACCTTCACATGCTGTGGCCTTTCAGGCTCCTTGACCTCGGCTTAAACTTGACACATATGATCACAAACTGTATGGATAACCTAATTGAATGGCGATCAGTATTGAGGGACTGAGCACGAGGCCTCATCAGTATCTGGGAAGCGGGCCCATACATTATTAGTCACCGAGACAAACAAGACACGCCATCTGACCAAAACAGCCAGTCGAGTCTGACTGCTTTAATGAGCCCTTATGGAGAAAGTAATACATTCAATTCTACCCACAGTGTCCTGTTGTTGTTGAAGTTAATGAGAAAAGCTAAACAAAGCATGTGTTCATCACGTACATTGTGGAAAGGTAACTCAAAATAAATGAGAAGCAAAAACAGAGGCTAAATCCTTGCTGCTGGCAGACACAGTGTGCTGGAGGTAACACAGAGGTCAGGTCATCATCCCTCCCTTCAATGCAAAACTGTCTAATTGGACTGGCAATTAACACAGCGCCTGATATACACAGACAACTCTGAACTGTAGTGTTATTTGCTTCTTATAAACCTGACATTACAGCGAGAACAGTTCATCAGGAAAGGTGTGAGATCAAGTAAAAAAAATAAAGTGGATGAGTTCTTACTTCATTGAGCACTATAATCTCATCTGCGTCGACAATGGTGGAGAGCCTGTGGGCGATGAACACTGACGTCCTGTCCTTCACCATATCCTTCATTGAACTGAGGATGGTCTGGAAGCAAATAAGGACAAATTATCTAATAACTGTAGCATCCCTGATCCAAGAGAAAATCATCTGCAATAATGAGGGCCAGCAGAAACAATAAGAACTAACGTACATGAATGACAGAAAATATATTTGAAACTTTGATTTGAAGGAGAGGCTAAGTCAAGAAGATGTTGCTCAGCAACACTCCTTCATATGTTTTTCTTTCTTCTGTTTAGATATGATAATTTAAAGAAAGTATCGTGATGAGAAGCAACAGAGAATCTCAATTAAAAAGTACAGCTACTGCCCGTTTTCACCCCCTTAAGTTCAGAGAGGGCATACTGAAGTTTCTCATTAAATGTAACATTTACAAAGACTGGGGGGTTTAGGCTGAGCTGGAGATTAAGTAGGAGAAAACAGTGGCAGGTGGCAGGGGAGAACATGGGGGTGGTGTGTGTGTGTGTGTGTGTGTGTTGAGGGGATGGGAGGGGTGTGTGTATGTCACAGCAGGTATGTGACGCAGGAGTGAGTTGAGTTATTGTGTACCTACAGCAGGTGACTGAGTGGGTGTTTGTTCTGCTAAATGTGGACGCAGGCTGAGGTTTCTATCTGTGGTTCAGCAGAGGAAGGGCATGTTCATGTGTGAGTGTGTGCGTGTTTGAGTTCATGTGCTGTCAGGCCCACCTCTTCTGTGATAGAGTCGAGGGAGGATGTTGCTTCATCATACAGGAGGACGGGTGGATTCTTCAGGATCGCACGGGCGATCGCGACACGTTGCTTCTCACCTCCTGAAACAACACAACTCGTCATTTCTGGAAGCGAAGCGGGCAAAAGCTGAAAGGTTTAAAACATGTGAAGGTGCAGAAGATCTCTTTGGCCTTTATCATAAGGTAATTACTCCAAAGGAAGGACAGCATGCAGACAAAACCATTCCCACAGGGCTTTCACAAGTCACAAAGACTTGTTTGAGGAGAAAAAACAGCTAAATACAAAACATTCTCAGATGTGTCTGACCTGATCCTAATTGCACGTGAACTGTGTTGCCCATTGCAAGCTAGTGTAGATAAGCAGATACAGATATTGCTGGCATTGGAGAAAAGCAATCAAGGAAGTAAGGAGCCTCAAAGCCCAGACTGCACCCCCCCCCTCCACACAAACTCACTGGCAGCTGTCACATGCAGCAGCAGTGAAATTAATGAGAAGTTAGTCATGTCTTTATTTTGTCCGTTCTCTCACTCACTCAGTCACTCCACATAAAGAAATCTGTGCTGCCAGTAATTGCGTCTTGAATTCTGAGTGAAAGTGCTCGCACAGACGCACACTGTGTGTTTATGTGGGCTAAATGAGTTGCAGAGCGATGCTAGGAGCCAAGTACTACACAGTGTTGCGCTATCACTGCACATCAAACAAGGCAACATGCCATTAAACAAGTTTATACATTACATAAAAGGGGAGAGTGACAGAACAATGGTGCGGCTTTAAACCAAGTCCCATAATGAATGTCTTAAAATGAGGTCAAATTTAATAATTAACTTAGGTTTAATTATCTGAGATATTCCTCACAGCATATTGAAGCCCTTTCACACAGCAGACACCACGGTAACTACATGCTTATATCTTGAAAAGCAATTAAATCTCTGTATGGAAGTGTAAGACTGCTGTACTTTAGGCTGTACCAAACCTACAAATAAAAACATTCAAAGACTTTACGCCAGGATCAAACTTCCATGCTGGATTGGGGTTTTCTGAAGGGGACAAAGACTTGTGTATTTGTTGTTTTTAGTAAAACAAATATGACAGTCAGGTGTTTACCATTCAGTTTATCACTATGAAATAAGTTCTGGGATAAGAAACGTACATATGCAAACTAATTTGACCAAACTTCAAAGCAGAACTCCAAAATCAGAGATGATGATTTTGATAATAAATCAGTGGCCTCAGTAGTCACACAAACTGCAGCTCCGTCTCTGATCCCAGGCTCTCAGATGTAAGGATTTAATGCTTTTCTCTTTTCAACTTCAGACTCTCAGCTATTTAAAAGTGGGCTTTACAAAAAAAGCAATGAACATCCTGTCTATATTTCAGCAATGGGACCAACAGACTGATTTTAATTGAACTGACAAAGCAGTTGCTGGTTGCAGCCTTATGCTAAAACATGTTGTTTTACCTATTGTATTGTTCCTGAACTCTGTGTGGTTGAATTAAAGTATAATCAGCCGGTAAATCAACACTTTCATACTTTTAAATGTTTAAGCAGAATAAACCATCAAGACAAACACAAAACACATAGCTCTCTTTTTTATGCTTCTGCAGAAGAGACCACATTTAAACAATAGTCATAATAGTGCTGCAAACCTGACAGCTTGAGGCCCCGTTCCCCAACCTGGGTGTCATAGCCGTGGGGCATCCTGAGGATAGCATCATGGATGCCTGCTAGACGTGCAACTTGGTACACCTCGTCTGGTGTGGCGTTGATGTTCCCGTACTGCAGGTTGTAGAAGATGGTGTTGTGGAAGAGAACGGCATCCTGTCAGCAACAACATATGAAAAGGAGAAGAAAAAAAAAAAGAGGATTAAGAGAATATTTTTATTGCAGCAGAGAAAGAAAGTGAGGACTGCAGATACACAGACAAGGGTAGGAGGGAGAAAGAAAGAAAGCAAATGACAAAAATACTGTTCATGTACCATCTGTTCAGAGAAGCCTCTGAGCTCACTGCAGTAAAATACTGAGTTCAGCTCATTTCCAATACTGCTGTTTACTAGTATTGTTACATTGTTCTTTGCTGCCCCCTTGTTGTACATAATTATCAATAATACTTCATTTACTCCTGAAAAGTCAATTAGACACGACTATTTTATTATCTGTGAAGAGGCTCCAAACAGTAGGATCGATGTGGTGTAAAATTGCTTTTTTATTGTTTGCCTGTGTTTATTTTACTGTGGTTGGTGGGATTCAGACCTGCGGTACGACCCCCAAAGACTTCCTCAGGCTGTCGAGGCTGACGTCTCGGATGTTCTGCCCCGCTATGTAGATGTTCCCCCGCTGGGGCTCATAGAAGCGGAACAACAGCCGCACAATGGTGCTCTTCCTGCAAGCAGACGTGGAACCAATCGTCAGTATCAGTCTGTCTGTGAGCTACACCCCCCACAGGCTGCTGATGATATCTGGTGATAAGACAGTCTGCACATACAAATGAGATGACACACACACTTTTAACAGGTTTAACAGGCAGTGTTATTCTAAGGTTACCTACCCCGACCCGCTGCCGCCAACTATAGCCACCTTCTTCCCAGCAGGCACTTCGAAGGACACTCCATTTAAGACTTTTTGGCCCTCCAGGTACTCAAAATAAACGTCCTCAAAGCGGATGGTAGCCTCCTGTGGTGCGATAGCTAATGGCGGGGCGAGATCCTTTTCCTAGAGAAAAACCATCAGAGGGTTAAAAAACACAGAGCAGCCAGTGGCTGACAAGGCCCGGCATGATGCAATGTTACTCCAACACCTTGTAAAGAGGGATAATGCTGGAGCAGAGAGAAAACATCCATTGCATAAAGCCGAGGCATTCACTGCAAATTCAAGAGGTCGTTTCCATAGACCCCTCTGAGTCTTCACACACCGCCTGCCCTTCGTGGTGACTGTAGGATCAATAAGCGTAAAAAGTTTTGGTACATACTGAACTGAGCCATAGTGCTGAGATGAGCTAAGGTCAGCCGAGAATAAAGCGCTGTCCTTACCCTCCGAGTAAAAGCCTGTTCTGCTCCATTTCTATACAACCTAATAGCAACATAATCACCCTCAATCCACCCCGGCCAATTAATACAAATAACTCACAGTCCATTAGTATAAACAGATGATAATTTCACACACACCCCCCAACATGGAAAAAAGCCAAAATGATTTACTTTTTATTTTGTGGGGCAGTTTTAAGTGAGGGAGGGTTTCAAATTACTTTACATCTGCATAATAGGCCAGTGTGTTCCATATAAAAAAACCACACTGAGACAGTAATGGCCTGCCGGGCAGTGTCATTCCTTAGGGAATCACAATGGAGAGGAGTATTACTGATGAGTGCAAAATAACTGGACGGATTCATTTCTCCTACTGTAATTACAGGCTGCAGAGCAGGGCGGCATTCATATTGTTAGACAGCAGTCGCACATTTGCACTTAAATGTCTGATGCGAGGTGGGCTGTCACAGTGACTTTTTAAAAGAAATAAAAGTTAAATGTAATGAAATGTTTCACAAAAACCTGCAGCTGTGACACTGAAACAACAGAGGACTTGCATGTTCAATATATCAGCTGTCATGGCACCTTTCTTTTTTGAACAACATGGTTCAGTATAGATAAGATTTTTATGGGTAGTCCAGTTTCACATCACTGATATAAAATGCCACCAACCTAAATTTGCGCTGTTCTTAGATGAATAACAAAAAAACCCCTTAGCCTTAGACTGGCTGAATACAAAGCATAAAAGCATGTCACACTGGACCCTTTAAAGAGTAAGCACTAAAAACTAATTTCTTCTTTTTTTGTTGAAAAAAGATTCATTTATTAATGACAAACACATTTTAGATTGATAAATGCTTCAAATAATCATTATTTGCAGCCCAAAGACAAACTAGTCGTTAAATAATGCAGTCATTTCGACAAGAGTCTGTATGCAGAAACACACTTTTAACCCAAAATGAATAAAACGGAATTTTAAAAACCACAATCATTAAATAAAAATGCAAAAACCAAACATTTGGGACCACTTCGCCCTCTCTTCCACAACACTGCTTATTCACTGACTGTTAGGAGAACCAAATGATATGCACCTGTTTTCTCAATCACTGATTGAGCAAATGATCTGCACAAGCAGCACAGCACAAAAAACACTCATATATCATCACAGAAGGGTGATTATAGCCCTGCAAAACAAAAATCTGCACAAATTTGTTGTCTTTTTTCCCTTTAAAAACCTCACCACAAGCCAGGATAAAGACCTAAAATACAGTGAATGTTAATAAAGGAGTGTTATCAATATAGAAGTCTTAAAAAAAATCATGAGAGCTATAGATCATAACTGCTCTGCATATAAAAGGTCTTGGATTAACCACTCACACTTGTGCTGTGACTTAGCCGAGTATCCTGATCCAGATCATGCTAATGCAATAATGTTGTGCTCCTCTAAGTGGCAATAGATGAGGAAGCACCTGAGTCATTTCAAGCACATAATTACTATGTTTGACTTCAACCTATCATTTTTTACAGCACATGCAGACAGGTTAGCGATGTCACTCTGCCATGAATAACTCAGTGCTGGGTTAAAATCTCTCCTCACCTATGCAATTATATACCATGGTAAAAGCCCTTGTAGAGTATCTGTGTTTACTTTTGTGTTCATAATTTATTCTCAACACTGAGTTTACTTCATGGTGTAAAAAAAAAGAGAATACATGGTGAGAAAAAAAATACATTCGCTATTACAACACATAGACGTGAATGTCAGGTTGACAAGTTACCTTGATCTTGGTGTCGACATTTAGCAGGGTGAAAAGAGTGTGCATGTCTATGAGGGCCTGCCTGGTCTCCCTATACACCGTCCCCAGGAAGTTGAGAGGGAGAGAGAGCTGGAAGAGCAGGCCGTTCACCATCACCAGGTCTCCCACGGTCATCGTACCTACACAACAGAGGCGCTTAAGTTAGCTCTATGTGTATCTTTGCGTACAAGAACTAAAAGGAATAACACTCAGACCATTTTCTTCTTTCAAGTTGTGAAAGCAGACAAAGCGCGTTACAGTCTGAATCCATCTCCACCCACTGTGATTTCATTTTCTGCATCATGGCTATTTTATTTTCTATTCATGCCACTTTTTCATGCTTGCTGTGCTTTGTTCTCGTTTACTTTCTATTATTCGGTTCAGTCAGGGTTTTACTTGTCATTTTCATCCGTCCATTTGATTTTATTTTGAGTGCTTTTTTCAAGCTTTCTTATTTCAAAATGCACATTTTTCGCTATTGTGCAGTGGTCACAGATAGTGAGCGTGGAGAGGTAAATTCAGGTCAGTTGATATGTGTGTGTTTAACTTGTAATAGCTGCTTGCGATCAAAGTCCTATGAGGTTCATACGTCTTCAGAGGATTATTTTTACACAAACACAGACACACTCACTTACCTGCAGCGATGCCTTTGCTGGCCAGCAACATGATGCCAGTGAGGCCAACGCTGAAAATGGCACTCTGGCCAAAGTTGAGCATTGCAAGCGTGGACGTGGTTTTTAGAGAGGATGACTCATAGATCTTCAGAAATCCATCATACCTTTCAGCCTCATACTTCTCATTGTTGAAGTACTGCAGGTGTGTTAAAGAAAGGAGGGAAGGAGGGGGTAGAGGGCATGGAGATGGCACAAAAGAATGGAAAGTGTAAGATGAGAGAGGAAATGAAGAAATACAAAATATGGTTAGAGTTAGAGGTTAAGGAAGCATGGAGGTTCAGTGTCAGGTAGATAGACACTTTAGTAGCCTGCCTCCGGGCTGCATTTGTTCTCAGTGACTGCACTGTGCATAGTCCGGGTCTCAGATGGCCTCTAAAGCACTTTTCATGTCTCCGTGTCTGCAGATCCTCCCCACTGATCCTAAAGGACGTGGAGGTTGAAATAACAAAACCCAGGGCCTCCACAGCTTAGGCAAAAAATACTGATAATATTCACAGAACAGTCAACAAAATATGAAGCTTTCATAACTGTTGGGACAGCCTCAACATCCTTCACAAGTTAAACAAGAATTGCTGCAGAGTATTAATTATTGGCACTGTAGTCAGCTTGTGTGTTTACATCTGTAGCAGCTTACACAGACACCTACTAGCAGAGCGCAGATAGCACACAAGTGTTACACAGCACAAGCAGTACTAATTTTGTTAAGGACTTACAGCTATCATTAACAGGAAAAAGCCTCATGATTCAGCCAAAAACACATAAACTACAGCATGGGTACAACAAGACTCCCTCCTCTCTGCTGCCAATCACCTAATATTGCTGTTTGTTTAGTTTGCACTATTGTTCCTCTGCTCTGGTTAAGTGGGCGATTTGCTTCTCTAGCTAACGGCAGTGGTGCTGTGCCACTGCCGACTTGCCACTGATTTGCATATAGGAAAATACAGCAAATCAGACAGAGGGAGAAAAGAAAGTAGCACATGGAGGACAAACAGTAGCAGTGCATGGCACCATGTACAGGTTCTCATCCAGCCCTTTGTGAAAGTGGAACGGATTTCTGAGTGGGCGGAGATCTAATTACATATGCACACTCACAGCTCAGAGTGATGCTAAATCCGGCCGCATTGGCACAGATGACACAAAATAACACAGAACAAAACATTAAGGAAAAACAGGACACAAAAATAATACAGCAGAGAAAATAACATGGGTACAAAAATATATCTGGAGCAGCCGACAAAGCATTTAAAATGAAGGGTGATTAAGCTTGCGTAAGTTCTGTGTACAACAGGGTTACCTAGAAAGAAAGAGGCTTAAAACAGCAAAAGATAAAACACAGGACAATCATGGTAGTGAAAAGACTGGAAGAGATTTTTAAACACCCCACCACATCGGTCGAGCATCTGTAAGATCATACCCACCCATAATAAACTGTATCCTTCAGCAGACATTTCAATCAACATCAAGCATACTTGTTACTGAGATGAAATTCAGATCATTCAACAAACCAAAAGTGTAGTTGTCGTGGTCCAGTTATTAATGTCTCATTGTTTGTAGGGGTTTGAATAAGAATATGAGGAGTGAATTACTTTGCAGTGAAAAGAAGTAAGAGGAGGTCAGAGAGTGAGGGCGATTAACTAACGAGAAAAGGAATGAGATGAGTAACAGAACGATAAAAGTAAAGACAAAGCATACCATGTGTTACTGAGGCTTGATCCTTAAGTAAAACCGCCTTCAATATTCTCTTTTTGGGTTTGTGTGATTTTAGCGTTTTTGTGATAATGGCCTGAATATTTTATGTTTTTGCATGCTAATGAGGAAGGTTGAAGGAGTGTTGTGAAAAAAATCAATCGAGAAGAATCAGAAGATTTAAGAATTTGAACTTTTTTTTTTTTTTTTTTTTTTTACTGATTACAATGTTTAGTCTCAATTTAAATCTGATGGCCTTTAATAAACCCTAACAGTAAACCAGACCATCAGCTATGTATTTTTAGACTTATATGTGAGAGATTTAAATGAAATAACAAGCCTTTCTTTAAGTTTTTGAGTGAGAGTAACGCTTGCTGATACTAAAACTTTAGGATCAACCATTTTCTGAGACTTTGACGATGGATAAACTGAGTGTCACTTCCTATCGTATAAGAACTGTTAAAAAAAAAAAAAAAAACAGCATCTTGATATGAGATTTTCATTATATTGCAATTAGATCAAGATACATAAACCAGTTACATTATATTGATGGCCAGCCCTTCAATGGTCTTAATCAACATCTCAGTCCTTCTGCATGGTTCAGCTAATATAGACATATATGATTTAATTCCTGTCAGTCTGGTTAAGATGTAGTTAAAAATCGAAATTGGTCTTTATCTCTAATGGCTGTGACAATAATCCTTATACAATGTATGAATATCGAAGATCTCAGCAAATACAAAATTACTGCATAAAAGATTCAATCACTGAGTTCCCAGTGGATCTGTGGACTTACGTTGGTATAAAACTGCTCTAAAGCTGCAGTAATCAATTATGTGAGTATCTCGTTATCACATATTGTGCTGATCAGTCTGACAATTTATCAAGTAATCTATAAAGATAATCTAATAATTCATGAAATCTTTTTTTTTTCATTACTGCTGTAAACACACACATTTCTCAGGTTTTGGACTTAAACGGGATTATCTTGTCTTGTCTCATTACGTGGCCTAAATATATAAATAAACAAAGTTCACATTTACTAATCATACAATATCATACCAAATTCATACACACAAATAAAACATCCCTTATAAAAGTTGTTATTTAAGTAGATAGTGAAGATGGGGTAAATACAAATTTGTGTGTACGCACACATACCCTGGCCACCTCTACCTATGTCAGTGCTCCCGTTTTGCCACCCCAGTCAAAAATCAGGATGCGCCCCTGCATAGTGGCACAGAGAAACAGTCAAGTTTTCACACCTCTCTGATGACTTTTGAAGAGAGAAAAAAAACTCCTGTCCCAGTAACACAGTAAAAAAACCTGACTGCATACGAGCCGTGGGAAGGTTAGCAGTCAATCAGAGTATAATATGCAAGAATGAAGTCACTGTGTGCAAGCATGGCATCTATCACTACAATAGTCTCCCACACACGGACCAGGATGAAGTGCAGATGGATTCAGAACAATAACCTTTTCTCTGCCACTTATGGGATATTAGGTTTTAAACAGCTCTATAGCCCTACATGTCTGGAAACACTGATAAATGATCATATTAACTATAGCTATGGCCTAGCGCATGACCCTGTCATTTCATTAATTCATAAATACAAATGTCATTTATTTGGAGAGGTTTTTTTTTGTGTTTTCTTGCTGGTAAATGTAAGATACCAGGCATGTCAGGTTATCCAGAGCTTATGTCTGATAGATGTTCGGTGGCCGGTATTCTTTGCAGTTCACAAAACACAGAGAGCTGTATTGTCTGGCAGGGACTTGCTGCCTTTTCAGCCATTAAGTCCAGTAACCTTAGCCAGAAAGATAAGCTGGACTTTAGAGTTTAACATCACTTGCTTTCAAATAGAGTTTACATTAGAGAGCTTTGAGAGACTAAGTGGCAAGGCAAAGAGAGAAAGACAAAGAGAAAAAGAAAGAGAAAGAAAGAAAGAAAGGGAGGGGGGGCTTTTCTTTGATTAAAAGGCACATTGTGACAGCAGCAATCATGCTGGTGAAACACTGTTATCATAGATGAGTAAATATTTGTTTTTGTCAATATGCCAGGCTTAAGTGAAAAGAAGAAAAAGACTAGAAAAGAGGAGATAAAAGAGAAGGATTGATGAAAGGAGGAGGGGTAGGAGCCGGGAATGAGGAGTGTATTTTAGGTGTGTGTATCTTCCTGCACATAACTGTGTGTTGCGCTGGATCTCACCTTAACAGTCTCGTAGTTAAGGAGGGAGTCGATAGCTGCATTTCCAGCTTCATTGTCTGCTTTGTTCATCTCTATCCTGAAACGAGTCCTGCGCACAGACACACATGCACAGTAATGTACGCCATTTCTTAAAAAACACATTTCAGCCCGGGGTGAACATTGTTACTGTCAGCACACAGAGCCACAAAGCTATTTACTGAATCCGTTTCAGGTGATTACAGACATAAGCAAAACAAACAAACAACCGAAGTGAAGACAGGCTCAAGAGCCCCTTTTGTTACCTCCACTGAGTGAGCAGAATGGTGAAAAGTGTGTATGTTGATAAGGTACCCAAGGCCACTGCTGCAAACTGCCCGCCGCACTTGTAGTACTGAAGAGGAGAAAAGCACAGTGGGAAAGAGTGTCTTTGCAATTTCTGTGACTTACATGACTTTTTGATAAAAAGTCCAGCCCCGACATCATACTACCAGATCGTGTTTATATAAGGAGGCATCCTGGAGACGGTCTGTGTTTGACCGTTCTGCTATGAAATTGAGTGTTACAAATGGAGGGGAAACTAAAAGAACTAATCGTACTAATGCTCTAGCTATTTGGGCAATGGAGTCTGCCCTCATTACAGGCAAGCTGACATTATAGTCAAAAGTGGAATTATAGCACCAAGCTATAGACGAGCTGTTCTTATAGCTGTGGCCGTGGAGGGGGGGCATCTGTTCAGGGCATACTTCACAGGAGGACATTAAGCTGCTTCAAAGCTATGAGATTCATCATTGACACTAATGGGCGCTGTGTTGCCACCAAAAGTTCATGGCAATTCATAATACATTTAGGATGTAAATGAGACAATATAACCCAAATTAATTTCCAGATAATCTGCAGTGCACAGAATCGAGGTGATAGAGGAGCCTGTGCTAACACTGAGAGTTAAAACTGTTAAAGCAACAAGAAACAACAACTCACCAAAATTGCACTGACGAGTCCCATCTCAAACACTGTAGGTCCTAAATTGAAGACGAGTGCACTAAGGACAAATGAGATACCCCGGGTGCCGCGGTCGATGGCCTTGGACAGCGCTCCTGTTTGACGGCTAAGATGGAAACCCAGATCCAGATTGTGCAAGTGGAGGAAGACATTCTTGGCGATGCGTCGGATGGAGCTCTGGGCCACCTTGCCGAACACAGTGTTCCTCAGCTCGTTGAAGAAGGCTCCACAGGCCCGTGACACGCCATCTGGGATAGCGGAGGAGACAGAGTTTAGCACACCTGCTGTGAAAAGCAGGGGGGACTCAGACAGCAAGGCTGGACACTTTCATATGAGTATATATATCCCCATCCTAAAAACAGAGTGCTATGATGCAGCCCTAAAGAGATATAAGACAGCAAAACAAGAATCTGACCACAATCCCTCCTGTCTTGAGAGCTGTAATACAGTGTTGAGACCAGACAGGGATGTCAACCTCTTCTGCAGTGAAGGTGTGTGTAAAATGGCAGGGCAGGATTTTTAAATCATTGCTGGTCTGCACATACTGCAGTACTACCGCAGCCTCCCAAAGCCTCTATAATTACAAAGCTGGATGCTGTCTGAAGCATCACTACTATGGCAGGCAAGCACACTGCAGACTGAGAGGAGGGAGGGTATTTGAGTGCACAGAAGTGTGTTCAGGATCTGTGTGGTGGCGAAGAAGCTGCATGTACAAGGGGGGGGTTAAGATGAGTGTCATGACTACATGTGGCTATGAGTTGGCTTGACATCTGCATCGTCAGAGTCTATACTTGTTCAGGCTGATCTCTATGCTGAGGATGATGTCGGCTGAATAACCTCTCTGTAAGGTTAAATGAATGAATGGAAGTTACCTAATGCTTAAAAAACCCAAAACAGTTCAACAAGCTAGGTAGTTCAGGAAAACTACAGATGTAGCTCAAAGAAAAGTAAACACTTTTCATAAACTTTTATATAAACAGGTAGCGTGACTGTCAGAAATTAGCACCATATTTGTCTCAGTTTGAATGACATGTGGCCTCCCTGAGTCCATTTCCCCGCTTTGTATGAAAAACAACTAGTCTACGGAGACCAAAGTCAGTGTAATAATCGCACTGTCTGCCGGTCCTCGTGTGGCTGTAATGTGGCGTTAAATAGGAATGCTCATCTAATGAACAATGTGTCCACATCTGACAAGGTAGGATGAGCACTGTGCAACCCTTTCAGCCAAATTACACTCGTCACCCCAGGCTCCAAGTGCAGGGTCCCGAGTGTCATGAAGAGGGAACAAAAAAAAAAAAAAAAAAAAACGGGAAAATGTCCCCTTTCTCAAAGAGCATTACCTCCATTCTTCCTTGTCATCTTAATTTATCCTGTCTGGAGTCTTGTTCATGTGCTCCAATTATTCCACAGGCAGCATTAATGTGCAAGACCTAAGTGGGCTCATTAAAATAAGTGGATACAGGGCTAAGTGTACATTGCAGTCCCGTTGATCTCGCTCAAGGCCAGAGTGACTTACAGTGGGTGTCAGGTTCACTATGTTTATTTATTCAGCCTTTCATCGATTGCTAAGTAAAAAAAAATAAGTCAGGAACAACTTTTTATCACACAATGTCTCTCCTGACCCCTCTTGTGTTCACAGGGCCAAGCTGGAGAGAAAAAAAAAAGACTCTCAAGGGTTGAATCAAAGAAACTTTTGTGGCCTTTCCAAAACACAAAAAACTTTCAAACCACTTTCAAAAGGAACATAAGCAATTTCTTCCAACTGCTTTAGAAATGTACCTAGCTCTGTTTGTCTTGGGAGCACGCAGGTATCAAACTAAAAAGTGTTCAGGGCACACGGGAGGGCTGACGGAAGTGAACTCCAACTCAGAGCAAAGTACATAATGTAAATAATATGAGGGAGGCGCAGAGGTCGCAGACTGCTATTGATATGAATGCGTTGGAAAAGGTCAGTGTGCAGATAATAGGCAGTCCCATAGTCCCCCTCTGATGAGCACGGCACCTGCCAGTGCAACACAAGTCTGGGACTCACAGCCAATCAGCACGGCCGTTGCCATGGTAGCGACAGTGCTTGGCGCGTCATTCAGGTTCAGCATGTGTCCCGACATCTGGTTAAGCTCGTCCACTGCATACTTAAACATGAAGGGCACCATTACATTTGTGATCTGTGAAGGCAAAGGGAGAGAGAGAGCGGGGAGGTTGGGGGGGGGCGAGTATTTAGAGGGGAGAGGTGGAAAAGAGAGCGAGAGAGGAAGCGTTTTGAAATAGTCTATTAGAAAAACATATGCTCAATATAGTTCAGAGCCACTTTCTAGTCCTTCAGTGCTATCTTTCCACTTATGTATGTGCACTCGGCTTAGCAAGACAGACCCACTGTTGTCAGGCAGTATTCAGGTACCTCCGAGTACATGTATGTATACATGCAGCTGTGAGAGAGTGTGCATGTGTGTGTCTGTGTGTGTGTGTTGTCTCCCTGAGTGGCTGTGCTGATGCTGCTGAGGTGGCTGGTGCTTTCTGTTAATGGAATTGAAATGGTTATTAAGGCTAATTAAAAGCACAGGGACAGCTGTGTGACTCAAGCTCGGCGGTCCACTGCGCATTAGGACAGCAAGAGAATACAGCAGCACACCGCACGGCATTTTCTCGTGAAACCCATTTCATTTGAACCTCTCCACCCCGGACACAGGGTAGGGCTTTTAAAAAAAAAAGAAAAAAAAAAACAACAGTTCTTTCTGTTCCTTTACTCCTGTCGAATTGTGCTTGATATAATTTTCATGATATAATGATTAAATCAATTATACAAAACACTGAGTAATCTTTTTTTTAAATAAACCTGTGTCAGCCCATGCTATTGTAAAAGGACACCTAATAATGCACCATTTATGCTTCCAAAACTGCATTTCCAGGGTTCATGCTTTGTACACTTGAGTATTATATTCTGACAATAGAGGTCCTCAGGGTCTCTCAAGGAAAAACAATCTCTTTGCTACCAAGACAACAGAACATGACACAAAAATAGCCTGAGCCTATTATCACGGGGCAAAAACATGTCCTCAATTTTACCACCAATACATGATAAGGTAGCAGTGCTCTTTCAATCCATTAACAGCCAACTGGAGATTAAATCAACATCGTGTCAATCTGTACCTGGTGATATGTCATCTCATTATAGAGGTTTTGTGTCAAGTAGTGGAGAAAACGCTCTGGGCTATAATGAATTAGCTTATAGTTTGACACACACATGCACACATACAGAGGGAGCTTCACTTGAGGCTGATGAGAAAAACAAGAGCTTCTAGATCAGTTACTTAAATGAAAATGTCACTGATATTCTGGAGAGCAGAGGTGTGATGCACTGTAACCACATAATTATTCAGTTGATTTAAAAATTGCCTCCACACCCCTGGTGGTTTCACTTCAAACAGACAAACTGGAGAAATTGAGGCTAACTCCAGCCAAGCAGCAAAATAGGAGAAGATTGGATTGGGTGTGTGTGCAGTCTCTAGCTTGGCACACACGCAGCCATGCTGAGCGGCAGCGGTTCATGCTTATTTGGTAGCTGTGAATCTGTGATTGTTTTCCAGGGTGTAGATTAAAGACCATCAACAACGGATAAGGAAATGAATCACACATTGATTGATGCTTGCAACTAATAATTATAAAAGTGGTGTCTGTTTTAATAGCAAACTGTGACATCGACAGCTCTTTACACAGTGTAACAGCCTCTGCTGAGCCCTCGTGTTCTTTGGTTAGTGGTCAAAGCGGGGAGATATACCTGTGAAATTTGACCATTAACAATTTGTCATGCGTCTGGACTTTTACTAAAACTCCATAGCACCATGAGTGTAGGGGTCACAAATATCAACAACAAGTTTCTTCAGGGTATCTACGGGTTTCAACAAGTCAAATTTAAGACTTTTTAAGACTTTTTTAAGATTGTAATTAATACAATTTAAGATCTATTTTACATCCATACTGGCAAAAAGTAAAAAAGACATGAAGAGAAATCGAACAATTTACATTACTTCAAATCAGTCTTTATTTGTATGGCATATTATTTATTTGTAAGCAAAGTTAATACATTTTTAAAACTTTTCAAAATTGTGTTATTGTATATTAAGACATTTTATGAGATTCTAAATCAAGAGAATTTTAGACATTTGAAGCCCTTTAATTCAAATTATTGGATTTCAGTCATTTTAAGACTTTTTAAGACCCTGTAGATACCCTGTTTAATTAAGGTAATATTTGTTAAACATTCAACTCATGATCATCAGGTTGACAAGTGCACTCTTAAAGCTATGACTGGAGGGAGTGCTTTATCTTACAAAATTCAAGCCTTATCTACCGAAAATGTGACAACTTATCACACATTTGGATCCTGCTGATAATTATTCAGCTATGCACACTGATCATTCTATTCTACTGCCTCTCTAACAATAGAGTTACTGGGTATTTTAAGAGGAGTGATCACAAATCCCAGCCTACCTGAATAAACTGGCAGTCATTTTTAGAGTGTTAATATTCAAAGTGCCAATGCTTAGAGACAAGATAAACGTGTTGAAAATAAAGGTAAGCATTTGGAAGACAAGATTAGGTGAGAAGTGGATACATCCAAGTGACTGCTACTCTTGCAAATAAAAATTACATGCCATAAAATGTTCAAAATGATGTGATGTGTAATCTTAACTTGCAATACAGCAAACCCTCATTAACCCTCTTTTCAGAAATGACTTCTTTAACAGTAACAAGCTGAGCTCAGTGTGTGTCTCTGACCACCCAACTTAGTGATGTGTGTGTGTCATTCAGGGCCTCTTGACAGGTGTTTAAAAGCACCGTATGACCAGGCTTTTCCAGCAGTGAAGCCAAACAACAATGAAGTGCCGCTGATAAATAATAATGTCAGATACCTGTTTGCCTGAGCCCGTGCACTGATTTGCTTTGAAACACATTATACTTAACTCAGAGTGGCGCCTCTTATAGCAAGACTTCAGGGGACTACTGGTGCTCATCCTGACAATCCAGCCTTTTTTGTCTTGTCCCTTGTTCCTGAGGCATAATGAACTCTAATAACCGACCTCTTGTCTTCTGTCTCTTTCAAAGGATTCAGTGGTAGTGCTGTTTTTCACTGTCAGACCCCTGCCAGACCCCTTCAGAAAGGCCACTCTGGCTCTCAGCAGCAACCAGCATTACTGATTATTGATTGTGCGCGATGTAAACTTCGCACTGATGATGTGATAACAGGGGGAAAACAATAATCAAAAGATAATTCTCTCTACGCTTCGCTTTTTCATTTGCCAGTCAAGCTTAACCAAATCTTTTTTTTTAATTGGGCAGTAATAGTTCAGTACATTTCAATGAGTCCAGATTTCTTTTTTCTTACTTGTAGTACTGTCAAAAAGCACATAGCTTGGAGTAGACTTAGAGATGTGATCAATATAAGTTTCTGCATCCAAACTGACGAACAGTAAGGATTGACCGATATGGTTTTTTTTGGTATTTTGTTTCGGGCCGACACCGATTATTAGAGCTGATGTTCATTTGCAGTAAAAATGTTATATTTTGGCCTTATTTTGAAACACGTACTTTCATTTTGAAATGAGAAAAGAACTGGAAGTAGCGCATGCTAGCTTCACAGATACTGAGGAGCTCCTCTATCGGTGGTGTTACCTGCTAGTTTGTTTCTTTTGCTTTGTTTCTCCATGCTCCATGGCGTTCATTATAACTGTGGGCATGTGGTTTTATGAGAAGTGTAGGTTGAAGAATTTTATTTTTGACTGTGAAGATTGCCTCTCTGGAATGACTGCCGTTTGTTGAGAAGCAGGCTAAAGTGATCTGTATTACTTTGTGTATTCTTTATCTGTATTGGCTACAGTGCTAAACAATGCGATAAATGAAATGATAAAAATAGCTGATGTCGAATTTTATTTTGTTTATCTTAACTTTTAGTTCTATGGTGTTAATAAACATCAGTGATAGGAACAGGAGTCTCACATCCAATAGCGGTGGCATACCAGTGCTTCACGGAGCGCCCTCCTCTCTCTCTGCCTTGCTTTGGAGCTGCACCTAGGAGCTTGAGTATTATTGACTGTCTGTGTAGCCAATCAGCGGAGACTGTAGGTGCGGCATTGATACACAGCCAAGAGAGGTGACTTCAGGTAGAGAGAGGTGGCTGTGTAAGAGCCAAACAAGCGTGTTTTGAGATCAACATATTTTATCGGCTGTCAGTGGAAAAAATGGCCAATGCCGATTATTGTAAAAATGCTGAATATCGGCCGTTATTATCGGCTGTGCCAATTCCTGATCGATTCCTTGACGAACAGTGATCGTCTTTTCTTCTTTTTTCTCAAATCAGACCTCCATCTTTTTTTTTTGGGAAGCAACAGTTACTTCAGTTCTCTCATTAGGACAGGAGTGAAGCTAACAGCGCCCTACGTCCTGGGAGGATGATGAATGTCTTCAGTAGAACGTGTGTTTAAATAACAAGCAGGATTATTTTTGTTAGTTACAAATACTAAATACTACGATTTACCTTTAATAACATATACAACAACAAGCTCCTAGTGCTTATGTGTTGTTAAGAAATCTTGCTTTAGTCGCTTGGCTCAGTCAAACAGCATCTAAAAGGTTAATGGTCCTGTTATTGGTCCTAATGTTATCAAGCACAATACAAGCTAATATCAAAGCACTATCATTTAAGGTTAAAGGTATCAACACTATGAAACTGAAAAAAGTAGTTGAACAAGGAATAAAAAATGTCTACAGATGTGGAGTGTGTCTTTATAAAACTGTTCTGTTTCCATTTAAGTTATGACAGATTACTTTTATATGCCATGAAGGAAACTAAAATAGGAAGAAAATCTCACTTTCACACCCTGGACATTGTCTGTGACCTTACCTTTGCTCCCGCAAGCAGACCTAGAGAGATAGCAACACGGGCCCGCAGGTCTGGTCTATCCTTTGGCCACACATAGGACAGCATCGCTGACAGGATCTGGGTTGAATTTACCTCCTTCAGCTGGTGAAACAAAAGCAAAGCCACTTCTTAACTTATAAGATGAACAATGACAAACATGTTCGTTGGACCACTGAATTCTGGTCTATTTATTATAATACAATGGTAACAGTCTGCCATATGGCCTCCAATATTGGCAACTAACTTGCAACCTGCTTTCAGTGTGACGATCACAATAACCTAAACATGGCTCTCTTGGCAGACGCATGGAACATCAAATGTCAAGGAAGTCTCTCAGGGGATATGGGAGCAGCAATGACAGCAGAGTCTCCAGGTGGACCCTGGGATCCAGTCTGACACTACATGTCCCAAGAGACACCTGGGCTGTCATCCCAGCTGAGTTTGAGAGCGGACCAGTGCCAACATAGCTGTTTACCCACGCTCTAGCACACACCTGCCACAGGGACTCTCTGCAGGCCAAAGAATATGCAGTAATTCCTTTAATCCACTCAATATGGAGGCTGCAAGTAAACTACAGAGTTGTGCCCAACACCTGCCTTTAATCAAAAACAATCAAGGAATGTGTGACACGGTGAACATGGGATTAACACTAACAGTTGAACACACCACTGATGCCCCTGCACCATATGGACAGGAGACCAGTACAGTTAATGTAAACCTGGAGTCATTACAGTTTTTTTATAATATCAAGAGATGCACAATGAGCTTCTTCTGGGCCAAAAGCAATACCACTCCAGGGACATCAAGTCTGCAAACGTCCTCCAAGCTGAAAAGCTGATTTAAAAAAAAAAATGAATCCAATATCTTCTTGCTATACACCTTTACCTTTGGTTGGTCGGTTGGTCGCTGCAGTGGTACTCAGATTTAAGTAGAGACACCTGACAGGTTTTTTCTGGCGCTGATACATTTTCATTTTCACATTTCAGGAACTCTTGGTGCTTCACCATGACAGTGCTGGATATTCACAGCTTAACTGATGTGCACATTAAAATAGTTCCGTACAGTCATCACGTCTTGGCTTTTTTGTTGGCGCATGCAAGCTGTCACTGAGGGGGTCTAATAAATGCATCACTTTAATGGTTGAAATTTCAGATATGCCATAACAAATGTATTGAGCTTTAATGAGCCGAGATCGACATTACACCTTTAATACTGTGCAAATTATTAAAATATTTCAAGCTTCTTTCAGCATATAGTATATCATGTAGAAGAACCATATAGAAAACTAGACTCTATGGCAGTATGAATGTTGAGGAAAATGTTTATTATTAAAAAAGATGAAAATAGTATTTTTGAAAATACCATACAGCCTGACAACCCAACCTGTTTCACAGAACCAGGCAGTCATTTGAGTGAGGAAAAGTGAACATGGCACTTCAGAGACTCTGCTGTACCTTTAAGTGAGGCCTTTTTAAATAATAAACCAGAGAAATGCTTTTTTAACGCCATCAGTCACACTTCTGTCTGACATGTGTATGCAAAACTTTTGCTGCTGTCAATGACCACAAACTAAAAGAAGTTAATATACTCACCACATTTTTGGGATCTGCACTCAGCCCTCCCCCTGCATTTCCATGCCAACATGTTCTTTTGTCTGTGACCTGCAAATGCTGTGGGAAATCCAAATGTCTCATTAATCAATTGTTTGACTTTGTAACAGGACATAGATTTCTCATTAGTTCTCAAACATTCTTACTTTTGCTGCCTCCAAAATCTGTCTGTTTGTGCTTCTGTTCGTGCTCCATATAGCTGTCCGCAGATGTGGTGGAGAACCAAGCTGAAATACATAAAGCAACTTATCAAGCAATGCTTCTCATTTTTGTTGATTTTTTAAGGTTGTCTGAATATTAAGAAACTTGAAAAAACTCAGTAAAAAAAGCAATCATAACAGTTACACAAATAAACAAGGCTTTTGTTCAGGTTTTTTCCTCTCTTGTTTTTTTAGATAAAGCTTGAGGACATACTGGACAAATATATGATCGGGGCAGAAGCCAGTGTAACAACCATGAAATCAAAATAATGTCGGTTAAACACGGTCTTCTGAAAAGTAACACAGAGCTCAGAAATGTCTTTATTTGTGACACAATTTAAGCACTCTTCTATGAATGGTTATAGATAGGCATAATTACCTTTCCTCGCACCTACATTTGGGCTTTACTGAGCTGATTAGTAAGGCTTTAATCTGCGTGCCAGCTGTGTTCTGGTGCAAGTCATCATCTTATCTACAGTAGGATGAACTCTAACAATATGTAAATAATACTAATTGTCAACAGTTTAACAACCATGTACTTATCAATCTCTTGTGGAATCTTTTGGCAGTACTGTTTATTAGTCTATGGTACAATCACTAAAACTGTGACAAACTCTCTGTTTGTGTTGATTTCAGATTACCTCTTCTCTCTTTACTGATCTCATCCCTCTCTTTGTTAATGGGTCTAGTTTTTCTTGGTCATGAATTTGCATCACTGTTAATGTCGGTCTGTCTCATTACCTATTACACATCCTTCAGCAGAGCTTTAAATGAACTGGAAGCAAATAAGTTGTGAAAGAAAGTTGTTCTATAATCAATAACAAAGTGTTACATCAGCTGAAACAGGAGGACCTTTGGGTGGGACAGACCGACTCTTATCTCACGTTTACTGAGTGCTGTCAGGCGACATGTAGCCCACGTGACTGAGACCACCGTCACTTTAAAACATTAGCCTGATAAAAGGTGTCTGTTAATGTTTATAGGATGTGAAATATGTAGTTTACTTAACGCAAAGTCAAACTGTGGTCACTGTAGCTGATGTTTTAATTTGGTAACCCACCTGTGACAGATAAGTGAATACATGAGTTAGCAGGTAGGCTAGCTTCGGTTGAACGTCAGACAGCTGGTTGACTGACATTTTTCCCTAACATGAATTACTCAAGCACAAAAATAGTACAAAGTTACCCGGTTGTTACACTTCCTGAAAGTTAGGGTTAGTTAGTGCCACTTTACACCCCCGTCCTTGCCTTGTGACTCACACCAAAAACACAGTGCCCTCTCTAGCTAGCCGACTCCTAAACTCACCACATATGTGCTGTGTCGTTTATGCTCTGTCCCGTTCTCATTGCGGCTTTTAGTCCAAATGTGATACGAGCTCGTCTGTCGAAGGAGAAGCGCTAATTTTCTTTTTTGAAAGTGAAAGCCGCATTTCAGCGGTACCAACATCGGCGCCATGTTGGCGAAAGGAGGACCGCGGTAAGTCAACACTGCCGGTGTTGTGCCGTAGAATGCATCCCTGTCGTAGAATTCACCCCCTGACGGTAGCGCGGTTGAAACAAGGTGAAATAAACCAAGTTTTCCTCACTGTTGGATGGATTCAAAAGCGTACTTTTTTCATCCAGGCTATTCAGATAAACCGAAAACAATAGACCTCTGATTCGAAATATTTGCTGTCCCGAAAATATAATGTTCTCTACCTTGACAGCATACTGTACAGTGCATTGTTGTGCATTTTTGACACACATAAAATTAAAACGAACGTTTGCTGCTCCATTTGACATGTTGTCATGATCCAATACTCGTGTTTTTTTAATATAAGATCATTTTCTTCCACTTTCAGAAGCTAATGAGTGGATGGGACGCAGTGGATGCATTCTACGACAGGGATGCATTCTACGGCACAACACCTGGAAGTACGTCATATCCGGGCTACTGCAACGCTGTTAGTGTCACACAGCTAGCAAGCGAGCGGCTTTACTTGTTATTAGCATTTCTCTGGATTTATCACCGGCTAGTTTGCCTCCAACACGACGCGATTCAGTGTCGGGAGGTTTGTAAGCCCGGTCCAGAAGGATAGTCTGTGTTAGGTAGTCGTGTGAACCGGAGAATTTAACTTCTAAACACAAGGCGAAGCTAAAGGAAGAACACGTTGTCTTTGTCAGGCGCGCGGCGGGCAAGCAGTTAGTAAGTGGGTCGCTCGGTCAAGAAAACGCCATCTGGCTGTAACATATTTTTCAGACAGAAAAAAAACACCTTAATTTCGTACTCAGAATGCCATGCCACAATCAGCAACTGAACAATATCAACAGTGGCCAGGAGCACCCTATGAAGCAGGTCCGGTTTGCGAACAGCAGCAGTGTCCCTGCAGTGCTGTCTAACTCTGAACCATCTGATGCCACCAGCATACAGACTGACAGTCAGGATCACACTGGACTCCCCCAGCTCAAACTGCTCCCCCTCAACGACCAGATCCGAGAGTTACAGACCATAATCAGAGACAAGTGAGTCCTCAATCTCCTCTCTTATTGGCATTAAGACCAAAACAAATCTCTGTAGCTCTGATTTGATCTCTTATAGCTGAGTAGTTTTATGCAATGACAGCTGTTGTAGAAGCTTTAGCATCTGCATAACTCCCAAGGCAACACTTAAGATACACGACCTGTCATATTTCTGATTTATTATTGGAGCTGTAGTGGTGATGGTGGCGTCCTGAAGTACTCTTGATATTTTGTTCTCTTAATAAACAAACAGAGGGAGAGGAGAAGAATAACAAGTAAAACCATCAACATAATGCACTCCATCCAGTATACCACCACCACTAGAGTTTCAACCGCTTATTTAGAGCTATTGTTCTGGGTTGCAGATTGCCCAGGTGTTTATATTATTGGCCACTGAATGCAACAAATACATAGATTAGTCAAGCCTCACATAGCAGTAGCAATCACACTGTATGTCCATAGGTTTGTGTAAAGCCGTGATGCGCAAATCTAAAATCAGAACAGTATAAGTATCGAAGCTGACCTGGAGAAACGTTGGTATTGGTCAGATAGGGTATGTAGTTGATCCAATTTTACCTTGTAAGGCCTTTTGTCCTGCAAACTCACGCTGTGCAGCCAAACATCCTTTCAGGTGGCTCATAAGTGTCAAAGTGAATCTTTGGGACATTTACCTATGATACCAGAGAGGCTCTCTCAAAGGTTGTGGTGATAATTTGGCATTTGTAGTAGAATAATGAAACAGTATGAGTATTGTCACTTTTTGTTTTGTAGATCTGTGTTGTTACAGCTTCTCTTTTGATCCCTGTTAGTTCTGCAAAGTGAGGTGAAGATTTCAGATTATTAAATTGTCTTTAAGGATGTGTGTCAGGTACATGCTTGCAGCTTAATTGATGCATTTTAATTTCAGAATCAGAATCAGAATGTCCTCTATTGTCATCATACTGAAAGTACAACGAGATTGGAGAGCTTCTCCTTTTCCAGTGCAATGGACAAGTAAAAGTACAAATAGTTGTAAGAAAGAAGGTAATATATATACAAGACAAGAATTCTGCAGAGTATTAAAATGAAACATATGTGTAAGAATAAAATAGAAAGATAAATACTAAAGAGAATTATTAACAATATATATATATATATATATATATATATATATATATATATATATATATATATATATATATATATATATATATATAATTTAAGGCTGTTTAAAAAGGGGGACCTGACCACTGCACCCATTTTTTGAAGAGGTACCATTGTGAGTTCAGGCTGTAGCTATCAAGGACCATATTTGGACTGGTGTGTACTGACCAAGTCAAGTCCAGTGTCCTGAATTAGTTGAAGTGTCATGTAGCAGTCAGACATCCACCTGTCACTTGAAAAGGCCATGAATGTGAAAATGAGCAGGAGATATGACCAGTTATTAACCTACACAGCCCTTTAAACTACCCCATGAACACAGAGAGGGAGAGAAAAGAGGATTTGGTTTATCTCTGAAGAGGAGAACTTCCTGAAATTCTGAAAAAAATGTTTGTATTCAAATTTTCAGAACAACCAGCAGAGGAGACTTTGTGTTTTGTGCTGATCGACTGGTGAGATTCCAACTACATACTGCATCCAATATGTGTGTTTTTGTAAGCTGTGCACTTTAAGCTGCTTCTTTATTCAAATACAGATCAGACTAGTGGTTGAAGAGGGTTTGAATCAGCTGCCTTACTCAGAGTGCACTGTGACCACACCAACAGGTAAGGCTCTCTTTCATTAATAACAACGTCAATGTTCAGAGCCTCCTCTGACTGTGCTAGTGAAAAATAACTGATTTTAATCATGTTGGTGCTAAAATAAGATCTGCATAGGGATCCAATCCTATGCTTTACCTCCAGCATGTATGACTGAGTGAGCTTGTTCCCAGCAGCTACATTTGTAAAAGTTCCTGCTTCATTTCCCCCTTAGGGTACAAGTATGAAGGTGTCAAGTTTGAAAGAGGCAACTGTGGAGTCAGCATAATGAGGAGTGGTGAGTTAAAGCTTCTGGTGCTCACCTACCAAATTAAAGTCTTTCCTTTTGTCAGGACATGTATTATGTCTGCCATGCATATGTGATTGCTGCAGACAGCGTACTGGGACTGTACACTCTGTTCTGCACATATTCATCAGGTCAGACTATTGTGTTTGCCTGATCACATGCTGTTTCAGCAGTGGTTCTTTTTCTCTTGGTTAGAATGAACATATTGATGTTAAATAATACAAGAGAATAATATCACACTGAGCACTGAAGATTGAAATATGTAAGGTCGACCCTCATACTTTACTCCTTAAGTTACATTAACTATCACTCATTGATTTTTGAGCCCATACAACAGTGGCAACTTGACACAAATCCTTTAAGGTTGTTTGTCAACATGTCAGGTTACAGTTTGGTGTAGAATAGATAGCTTTTTTGATATTAATTTATCTATACCACAAAATATCAATGTTTTATTTATACCTACAGGATGAAATCAACTTTTTTTTTTGACACAACACTTTTCCTCTTTTTTTGTTGTACTCTGTATGTTTACCAAGTGGTGGGCTGTCTGGACTTCAGCACATAGTGTAGTTTTGGTTCAGACAAGCAAAGTTTTCCAAGTATTTGATTGATTTGTTTATTACTGTGTCTGATTTCAACTCCCTGTCACATGAAACAGGTTTCAGCATCACAGATTGTCATCATTTTAGGGCAAAACAGTCATTAGAGGCTTTAAATTGAATAACAGCAAATGAGGCTCTACAGTGTTGTTAAAATAATTGTTCAAGTCCCGTTTTGGGGCCTTTTTTCTCCTTGAAAATAATGCAAAAAGATATATTTTGTTGGACACACTTTTTTAGAATCTGTTGTTAACCAGCACTGATTAAAACTGGCTGGAAACAATAAATGAATTGAACTAAATTAGCTACAGGCAGCAATAATCAATGCTCATATAGTCTTGAAACTTTTGAGTATTAGTTTCTTACTTAACGGCAAAAAGAAATAAATAAAAAATATTTAGACAACTGAAGAAGTATGCTTTATGTAGCTTCTGAGCTTCCACCTGACTTCATATGCATCATCAAAGCTTGTTCTATTAAAAAAGACGTACACACACATTGTCAAAAAGGATTTGGGAAAAGAGTAGAAAATTCTGATCTAGTAAGTGAACGAGACATCAGAGAAAAAAAGCAGTAGTTGACATCAGAGATGTAAATGATGAACAACATTGACTCCATGCCCAGCTGTTTTCTTGCAATTGCAAAAATATGCACTTGATTGTTACAGCGCCGCATTGAGGTTAATGAGTGTCACAATGTGTGCCTAAGTGGTGAGTGGAATTTGCAACTCAGCTGGCAATTTTCTCTGAGTTTGTTCAAGGCAGAGAATCACAAAAAACAAGAACGACAAGAAAAAGAAAAAGGCTCCAGCAGAGAGCATCACGGCTTTGACGGCTGGATAAACAACATTTTTTATTTCACTTATATTCTGTGTTTCTCTCTAAAGGTGAGGCTATGGAACAGGGTCTCCGGGACTGCTGTCGTTCCATTCGGATTGGCAAGATCCTCATCCAGAGTGATGAGGAGACACAAAAAGCCAAGGTCTACTATGCCAAATTCCCCCCAGATGTGTACAGAAGAAAAGTGCTGCTCATGTACCCCATCCTTAGTAAGTAAAAGAGTTTATCCCACATACGACTCCAGTGTGCCAACATAGGAAGCTCATAAATAGAGTTTTTTTTTTTTGGTTTTTTTTTTTGTGCAAATGCAAAATTAGTTTGATGTTTTTGTTCATTCGGAGAAATCTCCCTTGAGTTGACCTTCAGCACCGTCCACATTTCCACATCAGAGCAGCCCATTCACACTGTTCTGATAATTATAGCACTCATGGGGGAAATTATACACTGTCTAGGAGATGGCCACCAAGCCGCTGAATAGTATAATGAGGGACAACAAAAATAGTATCTTAATAGCCCCGGTTCACCAAAGTCACAAAGCAGCATTTTTCTGTTCTCGGTTTTTGAAGAAACATGATGGAGACCAAGCCAGGTTGAAGGTATGTTTTATAATGTCAGAATGATGGATCATATGGTTACACTAATGCATCCTAACAGGGGCAGAAATTAAAGCCTGTCAAGTACCCAGACTGAAGGGCAGATCAGTCAGCACTCAGCTCAGAACCATTTTCAGATGTTAATGGTACCCAAAATATGTAACTGTTAATATATTTTAAACAATCAGTGTTAATATGTACCTTATAAATAATAGGTAGGTAATTAACGAATAATGTTATAGAGGGATGTGAGTCAAAAAATTTGATGTTGTGTGTCTGCAGGTACAGGGAACACTGTGATCGAGGCAGTGAGGGTACTGATAGAACACGGAGTCCAGCCCAGACATATCATCCTCCTCAGCCTCTTCTCCACGCCTCACGGTACACCACCTCAAACACATCACTGACACGGCGCTCATCACCCGTTTACTTTTGTTTACCCACCAGATCACATGCTTAGTCTGCAATCTCCTCCTCACTCCTGTTCCTGCTGTGTCATTGTCTTTGTCTAAAATGTGTCTGGCATCCGTAATGCTGTCTAGCAGCGCAGCTCAGCAACAATGGTTTTGAATGAGAGAATGAAGCAGCAAATAGGCTTGTTACTAGGGTTTATTTTCTCACACAATTACCATGAAAATTAGTGCACTTCCTCATAATTTCACGTAGTATCATAGCAATTACTGCTTTTCTTTTTTTTGACATTGCTATGAATGTTTTCAAAACCCTAAATTTACACTTAAACAATTCCACAGCGAAAGCATTACCACTGTGGTTTTATGATATCTTCGAATGCCTGCTTTGTTTTGACATATCCTGTCTTTTCCTCACGCCACCCTCGGGACAAATTAAAATAGAAAATATACATCTGTGACTCTTTTTTTAGTTAGAGTATGCCTAGAGGGTATTAAGGTGGATATTATTGCATGAACATGCCAAAGTAATATGTGCGTCATTTATTACAATTCTATTCGTAAACCTATGAGCCGTTGAACTGGGAATTTCTTTGTTTACATCATCTAACAGCTTCACTTGGCAAATTTGCACTTAGCTTCAGATTTTTCCTTTAAGAGAGACCTGTTTCTATGTGTTTGTGTTAGCAGTTTGGTAGAGTACGTGACCCTTATGTCCAGCGTTCAGAAATGTATTGAATGGACTTCAAACATTATAAATGTACCTTGTCAGCGTTGACAGCTGTTAGGCTTAGCTGCAGTGCTGTACAGCTGAGGTTTGAAAAGATGGAGGCAGCTCAAGAACATTTCCATGAACAGTTTCTTCCTGGGGGATATTTGAACATTTCATCTTAAATGGAAACTAATTTCTCCCTGCATCATACTTAAGATGATAATACAACTGAAAGCACTTCGTAAAAGAGTAACAGCTTTTTATTTTCTTTCAGGAGCCAATTCTATAATCCAGGAGTTCCCTGATATCACCATCCTGACCACAGAGGTTCATCCAGTGGCTCCCACACATTTTGGACAGAGGTATTTTGGCACCGACTAAACTGACAACAACCTGAGGAACATGATCTGCTCTTTGCTTTTGAGTATGTTTGTGTTGTTTATTTAAACGTGTCATGTTCTCCTTGTTGTGCCAAATACTTCTACATTATCTCCAAAGTCCCCAAAGGGAGTTAAACTGATCGATTTGATGTATTGTATTTATTTTACATGTGTTTTTGCTGTGTATACTCATGCTCAAGAGACAAATACACTGACCTGTAAAAAGGGTTCAGCTTGGATCATTTTATTTGCATGTTACAATAAATGGCAGAAAATAAAGACTTTATATTTGTTAACTGACAAAACAGCAGGTGAAAGACTTCAGTTCTTTGAATGGTCCAGAGGTTTTAAGATGAGGAGAGACATGATCACTTACTCTAAAAGGACCACACTGTGTGTTCAGAAAAATATTAATTCCTTTCTGCAAACTGAGAATAATAAGTCATCTTCACGTCATAAATATCTTACCTTTTGATGAGAGCGCATTGCTTTCATGGAGCAAAATATACAGATACTGCCTGCAGCAGTTATGAATCAGTAAACAAAATACACAAGAAAAAAAAGCTGAACAGTGCAACAATAAATAGACACGAGACTACACTCAACATCCACATCTTTCCTAACGTGTATACATGCTTTCAAACACAGAATCATACCTCAGATAAAAATGACACGCACAGTTTTAATCAATAAGCGACTTACTGTATGTATGTATGCTGTGTATTCTTCAGGCATGAGCAGCATTTGATTTGGCTTACCCAACACACAGTACAAAACAGGTCTGATGAAGCAGGTTAAAAGTGTCAAGATCAAACAGCATCACGGTTTGATGCTTGAAGGCCCAACATTTGACTCATACTGAATAGTAAGGTGTTCTTTTGTGTACACTGGCTTTATACAAGTCCATGAACCAAAACGGAAAATCTCAAAAAACAAAATCACAGGTAGAAAACATTTAGAGCTTTAAAAAGCAAAGGATAGCTGATCTTTACCAACCAGTGGATGAAGATCAGTTTGCATAATATATGTACATTTATCGACATGTTCGAAAGGATCAAGAGGAAACAAAGAACATCCCGTGTCTTCTCCTACAAATGAGTTTGTGTCTAAAAGGAAGCAAATTACTCATATTTTTCTATTACTCTGCAGCAACACTGAAGTGTAAATGTTGTAAAGATAGTGGATTTATAAGGAAAAGTGTATATATATTTTTAAAATATCACAGTATGTCTTGCACAGTCCTCCTTTTGACTTGTTACTGCATCTTCAAAAATCTAATCAAGCATTTAATTTATGATATACTGAGGAATGACTAAAACTTATCTAAAAGCAGAGGCGGGTAAGAAAAAAAATCCTGCATCTGTGTTTGACACAGGACTGAAAAGACAAACGTTTGGTCGACAGAAAAAAAAATATGACTGATAATTCTACCTGCCTGTCTACATAACTACCTGCCTACTTGAATGCACTCTTCCCATGCACTCATTGTGCTTAAGTAGCAACCTAGCCAGGTAGCCACACAAAAGCAAAAATGTGCTAAAATATGTCAGCGGTTATATCAGTGCTCTTTGCTTCTTTATGCCATCTCTGGTTAGCTTTTACTTGCTCGGTTTCGCCAACATTTCCAATCCCAGTTTCAGTTTTTTGCTTTACAGTGTACTGACTGAGATCAAGACATGCAGGTGCAAATCAAAGCTAAATAACTATGCTATTCATGTTCATTTCCTATCACTGGTCTTAAAAGATAAAGGATATGGCTGGTAAGCATATCAATGTTGATGACTGTTAAACTAGCATGATATGATAGGTTCTTTGATAGGTAGGTGCCGTTTATGTTGGCAAAGTCCACTCATAAGCAGGAAGCAGAATACATTCTCAGGAGAAATAAACTCCCAAACACAAGGATAATAACTATATTCATAAGGCCCAGGATTAGTCAGGTGATCTAATATGTTTGTTGAATTAAAGTAAAATAAAATCTCATGTTTATTATTCTGCAAGAGCAAAACCAGTTCAGACCACGCTTCTGAATCACTAAAAGAACCCCCTGGAGCTTTAAGAGTGTGAGCTTTTGATGCAGCCCTCCACAGACTCAGCTCGAAGGTCCACCACTTTAAACTCTGAAACAAAATAGATACTGTACAGTATTAGTACAGAGCCAGACAGAGGCTCTGATTAACAGTATTCAAAAACTCACAGAGGCCTTGGGATGAACACCCAGAGGGAGATATTCAGTCCTTGTTAAACAGCAGTTGCCTTTTATCCGAGGTAATATTGCCAGTTTCTCTTTTTCTAATTCAAACAAACCGTCGTCTCTCAGGGAAGAGATGATGCTACTGGCTGTCACGATGTAAAACGCCAGGCTATGAGTGGCAATGACAATCCAAGTACAGATTTTAATCCACACCTTTGGCCCCCATTCAGATTATTTTTCAGTTTCTGAATATCCGCATTATTTGGAATGCATGTGCCTTGAGGTACACAGTATGTGTGATTTTAATATACACCTTCTGTACCAATAAAAATTGTCCTTACAATGAATTCCTACTCCTCCATCTCTATGGTAACCGATGGGTCCTGGTCTTCACCTGGAATAAAAAAGAAAAAAGAAATCATAATATGTACTAGCATGAATGAAGCGTACTTGATGCAGGAGTTAACCATCCGTTGCACGTGACCACCAGGTGGTGGCAGAACGTAAAGGTTAGAAGTTAAACATTTCTCAGTTTCTACACACAAGTTTGATGCAAATCACTTTTTCACCCCATAAATCTATTTCTCTTTTAGGCAATAGCATCTCTCTGTTTTAGTCTCCTAAAATCATAAAAAGTGTCCTCTTTGGACTGCCTGTTGTCTGTGCTGCAAGGTGACTTTCTCCACAGGATAATTAACAGTTACTTCCACCAGCTCTGTGACTTTGGAAAATTTAGGTTGAAAAAGTATTAGCCTCCTAGTATGAATGCAGATTAACTGTAATTTTTTATCCTTTTGAAAAGTGACACTTATTTTGGGATTAGAGACATAAAAAAGTAGGAGAGGTCTTTCAGTTCTTGCCACTTTTATAAAACTTTATATTTTACCAAAATTCTCAAAAAATCATTGAGAAAAGATGAAGGTAATTCACAAGAAAATCTAGGTTTTGCTAAAACAGAAATAAAAGGAAAAATATCACTTCATTTTTTTGTTCTACAGGTTCAACAAGTACAATTGCAAAGTAATCGAAGATGAAGGAATTATCCAAAACAAACCTGATGTATCAAGAACATCAGCAAAGTTAAATGGTTTCATCAGTCTTTTTATTGTGAACACATCAGATGGTTTTGACAGCAGAAAAAATTGTTTGATTTCCGTTTGATTTTAATCGAGGAGAAGTATTGTATAGTGTTGACAAATTTCTTCTTCACTTTTCAATTTTGCTGATAAGTAATTTCCTGTAGCAGATAACCCACATAAGCAGGACTGGTTTCGATCTGAAGACCGACACAAATAGAATGTCTCTCACTGGAGCTTTAAAATTGTGAAAAAGATTGAACTAAATTGCAAATATTTTTAAAGTGAACAGTTTAAAATTCAGCTAAAATTGTATTTATTAATTATATTGACTATGTGTAACTTGGAAAACATTTCTGCTTATCAATATATATCCAGTGGCAACACAAGCTGGAAGAAGTAGGACAGATTGATTTAAAATGTAGCCTGAGCACATATTCAAACGCCTTTTTTTGACCTTTTACTCTGAGGCACTGCACTATGTCAAAAGTTTAACTTAAACATTTTCATGGATTACATGCTACACATTTGTGGTGAGACAATATAAATAGTATATTTCTTGAGGTTGGACTCTCTCTTTATAATCTCCCTATGCTGCTGGGAATCATTCTGGTTTCTACCACTGTCTTGGTTAAAACTGCAGATAGTTCAACATTCTCAACAAAAATAAAGAACATATTTCACTCAATGAAGAAAGCTTTGAATTAAAAATGTTGTGTTTCTGCATCTATGGAGAACAAGTGACAGAATAAATATGACGAGGTTTAAGTGACTCACCAAGGCTCCCCTCAGAGCCGTCATCAGACTCCTCCCACATGTCTTCATGAGCTAATAAGGGGTTCCGGGACTCAGAGCTACGACTCTTCAAGGGAAAGTAGTGGCCGTTCCCTTGGCTGACATGCAAACAAAAGGAGAATAGAAGCTGGTTTGAGAACCACAGCCTGCTAATTTATTTTACTCCTGATTCTACATTCATATCTGACTTTGCAGCTATGAACTACAACCCAGCTATTAATGCAATAAAAACAGATGTGGCTCAGTGGTGGAAATCACTGCAAAAATCACTTCCAAAATCTTCTATGTGAACATAATCACTGCATCCACATCCATGCAGGTGACAACTGTGCAATGAAAACAGTTAATTTTACATCCACATTATCTAGGAATAAAAACGGCTCCTTATAGCCCAAGACAATTTAAGATGGGCTAGAAACGTCATGTGTCCTAACAAATCAAAATCTGTCATTATTTTTGGAAATCATGGACTATGCACCCTCTGCTGCATGGAGGAGTGGGACCACAGAGCTCATTACCAGGGCACACTTTAAAAGCCAGTATCCATTCAAGTATGGGGGAAAGCATGTGCCTTCATAGCACAGGTGGTGAACACAAATGGAAAGGCACCACTGATGCTGAACAATTCATACAGGTTTTGAAGCAAGATATGCTACCAACCAACGTATGAGGCTTTTTAGAAGGGTTTTTTGGTTAACTACTAGAAAAACGGTCTGCTGAAAGTTGATATTGATGGCATTTGCATTATCCTCTGAATTTCTAAAAACTGGTTATTTTTCTTGGTGATTTGCTACACTAAGCTTATTCTGTGACAGTCAAAAACTTTAATAGAAAAGTGTTCACAAAATTAGTAGCAAGAGGCGGCAAAACCACTTACAAAGTATCTTAGTTACCTTGTAATAACAGGAATGAACCACAGCCTCCGATCCTCTCCGAATACCTGCTGCAGGTTTCTGCGCATGCCAACATTGAAGCCATTTCTGTCTGGTCCGCTGACAAAAACTGGGGCTGAGAAGGCCTCTGAAAAAGTACAAACCACTGTAAGTCAGGATAATTTCTTCAGCTTCAATCTTGCACATTTAATGACAACAACAGTGATTTCTAAATATTTAAATCCTTACCTAAAGTAGAGCGGTTCTTGGCCACTAGCCAACAGTGGTAGCCAAAGAGGAACATGAGACTGACAAAGAACATGAGCGCCACAAACATGAGGAAGAGGACATGGAACTTTGAAGGCCCATTTGGCAATTCCCCCTGAGAGAGAGACGAATGAGGAGAGAACAAACAGTGAGCTTTAAAAAAGGTCACAACAAACACTTTAATTCTCTGGTTTTTTGGAGCCGCAAAGGTGATGACTTTCAGCAACTCATTTATCATCAGATTCTCAGTTTTAGGGGAAGTACAGGCTATCGTAACTCACCTCCCAGAATTTCAGGAAATACTGAAAGACTGTTGCTGCAATGAACACACAGTACAGCATGGAGTAGGAGAGAAAAAGGAGGAAGAACTTGTAGTTTGAGAAGCCCACGCAGTTATTCACCCTAAAGAAAAACACATTGTTTCAGAATAAATCTAACGATTACATGACACCGAACAGAGAAATACAGTGTGTATAAGGTGAGTGTGAGTTTTTTCTCACCAGGGACAGTGATGGTCCATCTTCAAGACACAGCTTTAAAAGGGAAGCATATATATTTGGATTTAATATAGTTGAACACTAAAGTGGTGAAAGCAGCAGACACCTTTCTACCATTTCTCAAATATTATTGTTGTGTCCAAATTTCGATATACCTTAGGGTGAACCACTGCTTAGACTGATTAGTAAGATAACATCTCTGAGACACAGTGTGCCAACGAAGCAACACTTTCTAATTATCCCAGCAGTATGAGGCCAACAAATATCTCCTTCCCTATTGCAATCTCTCCAGAAGAATGGATTGAGGAGGAAAGAGAGACTTACGTTTCACAAACCGAGCAGTGGTGACAGCGGTCAGGCTTCAGTACCTGGCAGCGGTCGCAGAATCTGATAGCTAGAGACAAGAGGATGGTCAGTTGAATGACCGACATTTGAGCTGAGCTTCCCCCCTTCTCCTACTTCCTGCAGCCTAGAACTTAGTCTCAGCAATCAGCACTAATGAAAGAGATACATCGGCTGATTACACCGTACAGGGATGCTCAGGAACACACACAGAGCTAATTGCCCTTGCCTACTTGCTTTCAACGCACACAGATTACGTGCCAGATGACAGGCTGTAACTAATCTACCTGACTGGTTACTGCTCTGGTTTTCACATATGTCATGCGAGAGAACAATGCCAAACTTTTAGGAGGGAAAAAACTCACCTCCAGATTGAGCTCGGGTGAAAATGGGCAGTTTCTTCGCAATATCAAGCAGTATTTGTTTCTGAGCGTCTGGCCTCTCCTCCATCTCGTACCTTTGTTTGTCCGAGTATGACAGCTGAAACTAGAGCAACAGAGATAGATCAGTATGAGACCTTTTATATGCGAATTAAATAGATAAAATTGTGTTATTTGGTTATTTGTGGATATCTTCAACACTCCAGGATACCTTTTTGCATGGTGTTGCAGGAGGGGTGAATATAGACTTCCAGTATGTCCAGGAGAACATCACAAAGCAGACATGAAAAACCAGCAGATAGGCCACTGGAAGAAACAAAAACACACAACAGTGAAAATAATGAACAGCACCACGACAAAAAGATAATGTAGTCACAAAAATAATCTGATAAGAGCGCTAACATAGAGGATACCTCACCTTTCTCTAACGTATTGGTGATTGTGACTGTAAAAAATGATAAAACACGGTTAAAATACAAGTCAAAGCCTAGAAACGGTGTTTTGGACAGTTTAATAAACGATTGTTCACATAAAGATCCTCATTTGACGGCTAACACGGTTAGCCAGATGGACAGGTTGTTGCTACAAGAGACAACAATAGCTAGTCACTCAATCGAAACAGGGTTTATACGATTTACTTCATTAATGTTCACCGCGTAAAGGCTAAAAGAACGTACACCGACTGGTTAAAAGCACACACCCTTACCAACATCCGCATAGTTTGCTAGGTCCGTCTCGGTCTAAAAGCATATTTCTGTAAACACTGCTGTGCGGCAAAACTGCGAAGTCCACAATACAACGATCGAAATCACAACAAACACACAATGTTAGGAATACTTACAAATACATAGCTCAAAAACGTAAGCGTAGTATGACCACAACATCACCGAGGTTATAATAAGTACAGGGATCCAGGAGAAAACCCTTTGACAGCATCTCAAACCTCTGGAGAGAGCCATGTTCCATCTAACCCTCTTCTTATCTGCGCTCGACTATCATTCCTGTGGTTTATTCTTCAGTTAGATCGGCGAGCGATTCACCCAACTCCAGGAGCTGAGCCGGATCGTCCCGGATAATGGAGTCTTTAAACCTCTACCTAATTGATCTAATTGATCAACGAATCTTCTTCATGCCTATGCTTTACAAAAGATAATTTCATATTCTACTTTACGTAATGATTTACTTCTGAAAATAAAGAGCAGAAAACCCCATAGGTTGATGCAAAAGGTAGGAGGGTTTAGTGTAAATGTCCATATTATTTTTAAATTATTGATCTGAACCCAGAAAGTAAAATGCAGTATCAGGTTAATATTGATAAGGGGAAATTACAGAGTTTCTCCCTGAAGTGCAGACTAACATAAACATACAGAAAAACAAAAACTCTAAGTAATTTGTTACTCAAAACTGTAGGGGAGAGTGGGGTAAGTTGAGCCAAAGGGTAAGTTGAGCCACCCCCTGTTGCTTGGAAATGGTAAAAAAAAAAAAATTATCATGTGACCAAATATTTAGGAGATGGTCATCAATTCATAGAGTCTGTGAAGGTTAGAAGCACATGGGTGAAGGGGTTAGACATTTACTTACAAAAAACATATTTCGCTCTTGGTCAACTTACCCCATACACGGGGTAAGTTGACCATAGGAGACCACTTTTACTTTGGTATGGTATCTTATCAAGACAGTTATGTTTAGACTCATTTTGTTGGTTTGCAGGGATGCACAACATCTTGAAATATATAGGCTACAGATACACTAGTAAGAGACAAAACTATGATTGCTGTGATGTAGTGATCCGAAATCTGAAAAATGACTTATCTTACCCCACTCTCCCCTACTTATGTGATATTAACCTTCATCACATGCAACTTTTTTTTTTTCCTTTTTTTAAAAAAAAAATCCAGATCTGACAAGAGAGGAATAATGGTAATACTCGTCAAGCAGGTGAAGATGCTGAAGGGGCAGGTCAGCATCTGCAGAGGTAGGTTTAATTAAAACATGTTAGAGTAAGATTGAGTCATTTAGCCCAGGCTGTGCTACACAATGAATTGGTATGTAAAGGTAGCAAAGGCAGATGTTTGAAATTACGTTTGTAAAGAATTTAATGGAGATTTTTAACCACAAACAAATGTTTCTTATATAAATAGGCCTATCGGAAGTTACCATGATTTTTTGGAAGGACCTCCCCTCTCACTTTCCCCCAACAAAATTTGGCTGGTATGATGCCCCTGGGTTGAGTCATATAAAAGCACGATGTTGTGTTTGCAAAGCAGCACTGGCAGGGATCCATTAATTGAAGCAAAGTAAATGTAAAACCAACCATCTTTAAATGGCATGGCAATCAATTCTACTCCACTGAACTTAACATTTGGGAAAAATATCCCAGACCACCAATAGTTTCAGTCCCATAATAAAATGTCCTTGTTTAACAACCCTGTCATTAGTTCAGAAATAACCACAAAAGTCTAATAAAACACATTTGCATTTGTTTGTTGATCACTTCACAGGGTGACTGTCTGCTCTGGAATACTTTTTCCTTCAACTCTCTAGTAATGGATGACAACATTCTACCAATAGAATTTTGTCTGACCCAATCTTTAACTAGGGTCTCACAATTTAATATTCTACCACTTGATTTTTCTTGTTTGTGTCATAAGGGCCCATTGCATGAGCAAATGAAGAGCTTACAGCAAAGAGGAAAAGGCAGAAGCTGACATGCAACATGGCTCCTAGCTTCACCTGAACCAGGGACTGTTATAACTTTAACAATACTTTTTTCAATTAAGAGCTCTTGTTTACTCTTTTATGCTTTTATTTGTAGGTTACACAACCAACTGGATTTGGGTCAAAATATCTGCAGGCCACTTACACATATACACACATACAAACAAACAAGAGCCCTCCCAAGAGCAAATTGGATCAGCATTCTTTGTAAATAAGGCTTGGGTACTGCTGCAGTTCATTTACTCAGAACATAGGGAATTACGCTCACTTCCTCAATTAAAATCACTCAGTGAATGACATCATTTTTTGTTGTTTCCATTCAAACTTGTTGCGATAATGCCGAATTATTAGGTACTTTCATCTCTATGTTACCTAGTGAACATACCTAACCAGTTCAACATTAAAAAACGTCTGGATTAAATTAAACTAATGGTCCCGTCTGGTAATTTTGTGCTTTGCAGCTACACATATTTACAAGAAGCATTAAAAGAAACGCTAATTAAAGACTTTAAAAACTAAAACCTTGCGCTTGGACATGTTAGCTATGTCATTGAATAAATCATGATTCTGACCAAAATAGCAAAAATACACACTTGAATGTAAGAGTTGTGTGTGTTGCACTATGGGTCGTTTAGTTCATACTTGTAGAAAAGAATGCCAGAATATATGAATATGTAGTATTTTGAATCATGGTGTGACATGATATAATTACTCCATGCTGGCGATATCAACATCAGTAAAGTTCAGCATGTGTGAGTGGCTGCTTCAGCTCCCTCTCAGTGCATGAGTATGGTCCTCTTGGGTCAGACAGAAGGTATGCAGGCTATAGGTGCTTTATACATTCGTCTGAGGAGGTAAAAAGGATTGCGTGTTACTGTCTCCTGAGTGTCAGGTTCTGTTCTTGTACCTGTGGTACTCCTGTCAGTCTCAGCTGTCTTCATGCTATCAGGTTTGATACAAACAAGGGGAAATACACTCACCGGCCACTTTATTAGGTACACCTGTCCAACTGCTCGTTAACACTTAATTTCTAATCAGCCAATCACATGGCGGCAACTTAGTGCATTTAGGCATGTAGAAATGGTCAAGACAATCTCCTGCAGTTCAAACCGAGCATCAGTATGGGGAAGAAAGGTGATTTGAGTGACTTTGAACGTGGCATGGTTGTTGGTGCCAGAAGGGCTGGTCTGAGTATTTCAGAAACTGCTGATCTACTGGGATTTTCACGCACAACCATCTCTAGGATTTACAGAGAATGGTCCGAAAAAGAAAAAATATCCAGTGAGCAGCAGTTCTGTGGGCGGAAATGAATTGTTGATGCCAGAGGTCAGAGGAGAAAGGGCCAGACTGGTTCGAGCTGATAGAAAGGCAACAGTGACTCAAATAACCACCCGTTACAACCAAGGTAGGCAGAAGAGCATCTCTGAACGCACAGTACGTCGAACTTTGAGGCAGATGGGCTACAGCAGCAGAAGACCACGCCGGGTGCCACTCCTTTCAGCTAAGAACAGGAAACTGAGGCTACAATTTGCACAAGCTCATCGAAATTGGACAATAGAAGATTGGAAAAACGTTGCCTGGTCTGATGAGTCTCGATTTCTGCTGCGACATTCGGATGGTAGGGTCAGAATTTGGCGTCAACAACATGAAAGCATGGATCCATCCTGCCTTGTATCAACGGTTCAGGCTGGTGGTGGTGGTGTCATGGTGTGGGGAATATTTTCTTGGCACTCTTTGGGCCCCTTGGTACCAATTGAGCATCGTTGCAACGCCACAGCCTACCTGAGTATTGTTGCTGACCATGTCCATCCCTTTATGACCACAATGTACCCAACTTCTGATGGCTACTTTCAGCAGGATAATGCGCCATGTCATAAAGCTGGAATCATCTCAGACTGGTTTCTTGAACATGACAATGAGTTCACTTTACTCAAATGGCCTCCACAGTCACCAGATCTCAATCCAATAGAGCATCTTTGGGATGTGGTGGAACGGGAGATTCGCATCATGGATGTGCAGCCGACAAATCTGCGGCAACTGTGTGATGCCATCATGTCAATATGGACCAAGCTCTCTGAGGAATGCTTCCAGCACCTTGTTGAATCCATGCCACGAAGAATTGAGGCAGTTCTGAAGGCAAAAGGGGGTCCAACCCGTTACTAGCATGGTGTACCTAATAAAGTGGCCGGTGAGTGTAGTAACACAAGTAAGAGAGATCAATAATTTTCCACTCACTGGCTAGAAATGTCTGGCAGACCTCTGCTCTCCCCCTAAAATGGAGAGAAAATCAAAAATGTCTATAGGTGATACAACTGAATCTGGAGATGTAGTGGAGAAAAAATTATTGTCCTCCAGCTCTACTGCTCATATAGACGCTCACAGAGCCCCCTAGTGACATTTGAAAAAGATGGTCTTGCATAGAAAGTTTGCGAAATACTTTATTCTGCTTGTTACACACACATATTCAGTTGAATATCAGGAGGTTTGCAGATAAGTTTGTATTTAAATGCATCAGAGGGGTGGGAGTTGCAAGCCTTTGTTTCCAAATCTGACATCAATGTACAGCTTTAGCACTGGGATAATCTGGTGATGTATGAGTTTGACTAATTCTTTGCATTTGAACATGGATTAAGTACCTTTTGCTCAGAGGAACTACATTCTCAACCATAAATTACAGAAGTATGTCATACTGTAATTCATATTAAAATAAAAACATTAACTCAAAATTGTCTGTGTTTGCAAGCGGTCAAAACGATGAATAACATCACTTGGTGTACATTCAAACCATTTTTTTCAATCAGTCTCTACAATGTTAAAAAACTACTTGTAAAATATGAGACAGCTGCTGTTCTGGATGAACAAATAAAGCATTTCCAGTTTTTCTCAGCTGTTAAAACAAATATGTGGTTAAATTTTATAAGTGGTAAAACAAGATCAACACTGCTTTGCACTTTGCAGGAGTCACCAACAGGAGGCACTGTGACACTGCTATGGATAAATAACCTGCAGCCTTGCAGCTCATGATGCCACCTGCAGCTGCTTATATTACAACAAAATGGAATATCAAATTTGAACATAATGCAGCTTGGATCAATTATTAGTTTGACATTAAATCATTAGAGGTGTTCATCTTATATGCAGAATGTAGCATCGACACTGAGGAAGAGTGAGGCTTTTTAAACTGTTAGAGGTTGTTCCAGTTACACAGCTGCTTAGATTTGTTTGAGCTCAGTTTTTTTGTTTACACTGCTCAAAGTTATCTTTATCAGACAAGAAAGGAGCCAAATAGAAACTGATTT